TGGTCACTGGTGTGCTGAAGGTGAAAAGACGCGTGATCACGTGTCAATTGGTGGCATCAAATTGAGCACGGCGCGTCTCACATCGGGGCACATTATGTAGCTACAGACATACATACAGCAAACATATAGGATTGGATCCGTGATTTGATATGTTTGAGAAATATCTCAGTAAAAGGGTTTAGAAACAATATGAGTGACAGAAAGATTCTCCGTGTTAGAAACAACAATCTTTCGAGCCATTCAAATTTCACGGGTTACACCCAGCCGTGCTCGCATTGCCAGAGTCAGAAGGAGCTGCGCAAACTCGCCATGGTCCAGCGACTTCGTCACGATGCGTCTGGTCCTGAGCTCCCAGGGATCAACTGTTGCGATGGTGAATTCAACCCGATCGCATCAAGGTGCAGAGGGAGTGCTGACCATACAGATGTTGTTGCCATTCAATAAAGTCTGGGCAAGTGTTGTCTTCTTCTTGCCTTGAGGCGTGTTTTCGCTACATGTATAGGTTTATATGAGAATGGTTCAGACGAGCAAGCAAACAACACACTATTCTGTCACATCTTCGAGCACCATGTCTAGGAGCGAGTTTAGTGCTTGAGATTCCTCCAGCGATGGTCACTCACTGACGAAATCGTCAAAGCCCAGCAGAGTGCCCGTGAATTCGCGATCATTCTTCATCACAACCCATATGCGCGACCCGATACATCTATCGATCAGTTCTGGCGCTCGTTATTTCGATTGAAGCGGAGAACCAGTTTTGAGTACCAAGAGGAAGGATCTGGGAAGCCATGTATAGCTCGCGCTCGGAAGTGGAAGAAGGAGACTAAGGTGTTTGGTCGTGTGATGCGATCACACAATCCTTCCTCCCTAACGTTCAACTGCGAAAGATATGGGTCACGGAAATTCTAGTACGCGCTATATGCCCCGCGTCTGAATATTGAAGTTGACCCCGACAGACAAGTTGTACATCACACATGCTGAGCACTCTGGGCAGTTTGGTTCGCACTCGTCGTCTATAGGATACAAGCAGTTCGCTCCGCGGTCTTCAGCACGCACGCCGTCACTCATTATGCCATCTACAGGAAAGCAGAAGCACCTCATCCTGCGTCGATCACTCCTTTTGACTGTTGTGCCATCTCGTTCCAACCCTTCAGCCATCCTGTTTGCGCGCGCAACGAGGATGGGACCGGAACGGTCTTCGACCTAGTCAACATCATTCCCTGGCTGAAGTATGCTTGTCCTAGACTGCTCGGCACTAAACTCACAAGCATCCCAGACAGCATAACAACACCCACCCGATTACGAAAGCACCCTTGAACCCAACTGACCTCATAACGCTGCACTATTCACGCAAAGAGTCATCAAACGAGTTGCACGATCCCATCAGCTTCAAACTTTTCAGCCAGCACTCTCATATCGTTGCAATTTCAACAACTGGCAACGTATTTCTCGCAGAGAGCATCAAGGGTGGGCGGGACCTCATAAGTGATGTCCCTTACAAAAAGTTTGTCGCATCTCTGAAGCACAGTGGAACCAAGCTCAACTTTCTCAGGGAGGATGTGATAACACTGCAGAATCCGCATGACCTTCCTTCAGTATCCATCGCTGCTGCCAAGTCTGTTGCCACAGCTGCACCCGAGAATGATAAGAAGGCCATGGCCCCTCCGTCCGTGATACCTGTGAAGGCAAAAGCAGAGGTTCCATGTCAGTGAGGAAATCTGCTATCGGATCGTCTTGCTCAAACTACACATAGGGAACGTGTCACCGTATTCAAATGGTTTACCTGGTGCCAGTTTGACTTCGACTTCGGTCGACCCAACGGCCAATGTATCTTCTAAATTGGTCTGGGATGAGGTATGTTCTGTTTCTAGTATGTATGCGTTATATCTGACGGCATATTCAGGAGGAACTTATGTTCGAGGACATCTCCAATCCTCTCAAAGGCAAAGGAAAGGAAAAGGATGTCGGAAAGAGGCGTGCATACGTTCGCGTGATTACAAATCTGGGTGGAAGCAGTCTGAACTTGGAACTATTTTGTGACAAGGTGTGTTTTACGTGCTGCCATCTGTGACCCCGATGTTGAAATCGCTAGGCACCGAAAACATGCTATAATTTTCTGATGTTGGCTAAAGCAGGCAAATACAACGACTGTCTCTTCCATCGATTAGTTCCCGGCTTTATGGTCAGTTCTCTGCTCAAATCTGAACGTCAAAATTGATGCGTGGCACATAGGTCCAGACGGGTGATCCGACTGGCACTGGGTCTGGAGGATCTTCATATTGGGGAACACCCTTCCGTGACGAATACGATCTAAAGAACGCTGCACGACATGATTCGAGAGGCACGCTTGCGATGGCAAACAAAGGAGCGGGGACGAACGGCTCTCAGTGGTACTTGACGTTCAAGCCATGCCCTCATCTGGACAAGAAGCACACCGGTACGCCTTCCCAGTTACGTTGCTCTGCACGAGCTGAGTATTTACACAGTATTCGGGAAACTTGTTGGCGGAGAAGATGTGCTGGACGCGATCGAAAAGGTCGGAGTCAAAGAAGGCGGCTCGCGGGTGAGTCATGACAATAGTTGCATCGTACGGAACTGAACCATCTCGTCCAGCCACTCAAACCAATTCGTATCACAGAAGTTGTCATGTGAGTTGCCACCGGGGACCTTAGCCAGTCGCTGATTATACTTGGCTGGTTCAGTTACCAGGATCCCTTCGAAGAGTACAAGACACGATTGGCCAAGAAATTGGCCAGGAAGAAAGAAGCGGAACAAGGCGCCCCGGCGGATAAACCAGTTGTCAAGCAGGGAGACGGAGTGAATTGGTTCGGCGTCAAAGTCGGTTCTGAATCAGCTCCTGTAGTAGCTGCTGAAGGTGGTGTTGGCAAATACCTGGGCCTCAAACGATCGCAGGAGACCACTGCCTTTGATCAATCTGGGGCTGAGGGCAAGAAAAAGCGCAAGATAGGATTTGGCTCCTTCGATAGCTGGTGATACTCAGATATATGTAGATGGCCATGTTGTGTATGTAAACTAGGCTGCCATGGGAACTCTTTCGTGTGTCGGCTCCTCCTCCAGGATCGGGTCTTCGGTTGCGATGAGCTCGTGAGTGGGAGCGGACGGTAGTTCCACCGGCTTGACCCCGAGCTGAAGCTTGCGTAAGCGAGAGCAGCGCATGGATAGGAAGCGATAACTTACAGCCTCGGCCTGGAGCGCAGCCAGCTCCTGTTGAACAGCATCCTCGTCGTCAGCAGAGAGATTATTGGCGAGTATGTCGCTGATTTCCTATTCCACATCCAGTTAGACATGCAATGGCGGCCATAGCCCTGCGCTTACCCTCTGATACTCTTGTGCCTCCTGTGTCTCTTCCATGAGCTTCTCCACACTCTCGATGCTCATCTCTTGATGAATTTGCTTGAGAACCTCGTTGCCCTGCTTCAGGCCGTGCATGATAGAAACCTCGACCAGGGAGAATTCGATTGTCGAAACCTGTTGCTACGCTCAGCGCAGGGATAATGACATCAATAACGGACCCACCAGCTGCTCGAGGGTTTCCAGCTGACCATCCGTCTTAACGAGCAGGCTCTCTTGGTACTTGCGTTTACGAAGGGCGATCACCGCGCGGTCCTTATTTCCTGCGGCAAGGTGGGCCCGGGCTATCGCATGTTCGCGGTCGAGGACAGTTTGGATCTACGATGCAATGTTGGGCGTGGACTGCGCTTTCATGCAGGTTACGAGACGCGCCTTCTTCTGGTATTGTCTGAGCTTGTCGCGTTGGAGCTTGAGACTGGAAGATGGAGAAGCATGGTCATTGGTAGAGTTTGAGTGCCGGTGGATGGGACACACACTCGAGAATAGCGCGATCCTGAGCAGTGACTTTGGGTAGAGACTGGTTCGCACCCATGAATTGGTGCTATCACATGGTGATCGCATGCGGAATCATCTGATCTACCTCTGATCCGAGTCGGAGATCGCGTGCGCTCATGAGTTCCATCCTGCTGTGATTCTACTACTTGACTTGCCACCATGGTCGTCCTGCTACTTTCAATCAAAGGTACTTGAGATCGTGGCTCGAATCACTCCTATGAATGATGTGCATTGCAAGCCGAACTGGAGAATGTCGCCAGTCTTGAGGTCCCTGCCGATTTCGAATTCTTCTTCCAGGTTAAGTGCAACAGCTGCCACGAAGTCCATCCCAAGCTGGTCACCCTGAATCGACAAGTATACACGCAACACACGTTCTCCTTCGTGTTCCCCTCATGGTTCGGTTTCACTAGGATACCTACGATCTCTCTGGTAGCAAAGGAGCGACAGCCAATTTTGTCTGGCGATGTGGACTATGTATGTTGAAGCTATACCCAATCCCATTCTGGCCGCTTCTATTGGGATACAGGCAAACGCGAAAGCTCTGCAAAGTTTGAGGAGTCGTATCCTCTCCAGGCTTACACGGCGGAGAATGCCCAGTTCGCGCCGCTGCTCAAGATTGAATGCCGCGGTAGATGATTTGCCTTCTGTGACAGTCGATGGAAACTGAAACACGCAATCAGGTCTAGAGTTTGTCGGTTTCGATCCCAGGGTGTGTTGTGTTCGTCGTGTTTTATCAGCTGATGACCGGGAGCAGGGCGTCTGGAGATGCGAAGGCCAAACAGGCACCGTTTTCCCCGAGGTTGAAATCCCTGACGCAAATGCAGAATGGGTGGACTATGACGAGAAGGTTTGCAATCCCAACAGTTTTTTCTCTTGTGTTAAAGCCGTCGTAGGCTGCTTTACCAGTAGGCGTGTCCGCAATTGAGAGCCGGTGGACGCGTGCATAAATTGGTATAATTAGTACTCTGCTTTGAAGAAAATCCTGGCTCCCCAATCACGAGCGACGGCGTCCCTCTAATACATCTCTTTTCCAAGACGATGGCTCAGTGATCTTCTCTACCGCCGCACTCAAATTTTCTTTGCCAGCCTCGATCACTCGGGCCTTCTTCTTCTGAGCTTTTTTGATGCGCTCGATACCCCATAGCGCGATCACTGCTCGACTGATTCTGGCCTTGTGCATGTCCACGCCTCGATCCCGGAGCACATCAACAAAATGCTCGAAATGCTGTCGCCAATGAATCGAGATCGCACCGGGGGGAGGAGACTCACTGAGATTGACGTGCGATAATGGCCCGACAGCGGCGACAATTTGTAAACAATTCCTTGCTTGACCGTGATCAAGCCCGCGCTGGTCACCACACCTCCGCCCAGCAAAGAGGAATGTTGAAAAGTCCCTGTCTTCTTGATTCCGATAAAGATATTGACTCATCATCCCATCAGCTGGTCATAGCAAGCTTTGTAGCAGCCCACGCACAATGTTTGTCCTTGGCACTGAGCGTAAGCTGTCTGTGCAAGACAAGTGATACAAGGTGACGCACCGAGACATATATCCACGTATTTTTCCGGACCGTCTTGCGCAATAAACGGTCCACAACCCCACGCAGGGTGAATCGCTTCCTGAACTCCCTCGTGATGCGGTATTTGCCTTTCTGTGGGCCAGCGTAATGCGTGGCCGCCGTGTCCAATGCATCCGTGTGAGATCCGTCATCGTCCACAGAAGAATCAGACGATGAAGGCCCGCGCGTCAACGCCTGTCGCATAGATGTCCGGTCCGGAATGATTCCCTGCCCGTTTTCGGAGTCCACCCATCGCCCTGGGGTCGTATCGACCAGGTCATGGCTCTTCGCCCATCTGAGCCGTCCCTCTGCATCAATCTCAACCAGATAGTTCAATCCTGTGTGGGGTGGTCAAGTTTGTCCGATCCTCAGCTTGAATGAGACATACTTTGCTCTGCGGAAAGATATCTGGCAGCACATCCTCATCAAGGGTGAAGACATACATCGACGGGAGACGCACATGATCCTCTACTTAAAACGTCGTCAGTGAGAGGATCGAAGTAGTCAATAGCGATGAACCCGCCTCTTTCTCCAGCTGATCACGAGAACACTCTTCGAGAGATAAGTCCTTTCCATCACCCTTATCTAGCCTAACAAGCATCGGTGGTCATGATGCGGACGGGGAGTCTAAGGGGCTCAGCAGACGCACCACCTGAAGAAGTTATGGTCCGTATCCTCTGTCTGCCACCGACGGTGATACCACTATCGAGGATGAGCAATGCAATTCGAAACATACCCCAGCCACTTGCCTTGACTGCGAACACTGAGCAGTGAGCGCTAACAAGACACAAGACGACTCAACGATTAGACCCATACCGGTGTTTTCCATCCACTAGCTCTAGCCAATGCTGTGTCTCCAAAAACTTGGAGGACACCGCGTCGCGCTTGTCGACCCCGTTCTCAGTCAACATATTGTTCCCGTCCTGGAGCTCAGATGCAAACTGGATGGCTCGCCACCACCGTGCACGCGGGGAGTTGTGGTCGCCGCCGGCGTGGGCGGCTGCGCGGGCTGCAGTGAGGGTCGCGTGCGTTTGGACATCCTTGACGCGCACAGAGGTCGTGAGGTACGAGGACGCGTCCTTGCGATGTTTCCGCCGCCAGAAGTCCTTGATAAGCCTGAATAACAGCTTGCGCGTCCGAGTGTGAGAGACTTGCCTGGATTCGTTGAGCTGCAGTATCGTGGTTCAGGGTCGAAGACATGTTCTGACGTCATTGGGGACGATATGCAATATCATGAACTGACTATACATGGCTAGTCGTACAGAATCCAAATCACGGGATGGACGGTACCAGGAATTAAAAGTGTTGCTACAGACGTTATAACATGAACAACAGAAATGCGTGTAGATGATGCTGTGCGGGGCGTGTCCAATTAGTAGAACGCAATCAACTGTCCGACGGTCGCGATTTGGGCTCAAAGCCCTCGAATTGCCACCCCGGAGTCAGGACGAGATAAGGATCCTTCCGCAGCTCTGAAGCAGGCGGCCGCTCCTCGGGATTGCTGTGGACAAGCGATGAGTCGTGCGGACACAAGTGGGCAACCATCACACTTACATGGCAAAACATTTCTTCCGGAACTCATCAGCCAACGGTGTGAGCACCAAACCTTCAGGAACGGGCGGTGGCTGCTTGGATTGGAAGAGCTTGAACATCACAGCTACTAATTCATCGCCCGTCCAGGGTCGTTGGCCAGCCCACATCTCGAGCACGACACACCCGATGCTCCAGATGTCAATTTTGAAGTTGTAGCCCTTTTTCCCGGTGTTGATGACCTCGGGCGCCATCCAGAAGACCGTGCCTTGCATGGCGGTATGTGCGTCGTTGTGATCCTCAGTCCGCTTTGAAATACCAAAGTCAGAAATCTTGCAGACACCCGACATTTCGACTAGGATATTGTCTGATTTGAGATCCTGCACGATGGTCAGACAAACGGTCGAGTTTACATCAGGAATCAACATGCCCGATGCAAGATACCCTGGGAATGAAGATATTCCAGCCCAGCGAGAATCTGCGATGTGAACGACTTGGTGACATCCTCGTCGAATTTGCCGTGTCTGAGCAGACAGCTGCCAATTGATCCACCAGGGACGTATTCCAGGAAACTGCAGTCTTCCGTCAGCTTTCTAGAGATTGAAACGTCTACAATCTGCTCACATGCTCAGATTGGAAGGAGTCTCCTCGAAGCCGAGATATTGAACGATGTTGGGATGATCGAGCACCTTGAGAGTCTCACTCTCGAGTTTGAGGGCCTGCACGACCGTGACCTGGCGGGAGTCGTTCTTGTCGCTAGCAGTGCGCGGAATGTCGACTTGCTTGACCGCTATCATTTCTCCGGTTGTAACATTCAAAGCAAGGTAGACTCGGCCGTATGTTCCTCGGCCGATGAGTTCACCACGGACCCACTTGAAGGTGGCTACAAGCAGTCAGAAACGAAAACAGGAAAACCACGTAGTCACGCACTGGGACCTTCACTGGTCGACGGTGACTCGGGTAGAGTGGCCGTATCGACCACCTCTTCGACGCGACTACCCCACAGTTTGGTGCTGCGCTTGCGCTGGACGGCGGTGAGCGAATCGCCGATCCTGGAAGTCCTGTCTATGTATTTTTTACGCTCCTGAGCGACAATACGAATGCTCTTCTTGCTTCGGATACGGCCCTTGTCTTTCTCGGGAACGACCGGAGGTGCTGGCACAGGCTCTGTCGGGGACGCGCTGCCGGAAATAGCTTCGACAACGGGCTTGTCGAGGTCGTGTTCGGGGAAAAAGTCTTCCAGACGCTCGTACACATCGTCCAAAGGTGGTCTAGGTGCCCAGGTGGCTTCTTCACGGACAGTGAAGGTGCTGGCACGGAACCCCTGTCCAGTTCGAGATGAAGGGGATCGAGCGGACGGAGATCGTCCACTGGACACGCCACTTGTCAGTCTGCTGGTGAGTGGGCCGTCTTCGCTATCGTTTATTCTCACAGTCAACGCAGGACCGCGCAAATTCGACTTGGAAGCGGCTGGGCCGGAGGGTGCGACTTTCCAAGTGCCAGTGTTCTCGTCGCTGTCCGAGTCATATGACAAGGTCGTCATCGACGTGCCAGTGCTGAAGGACGTGCCGGTTCCATCTCCTCCAAAGCCTAGGGTCGTGCTCAGTGTCGAGTTCAACGACGGCCTGTCGGGTATGACGGTCGCCGATTCCATGTCTCCCATCAGCTGTGCGCTCTTCGCGAGCACCCGTGTAGCCCAACGTCCACCATCCAGTTCTGTCGAAATAGCCGTCGAGATCTCGGGCAGGTCGCCGCTGGAACTGGACGAGGATGACGGTCGTGCTATAAATCTCGGACTCCTTGGACTGACGGGACTGTCTGACGGCCGAGTGTCTGACGGCCGATTCACCCGATACGGTAGTGCCGAAGTAGGAAACACATGCGTAGGGGACGGTGCTCGTGCAAACCTTCCGCTCGGTGATGTCAGCGAGTCTCCGAAAGCAGATTGCGGACGAGGGTATGGATCCTTGGGTGACTTGACATTGGACGGATGTCCGCTCGGCAACCGCGAGCCGTACACTGGACTGAGCTCGTGGATGGTGGGTGTCACGTGAGCCGAGCCTTGGATGGGCAAAGGTCGTATATGCCGACTTTCGTACGATTTGGGGGCACCCAAGGTCGAATTGGGTGTGCTCAGAGGCACATTGATGGGCATTGCAGGGTGTCTTGCTCCTCCTGCTTGCAAATTTGACGGATGGGAGTTTATCGCCGAGCCGCGCAGGTTGTCCATACTCTTGGCGCCTTTGGTCAGCCGTTTCCAAGTCGTCGATGAGGTTGGCATCGGAGCAAGCTTGTGCGACGAGTTGAACATCAGCCCTCGCGTTGCGATGCGCGAATCGGTTTGGGATGAAGGAATCGGCGGCGGCGCGTTCCTTGGAGGAGCGGGAATAGCCAGTCTTGTGTATGGCGAGACAGGTTTATTGTATTTGGCCGGCGAAAAATGGTTTCTGGTGTTGCGGCTGGGCGAATGCCGCACTTCAGATGATGGCTGCGTCCTGTGCGACGACCGCACTTCAGGGAGATGACGAACTTCCGGTGATTGACGAAGTTCACCCGAATGCCCGGTGTCGTTCTGCACCATAACCCATTCCTGGTTGGGACTTTCCTCTTCACTGTGATAATGGTTCTTGACACGCGAGCGTTCGTTGGAAGAATCCATTCGAGGGCGCCAGGACCTGCCCTCGAGCGGTCGACGAGACGGCGGATAATCTTCCGACGCAACCCGGGCGTGGATCTGTGTACCAGGCGGCGTGACATTTTCATCCTCGATTTCGAACGTCGCTCGGTTCGGCGAAAGCGGAGGAGGAGGCGGAGGCACGGGCATGATGTTTCCATATCTGTCCACCAGCACGGTCGCGTCTCGGGGCAACGGCGACGACGACCTCGATGGAAGCGGAGATCCGGCCCGAGCAGGCAGCGGTCTCCCGTTGGGCACAGTGAGACTGGCTGGAGGTACCCTATCTTTCTCAAAGTCCGCATCGTATCCAGTCGTTTCTGAGGCCAGATTCTCGCTGGCAGACGACATGCTTCCGTTACGGGATCGAGACATTCGTCGTGGCTTGAGAGGTCCGTGCGTCGGAGGTGAAAAGGGCACAAATGGAGGGACCATGCCCGTCGGAGATAGCGCGCTGTTGAGAGGAGGGAGAGGTTCATGGACACGAGCAGAGGAATGCGAGACCAGAAGCTTCAAGGATCCTTTTTCGTCACCAAAATCCCGGCACAGACTGAACAGCTTCTCGTCCGACAACGCATCACTGGTCGCGAGACTGCCTATTTCGGTGCGGTAAATTGAAAAGTAGGACTGGTCCTCGTCGTCATAGATGTTGAGCTTCAGAAGTAATGGAATCAGAGTCTAAAGGAGATAGATCACACAGTATTAAAGACACGCACCTTGGTGAACACGCGCTCGCGGATGAATGCAGGATTAGATGCTCCACTGATATCCACATTCACATAACGTTCCGAGTCAGCCGTTACAAGGATGAGGACGCGATCTGCGACCTTATGCGTCGACGATTGAGATGTGTACGAATCCGGGGTATTGACTGTCGGAGAATGAGACGGAAGCTTGCGGGGTGATGTGATGGGAATGCGAGGAAGGCGTGTGCGCGGTGGAGGATGTGGAGGATGTGAGAGGGTAGCATGAGGCAGCATAGTGACTGTTGAAGGAGACGTATACGAATGGGAGGGATCGCCTGCTCCAACTTATCAGCCTTGTCTGTGCGGTCCGAGTCAATGTCCAGGCCAGGAGTAGACGGAGGTGGCGTCGAATGAGTGGACTCGTCGGCCGCTGGATCACTGGTTGTCGAGGGCGAAGATAGTGAAGACGGATGAGATTGCATGCGGCGCGTAGTGAGAGGTGGTGGTGGACCTGGAGTCGGGGGAAGAGGTGGAGGGACATAGCCCCGGTAAATGCCATAGGAGGGGCGCCGGCTTTCCTCATCTGAGCTACCCGAGTCAGGATTAACGACAACTAGCTGAGGCTTTCGTTTGCGACCGCCAACTTCCGAAGCCATTGATTAGACTGGAAACCACCATCAGTACCAGGGTAAGTATAAGCCACGGAGAATATGACGGGACAAGAAGTGGACGTGCCACAGGTCGAGGGGAAAGGTATCGAGCGAGACGGTACACACCTGTGAGGAGAGTGGAGATGTGTAGCAAGCTGGTCGGCAAGGTCTAAGTGAGATGAATGTCAGTAACAATGCAGGTAACGGGAGGCAAAATAAAACGGCAGTGTCCCGCGAAGACGCAAATAAGCGAAATGAGACGATGCAGGTGATGGAGGATGTGTAGATGGTGGATGCAAGAAAGTGTGAGGGTCTCGAGCCAACGGATGTACACACCGCGGGGCCGACTTGAGCGAGGGCTTGTAGATGTATACGATCGAAGCGCCACAAGCACGGAACTCGCGGGATTGAGAAGTCGAAGACTGCGCCAGTGAATGCAGACGAGCCCACACCAGGAAAGCGATTCGGTCAGTTCATGCTCTGGTCGAATGCCGACAAACAAGTACAACACAGACTGGCGTAGTTAGTATGCAAAGTGATCAAATCAATCATTTACATCCGTCGCCGGATCCACTATGGTCAGATACCATTTGGACTATAAGTACTATGGTACAACATATACGAGACAAGGTACACAGAGATCCGAGAATTTCTCATAGTTCTAGACGTGGAAATTCGGCTCGTTCTTCCAACATGCTTTCGCCCCAGGTCATAAGCTTCAGTAAGCCCACCAATTTGGCCTCCTTGCCCTGGCTCATGCTCTCGAGAATGGCCGCGTTGACCTCACCTGCTGTCTTCATGCGCTGAGTGGGTGAAAGCAAGTCGGCAATACCATGAGGAGGGCTCCCGGACATATCGAACGCCAGCAGAGCCATGGTGCGCTCTAATTCTGACAAAAACTCCGGCCTCTCTTCTCCCCTACGTGCCAGCTCGTCCTGCGCGAACTGCAGTGCTTCGGATATTTGCCCGCGCCGGATGTATTCAATCAGTCGTTGCTGTTGAAGATGAAAGAAGAGAGCTGGATTGGTGTCTAGGATCTACGAACGGAACATCAGGACCGATAACAATAACAATGAACAGGAGAACGCGAGAAATCATATTGAAGACTGAAGTTTTGGTTTTCTAGTCTCATCACCGACCCCGAAGGGTCTGAGAGTGGTGCATGAAAGATTCTAATCCTAAGATGCATAATGAAGAGACGATGCGCACCTCAGGGTTGAGATCATTCACACGAGTGATCGCGTCCTCAACATCTCCCCGCTGCAAGGCGTCGCGAATGGTCATACGGCTTTCGATAGTGTCATAGTCGACAGGCGGAGTGAGACTAGCTTCTTGGCTGAATTCCTCTGCGGCAGACTTGTAACCTTCGATGACCAGATAATCCATAATCAGTCGATTGAGGTCTCTGAAAATCGGTGTCAGCATTCTGTCCGATGCAATGGTTGGAAGTTGAAAATGAAAGTTCAGTAAATGTATGTCAATTTGTCTCCTCAAGGGATTCAGAGAGATTCCCAATTGTGTTTATCATCTGGGTAGGATGATGATTAGAAACGCTACTCACTGCTTGGTGACATGAGCTTCATGAAGTCGACGGTCCCATTCTTCAGAGCGGATCTGAACCTTGGGCTGGCGGTTTTGAGATGCCTAGTATACGAAGAGCGCGGTCTATGGGTCAACCACGAGCAGCAACATGCGTGGCTGTAGGGAAGAACGAACCATGTAGCTGCAATGAAAAAGATGGGACTTTATACGCGGTCGACTTGGCCAAAGCACGACAAACAACTGTCAGTGTTACGGCCACGTGAGGTGATTGCAATTCGAATGACTGTGAGGCGCAGACTGTACACTACAAGTTTCAGCCATTTGTTTAGATTCAAGAGGCTAGGAACGTGGGCTTCGAAGTTGCAGACATGTAGTGCTATACCATTGACCGCATCAAAGCAAACTGTGAGTAGCACTGCAAGATCGGTTTCTGGTAGGCTCAATAAACACGGCCGACCTGAAGGACATCCGTGGTGCACTGGAATCGGGATTGCACGATTATGCCTTCGACACTATGCCTCCGCCGCGAATCATGTCGAAGAAATCATCCTTGTTAACCGTACCTGCGAAATTGATTAGAAACAGGCTTGGAGTGTGGAAGGCTAAACCCACTCTCTTTCGCCCGCCCGAGCATATTGTCTTTTTTCTTACTCTTCCTCGATTTGTTATCGTCCATTACGGGTGCTGGCAGTGTTGGTTTTCCAGTTCCTCTGTTAGCTTTATGTTCTTCAGCTACAGCCGATGCAGATGCTTGGGTCTGTTGTATGGCATTGAACAGCTTGATCACTGGCGAGTTTCAACTAGGAGCTTGATAACACGAGCGACGACGAACCTCCTCGTTGGGCAACCTTGCGTAAAGCCCGCTCACTTTCTCCTCCCCAACCCCCAATGACATCGGCTATGTGCCCTTTGTCTTCCTTCTCCTTCCGTTCAACCTGCAGCACTTTCTTCGCGCGTATTTCAAGCTTCTCGTCGTTCCTTTTCTTGATATGGACGGCTTCAGAGATAGAGGAAGAGCAGATGGAGCATCGGTGCTGAGAAGAGACTGGAGTGTCGCTCCGAAAGCCGTTGTTCCTGAAGCACGGATTTTTCGCTTCTTCGTCTGCTGAGACTTTTGTGGTTTGAGATTTTCGATTCCTTCGGAGTTCCCGCTTTCAGCTTCAGAGTCCGACTCGTTTACGGACAGGCCCTGGGAGGCATCGCTTTCATCGTCTTGTTCGTTCTGGGACGCATTCGAAGATTGACCATTGCGATCTTCGGGTTCTGAGAGTCGTAGTCGTTTGGCTGGAGGAGACATTCTTCTAGTCTTACTGTTTGGTCATGTGTGTCCACCAGGATCCTGACTTCGTTCGCCCTTGACCCGTATTTCGAGCTTCGAGTCTAAAGGTTAACCGTTTACACTACTTAATTCTCACTCCCGACAATCCAACCATTCGGAGGGGCCTGCCTTTCATTCTGAAGATCACAATTCAGTCAGGTTCGGTGCTGGCACCGTAGCGCAGAATGGATCTTTCACCGGCACCCGACCTCCACCCTCTCTATCCCAATACCACTCAGATCGCGGAATCCCTTGCACCGGACTCTGGTTTGACGCCAGATGAACGTGCGGAGTTGGTTCATCATTGTATCGCGCGCGCGTGCGCGTTCGGAGAACTCTCTGTGATGCAGTTCCTTATCTCGAACCCGCAGGCCCAACAATATGTGGATCTCGGTTTCCGTGATGAGGATGGGACTGGGCTCGTCAGTGCGACTATTCACGGTTTCGGGGCGGAATCCGAGCATGATGTAGAGCGTGAGGAGGTCACGCGTCTGCTCGTTGCGCAAGGAGCAGATTTAAGTGCCGACAAAGGTGCGTTGCTCGATTCTTGGTGACCTGAAATGCTTCAACGCAAAGTACTGCTACATAGCTGGATGGACTCCATTACACCATGCGGCGCTGTTATCCCCTCCCACACTCATCTCGTATCTGCTGACACACGGCTGTTCACCGTTTGCCCTAACGCGTCGCAAGCTCACTCCGCTTGACATTGTCACCGCTCACTCGACTCTGCCGGGCCGAGAAGATGTGGCATTGCTCCTCGAAGAGGCCATGCGCGGAGAGGGCTGGACAGGTGGGAAGATGGGAGAGAAACGTAGGTTATTCGATGAGAAACGACGAAGGAGAGAGAACTATCGCTTGGTTTATGAAACTGTCGGGAAGACGTTGGGGGTCGGATCGAATTGGTGGTTCGATGGGGACTCGACGGATTCCGAATCTGGCGATGAAGAAGTTGACGATGCGGTCTATGTGAGTCCTCTCTTCCTTTAGGCGAGCCTCAATCTGATCATAGTCAGACTCCTCCCGCAGACTATTCATCCATGCTTGTTTTCTCGCCCCCCGCACTTCCGCAGATATTCGAGTCTCTTATCACGAATTTTCAGCCATCCTTCCGTAGTTGCCAGCCGGCGAACAGCCTTTACATGCTTGCTAGGTTCGCCTGCTTAACATGTGATCATACTTGGCTGGAGGACTTGATCATCGGGGCAACAGACGCGATTGAGGAGACGTTCTTTGTAAAGCCATTCTGCCGCTTCGTTCTGATTCTCATTGGAATACGCTAGGATCGCGCCGATGATATTACCTGTCTCGTCTTCTGGCTCCGAAACACGACGGTTTGGCTTCATCTTTTGCGGTATGTGCCACAACAGGCCCGATGTCCAGCTGACGCGTCGACAGCTGCGACAATTCGATCAACGAGGCATGTGAAATGTTGGGTTCTTTTGAGCTCATAGAGGAAGTGATCAATTCCGTGTTTGGTACGTACCATTGCACGCCCATGGTCGCGGCTCGCTGATCTACCAGGTATCAGTTTTCATCATTCGGTTTGCCGAACGCCGAATAGATCAGCTTCTGGAACCAGCCATTCTCGATTACGCTCCTGTAGGGGCTGAAATAGACTCGATCCAATTTGAGTCGGATTGGTCCTTCCTGCGGTCTCTCACAGGGAAGAAAAAGACCCAGGCAGGACCTCCACCTTCGAGCATGCGAACTGGGGCCGGGACCACGGCACCTGCACCGTCCAGCCCGAATCGTCCCCCGTCACCATCCCCGAGCGTTTCTCCCTCCACTTCGCGTGGCTTTTCGTCCCTGAAACAGACTTTCTCGCGAGCCCGATCCGGATCCTCCACGACACCCCTGCAAGCATTGTTTGCTGAAGGTCCTGCAGTGACATCGCCAGTGGAGATCACTTCCTTCATCACTGCTCTGCACACCTTATTTACCCTTTCGGAAATCAATCCCGCTCTCACAACACAACTTTGGTCTCAGGTCACGTACTGGACATCTTGTGAGGACTCCCTCGCTTCTTCTACACATGTTCTCAAGGCCATTAGGCGAGATGTTCAACCGAATCCTAACACGCAAGAAATATCTGTGTCGGTGAGTCAGTTTTGCGCTTTTGACGTTGATTCTCTGACCTTCTCCCAGCTCCCGGGCCGCGCAAATCAGCATCAATCTAGGAGTACTTGAAGAATGGATTCTCGACATGGGCCTTCCTCGTGGTGTGCAGGCACATTTTAGTCCTGTTCGAGATCTTCTCGCTTGGCTCGGTGTAGGTCTTGAAGCCGCTAATCATTTCCCAACTCATTCCCATGTAGTGCCTTTCATCCATCACAGAGTTTTCTGAGCTCGTGGGCACGATCCAGACTCTGTCCCATATCAATCCTTTGCAAATGCGTCGGGCAGTGCGCGAATATCGATTTGAAGTCAATGAGACTCGCATGTCAGAAGAGTGTGTCCAGTACCTGACCCAGCTCCAGAAGGACTGGGAAAGGCGACGAGTCAAGCTCGGGGTAGAAGCACTACGGAAAGAAGTGTGTCATCAGTTGTCCTCTCGTACCGGAAACTCAATAAAGTCAGAGGGACACAGATCGGGACAGTGTTTCCTCGTTCGCGACTGAAGGACCGGCCTCGGTGACTCCGTCTATCGCGTCGTCGGATGTATCCGCGGGGCAGCAAGGTGTCGACATGCTGTTTGAGCGCTCGCAAGATCCTTCAGGCTGGGAACCAGCCAAACCGCCTCAAGTGCTGGGTGAACTGCTCGATTCTCGTCACATGCTTCCCCTATCCTTCCCTTCAGATCCACGAATGCTGTCTGTGTTGCCGGGTCGCCTCGTCTTTCCTGATGATCGAGCCAGTATTTTTTCACCCGACTCTCGCAGCCCGAACGAGCCCTTGATGCCGTGGCGGTCCAGAGACAGGTCGTTGCGGCAAGTTGGGATCCGCACACTCCAGTGGGTGGATGGAGTTCGTTCAGCAGCTCGCTGGCAGCGTCGGGCTGCCGATCCGGACGACGACGAGCAGCGTGCGATTACTCCCCAGACGCACGACACTGATCTGCCTGCCGAGGAGCTCACAGTGGACACCCACATCACACCACTCACCAGAAAGCCTTCCGGGCGAAGAGGCAGACAAAGTCAGGGTGGAGACCCGGAGGCCACGCCCGTCGATCATCCTTAGCATACTTTATCTCTTTCACCACCAATCTTAGCATTCATTCATGTACCGGATACCGGACCCTCGTCGCTTTCATAGATCTGTACTCTCGGTTGTTCTGGTTTCGAAGTCTTAGCCCTGCCAGGCTGATGGCTGTGTCGGAGCCGTTTCACCGCCGCCTTGAGGACGTACTTCAAGTTCCTCTCTTCCGCTTTCCCTCACACAATGGCTTCACCTGGTTATGACCATTATACTTATACGCCCACATCTGACGCGAAACAACCTCCACACAATTATGACGCAGTGCCGGATTCTTTCCGGAAGACGAAGCCTTCAATCCTGCCACAATTCCCAAGGCGTACGCAGACGACCCCTACGAGACGCAAGGCCACTATCAGGACGAGGAGACTGGGAAGTACACTCAACCCAGCCACGGTTGGAGGACCGCCAGTGAACCGGCGGTCGAAGACCCTGCAGCCTCGTTGGTGCATAATGCGGGCAACGCTGGTCAGAATTATCAGAACATGGGTATGCCCCAGTCTCACGACCTTCTCGTTCACTCTTGGTCAACGTCGTGCAGAATATTCCGATCCCTATAGCGCGGATGCAGCTAAACCGGTAGCAGCGCAGGGAGCAACGCCCATCTCGAGGTTCATGGGGTTGACCGAAGGCAACGACGCGCTGCAACGAAGAATAGACATGAAGAGGCGAGGTATTGGTAGACAGCGATACCCATATGTCGGTACGTGGATTAGCTACTGCCACTGTTCCTCTACTCACCTACCGTAGTATGGATTCTGACGCTGGCGATGGTGAGCTCAATTTGCTCGATGGCAGGCCAAACATTGAACCATGCTCCCAGGTCATCACCTTTGTAATTGAACTCGTGGCCAACAAGAAAGCCCAGGGCTCGCTGGTCTCATTCAAGGTCCGTCGGCACACTGTCCTCAATTCATACCTTCTGACCTTTCTTCTACGCTAGCCCGTCGTGAATTACATGATCGGACCCTCGAGCACTATCCTGATTAACGTCGGTGCTCGATTTCCACCCTGTATGAAACTGGTGGACGCTGTTCCCCCGACTATGGCGATCGGTTGCACCAACAACACCGCGAACCCTCCGACTGAGATATGCACAATTGCAGACATCTGTGGATTTGGTGGAGTGAGCGCCCAGGCCCCGAATCAGTGGTTCCGGTGAGTTCAGGCGTCACCCATGTCCCTTAGCATTGACCCGTTGCTTTCACGCAGATTTATTCTCCCAATCTTTTTGCACGCAGGCGTCATACATCTTCTCCTGAACATGCTCGCGCAGCTATCTGTTTCTGCCCAGGTTGAGCGAGAGATGGGCAGCGCCGGTTTCTTGATTACCTATTTCGCAGCTGGGATCTTCGGGTCAGTCAAAGCGTCACTCTTGCTGCGGACATTGATTGATGTACGGAACAGCAACGTCCTTGGTGCCAATTTTGCCCTAGTAGGACGACCTTCCGTCGGAGCCAGCGGTGCGATATTCGGGACGGTTGCAGTACGTTGTCAGAACTGGTGAAACGACAGTCGTTGACGGTTACAGCTAACGTGGGTCGATCTGTTTGCTCATTGGAAGTATCATTATCGTCCGGGGCGAAAAGTGCGCAGCCTGAAACTCGACGCCTCTCGGGACTTACGATTTCCAGCTACTCTTCATGACCATCGAGCTTCTCATTGGAGTCGCGATCGGTTACATACCTTACGTGGACAACTTTGGTGTGTACACGCGGCCGGCCGTCACTCATTCTGACTGATGTTCATAGCTCACCTGGGGGGATTCTTGATGGCTCTGCTAGTGGGAACAGTTTTCTATCCCATCATTTCTGTCAGCAAACGGCACAAGATCATCACCGGCTGTGCACGTCTTGTTGCGCTTCCCATAGCCGTGGTGCTCTTCGTCGTTCTCATCCGCAACTTCTACACGGCCGATCCGTACTCTGCATGCCAGGGTTGCCGCTATCTCTCGTGCTGGCCGACTGCGAGCAACAATCATTGCCAAGGGACGGGTTTGACGACATCATCGAGCTCTATCTGAGCCGAGCATTGGACTTGTAATAGACACACACCGGACTTTTCAAGCACTCGTCTCATTAGCCACATATGTATTCCAGTAAACATACAATTGTTCAATGATGAATAGTTGAAATCTTTCTCCATTTCCCGGGCGGTCGATCAGCCGATCAGTATAATTTGTTGCGATCGACACCAGCGCGATGCATTCGTGCTTGCTAGTCAGCCTCAGCATTCGACGTCCTGTGGGCAGCCTCGAGCAGCATTCGGCTTGTTGCAGACTCTGCGACGCACCCAGGTCCCACCAGCCCTTTGGCTGAGATATGTCCCAGCTCTATTGGCAGACCGGGAGCATTCTCTTCAGCGTCATTGCTGTCCTGCTCCGTTATGCCCTGTTCGGTCAGTGTGTATCATTGATTACCTTATTACCTCCACCAATGAATCCCTCTGTCAGACCAATTCGATCCCTCGCGCTGTGAGGCCCTGACCCACCAAGGAAGCTGGTTGGATCACAAATTAACCCGTTGGCAACCCCATGGTGGTTCAACTTCGTATCACCCGCTCCAAGCGCGAGTTGACCCGGAATCTCAGGTTGCATGCTTCATGAATACCGACCCCAGGACGGCTCAAAGTGTTTGGGCGGCGGAGAGGTGGTCTTCATCGGAGACTCGGTTACTCGGAATCTGTTCTTCCAGGTGCGTGCATCCCCCATCACGCGTCACACAGTATTCTAGACGATCGGTAGTTTGCCAGCATACTTGACCCGAGTATCCAAGGTTCCCCTGTTGGGGACGAGTTCAAGCACCAAGACCATTCCGTGCGAACGAAGTCCGGCACGAACCTCTTCTTCGCGTGGGACCCCTTCTTGAATGGCACGAAACTTAACACTCTGCTCTACGCAGAGCTGCTCAAGGAACAAAAGCCAGCACTGTTAGTGGTGGGTGGAGGCTTGTGGTATCTTCGCTACGCGCCGACATCTGGGGGTCTACCCGCCTACGAAGCCAACACCGAAAAGTTATTCCACCGTCTCGGAATCCAATTCCCCGCGGACGAGGTGGTCATGCTCCCGATTGAAGATATCGTCACCTCCAAGCTCTCGCCGGAACGGGCGGGAACTATGCACCACTCTGATATCGACGCCATGAACTCTGACCTGATCCACCGCGTCAATCCCTACACCGGACAGTTTCCTAACCTGTTGTCTGGAAATCGAAGAACCTCTCCCGTTTGGCTGCCTATGGTCTTCAATCAGGTCAGTCGCGACGTTGCCGGGGATCCGACTCATGTATTGACGCGCATCGGAGATGTTGCATCCAGCGGCGACTGTCGACGGAATTCATTTCTCGGACTCGCTTGTGAAGACCCAGGCCAACATTCTTCTCAATCTCCGTTGCAACAACGAGCTCCCCAAGCTTCCTCCGATGGATAAAACGTGTTGTCGGAGTTATCCGAACCCTGTACCGGTCCAGGCTCTCATCTTGGGAACGATCTTACTATGGGGTCCCGTGGCACTCTATACACTGCGTCATCGAGGTGAGCTTGGTCTGCATCGCTTGTTCGGCGCTTGGTATTGAATGCCTGCAGGTCCTTTGGCTTCTCAAGATGGCCTCAGGTCCGGGCTGATTCTTAGCGCCGCTCTAGCCATCGTCTATCTCGCAGATCGCAGTGGTCTGTGGCTCAAAGAACACAAAAACTATTCGCCGACCATGTTTGGGGGGCTGAGCATCTTTGCGGTAGTGGCAGGGCTGTATACCATGAAACGAGGAGACAAAGACCTCGGATTCTTGAATCGCGATCAAACGGACGAATGGAAAGGATGGATGCAACGTACGTCGTTGATGGTTCATTCTCTCGATTTCGGAGGCTGAATGATCGATAGTCATGATACTAATATATCATCTTTTGGGTGCATCGAAAATTTCTGGCATTTACAATCCTATCCGGGTTCTTGTGGCCTCGTATCTATTCATGACTGGCTGTGGGTTGTCATCCCCTCATTTTCCGGACTAGAGAGCTCATCTCGGCTCACTCAGACGGCCACGTTTCGTTCTATCTTTTGAAAGCGGATTACAGTTTCTCGCGAGTTGCGCAAGTCAGCTGATCCATCTCTGGTGCCTTCTGGGGCTTACCCTCTACAGATCCTAGTGCGGACTAATATACTAACGGTGCTACTTGCATTTGTGATGGGCACCGACTACATGCTCTACTATTTTTCAGCTCTGGTCACCTTTTGGTTTCTGGTAACATACGCAACGATGGCCGTCGGCGCTCAGTACAACACTCGGACACCGCTCTTGGTCGCCAAATTGACACTTGCTTGCATTGCAGTCGCCTTGGTCGCCAAACAAGAATGGCTTACGGCTGCTCTGTTCGACCTACTGGAACGGGTCTTTGCCATCCGGTGGTCCGCAAGGGAATGGGGTTTCCGCGTCACTTTGGACCTTTACATTGTGTTCGTGGGTCAGCTGGCGGCCGTCGCTGTCATCAAATGCCGCGAACACAAGCTGGTGGAGCATCGGCACTGGCCAACTCTCGTCAAAGGCGCCACTCTATTGTCGGGTGTCGTGCTGGTCTGGTTCTTCGCCTTCGAGCTTGGGCAAGAGTCCAAATTCACATACAACACATGGCATCCGTATATTTCGTGGCTGCCGGTGCTTGCGTTTGCAGTCTTGCGAAATGCGACTCCAGCACTGCGATCCATGTCCTCGGATGTGTTCATTTGGGCTGGCAAGTGCTCCCTCGAGCTGTTCATCCTGCAGTTCCACTTTTTTCTCGCCGCAGACACCAAAGGCGTTCTCGTCGTCATCCCCGGCCCGCAATGGAGACTGCTCAATCTGCTAGCGACTTCAATCGCCTTCATATCTATCTCACATCTCGTCGCGGAAGCCACTGGGGACATCACCAAACGCATTTGCGTCTCCGATGTTACCCGCAGCGTATTGCCGGTCACTGCGGCCACAGACGAACAAGAAAAAAACGAACAGAGTACAAGCGGCCTGTGGTGGTGGATCCAGCAGAGGTTACCGCGGAGACTGCTCGTCATTCTCGGACTTTTGTGGATAGCAAATGTAACCTGGCGAATAGGCCAATGAAATTCTAATACTAATAGCGGACTACAAGTAAAAAAGGACGTCTGTTCTATGATGGCAGGGACGCACTTCCTGAAAATTCTGGTCAGCACTCAAATCAAGGAAGAGACCACGAGAAGATCAGAATTAGCATGAAATATTTTGGTTGTTTCGACATTCGTTGTTAGCGTCAGGACTTGACTCTATGTTACGCATCCTAGGATGATGGATGGAAAGAAGAGACTCACCATGTGAACAGACTAGCGACAGACAGACAGAAGGGATACATACAGTGCCTGGGATGAAAAGGTCAGAATATAGTCGAAGATGGATCACAAGGATCAGAAATTTGGGTATAATAAGAAAAGTTCATCGGCTCGGAGGCCTCGAAGTAGCGATTCTTGTTTTGTCTCTTCATAAAAGCAGACAAGGAATCAACATACCGTCTGTGCTGGATCGACATGCAACGAGGCGGAAAAAACAAGGACGCAAGTGACGTGACAGTTGGCAGCCAGTCCTTTTATAGCTCAGCTCGTGTCACTGATATGATTGGCTAGGTTTGGCTTGGCCAAGAAAGGCACGTGCTAAACTTCCGCTAATTCCCCTCGTTCCTCTCTCTCATTCTCATGGCCAATGTTCTCGATTTCCAGCCTCGACCCGTAAACCATGCACCCTCTCAGTTCGGTTTTGGCTTTGGCCTAGGAGGACCCGTTGTCGCCCCCTCAGCATGGCCATCCGCTATCACTCCCGCCTCTCCCTTTCATCAGCTCTCCTCTACCTCGTACAATCAGCCTTCACCATCCCGAGTGCAGAAGAGGCGTCATGAAGAAGACGAGCCAGTCACTCGTGATCACTCAATGGACAGAAGCCCGACGCCCGAGCGTCCCAAACGTTCTGTTCCAAAGCGGGCCCGGGTGGCAGATCCTGCGGCGAAAGACGACAAAGATGCAAAAGAGAACCGATCTCCGAACGAATCTCGTAGGGAAGACGATATTGATGTTGGTGTACTTTTGGGTGAGCGCAATGGCCCTTCATCATACCTCGTGTCTAATTCAGTGCCCGTCTGCAGCCAGCCTCCCCTCACAATCGCTTCTACCGCTCCTCACCTCTCTCATTGCCTCTGAACCGGCACTCAAGCCACGCATTCTCTCGTTGATACCAAGACCAACTTTGGAGACAGCGACACAAGTGCTTGCGACCTCGTCCCGGAAGCTCCGAGACGCCTATCCTTATTCAATGAACGTCTCTCCAACGCAACCGCTGGTTTCGACAGGATTCGGTTTCGGAAATGCACGGTCGACTTTGAGCCCGTTCGGACGTTCGCCTCCTCCTCAATCTCCATCTTCCTCCGCATTCCCAGCAAACAACGGGATGCGGGACTCTTACGTTACATCCAGAATGCGACCGCATATTGAAGATTTCGTGGCTGCCGCGATGTCGTATCTGCCCTACTTCTCATGCGTGTCACAGACAACAGAGGCCGCGTCATCTCAACCCACGTTACAATCTATTGTGAAAGAGCACGTGCATCCATCCGAAACCTACTCGTTTCTGTCAGCGCTGACAGAGCACCTGCTGTCGCAACCGCAACTCACACAATCATCTCTCCAACCTCTACTTCTACCTCGTCTCACCGACGAATGGAAGGCTTGGATAGACAAATTGGACATGACGGTTAATCAGCAAGGAGGGATGTTCGCGGGTGATGTGGTCAGAACCTGGGAACGGGGCCTGGATTCTTTCGCGCAAGCTGAAGGAGATGGAGGCTCGATGATGCGATCTGTGCGAGATCTCTGGATAGCGCGTGTCGGCTGGCTAGTTGGCCGACAAGCCAATACAGTTTGGTAGAAATATGTTCAGCGTCACGACTCACGGATTTGCTACGATCCATTTCTTGCATTTGGGTATACTCATCACTTACATATTGCTGTCTATTAGTATACTTGCAATTCACGAGGACAAAAGAATTGATGAGAAGTGTTCCGAATGTGGCTATTTGTGCGTGTTGATCCAACTTCAAAAAGTTCCTAACGCGCTTCTGCTGGACGTGTTTTGGAGGGTTTCGGACGAGGCGCACCTTCGAGTTGGACGGACCCAAGGTTCCCGACACCGCTCCCTCACATGTATGCAAGGATGGGTCTCTCTACGTTTTCGTGCCGCTGGTGCTCCTCCGCGCGGCCTTTGCCACCTTGCACGCGCACAGCTCGCTCGCGGTAGCTCGGCCTTCCTTCCAGAGGCCCAAAGCGGTGCGCGTCAACGCCTCCATCCTCTGCCTCCGTTCTAACGGATGCCAGTCCCAATTCTCAGCGTCGAATGAACCGACAGGCGAAATTTGGGGTGCACACGCTGGCACCGGTGGAAATGGAACCCAGATTAGCTCCGACCTTCTCCAAAACAGCGCCGTCTACTATCGAGCGCGCCACTAGTCGAAACACACTGTACAAAAACCTGCTGGTTCTCTCCGCCTCACCTCACTCTGCGACATTGCCGGCTCTGGTGGACTATCACGAGCTGCATCCCGGACTTCGAAGTACGAGGACATACAACTTTCTCATCGCGCTCGCCATCCGACAGTCGGCCTTTGGCACCGTGCAAATGCTGTTCAGTTACATGGCCACCGACGGACTGAAGCCGAACGCCGAAACCGCCAAGCTCGAGACGCGGTGGTTCGTGCGGAGTGGGTTCTGGGACCAGGCTTTGGTCAGCGTGAAAAGTCGACACCCGGTTGAGATTCCCTTGCCCCTGTGGCTTGAGCTTTTCCACGGGGTGAAATCGGGTGTGCTACCGAGACGCCGACCAGTTTCCACCATCAAAACCCCCGAAGGCCGGTTTCAGGAGCTGATGCAGAATCTGCCTACCTTCCATTCGAACCAAGTTGGACAGTCTGCACGACAAGTGTCTATCCTGGTGCGGACGATGCTGTCGCTGAAGCTATCGCACTCTGCGCTGACGCTCGCGACACATTACCTGCACGGGCTGCCGCGACACGTCGACGCGCGGTGGGCGGAGCGGTGCACGGATATCATTGATGCGCTGGTTGCGTATGAAGCGAATAAGCGGGGGCTGCTTGATTTCTATGCTACACGGCGCAAGTTGGCAGTGCTGCTCGCCATCCATCCAGGGTTGCGCCCCTCTTCGAAAACCCTATATCTGCTCTTGGGCACTCTTCGGCAGGCGAAAAGATGTGGCACCCTGTCTTGGCGCGTGTTGGTCAAGTTCAGGTCTCGATGGGGCCCTCAGGTGGAAGATCGACGCGTCCGGAGGCGGGTTGCGAGTCTTGCTCTCATCGAGCGGCGGCTGGATGTATTCGATACGATTTTCGCAGCAGAGGCACAATCTCGGGTGCAAGCCCATGCGGCCTCTGCCCCGGGCCCAAATCTGCGCAGGGCGCCGTTTCGAGAAATATTTCCGGGACATGGAATGGAGCAAAGGTTATGGAGGAAGCTGGCGATCCGGGCCCAGAAGATTAGATCACCCATATCATCAGAGATGCCGCGTGGACCATAATAATATTGTAAAGCGATAAATATGTCTTCTCCCTGACAACAGCCACTTCATTGAGCGACGACGGTGTAAATGCTAACAACGAAGTGGTCCCGCTTGTGGGTCCGAGCGTTAATCTCCCCGATGTGCTGCTACGTACAGTCTGCAAGACCAGAGCTGTCGAACAGCGCCTACGGCATCTGTCCGTCCATTCAGTCGCCCGTTGGCCGTGGCCCGGTGTTTTCGTGATCAGTGGCAGGAGCTTGACGAGTGCGCAGAGCTCAGACATATTCGATCCCGCTAGCTCGCCCCTCCAACGGCTTGAGACACATGAAAAGAGAGTTCGTCTGATGGATCTCAAACATCCTAGGCGGCTGGCGCGATCAATGCGGCCTAGCCTCCGATGGTCCGCTCAGTTTGTCCTGCCCGTACTCACTCGGGTCGGTCTGCCACGTTCAACCTGCTTTGTCTCAAACATGTCGTGACAAGCTTCCTCGATCATCCGCACCCGCTTCCGAATAATTGACGTCTCCTTGCTCGTCAATATAATTTTCGACCTGGATAAAAGCGCGCGCCTGAAGTCTCCAACGATCCCATCCAACAGCAAATGTCTAGACATCCAGGCTCCGAGCACATTCTCTCCTTGGCCACGGTCTGCGTAGGAGTCGGTGCGTGCGCGTCTCGTTGTCGTCTACCGCAGCAGCAAGTCTGAATGTTTCTACTCGAGGCCCCGGCGGAACGACTTCGATGGTCGCGTGAGTTCAAATTTTGCTCGCTCATCTTACCATCTCTGAACTCCCACAGACGTGTCGTTGGTAAGATAACCGACGTTGTCCGGGCTCGCTGCTGACTACCCGCCGCAGTCATTGACTTTCAGGTAGGGACTGCCATCCATCTCGGTGATTCGTCCGTTGAACATGAGCAGGGCCACTGTCTTCTCGATCGCTTCATACGTCCGACGATGGAAGTAGTAGATTACCGCGAGGCGACTACGGGAATCAAACCGCACCATCTGTTTTCGAGTGAGCCAGCTGGTTTCACAGCCGCATGACACCGGTCTCTAAACACCGCGTGCAGAGGAAGCGATTCCATTTCCTGCACTGCAGCAGTCCATCGCTACACTTATTCGCGGGAAAGTTCTTGTGGGACACAGTCTCTGGGAATGTTTATCTGGCAAGTCGACGTCCTTCTGTGATAGTTCCCTGCCTTTGCTCATCATGCTCCAGTCCTTGGAATCCCCCATCCTGCGGCGTACACCCGGGATGTTGCGCTGTACCAGGTCACAGAGCTTCACCGCGCTCTCTTCTTTTGGAAATAACTTTTTTTTCACAGCCGTTCCGTGCGGCGCTTCGTTCAGCGCACCAGATGATTGGCCTGCAGACATTGTGCTGGCAACTTATGCGCAGGCGCTGCCAAGAAGGGTATATTGACCCGGTGAGCGGAGTGAGCCTACGCCCCGGGTGGATCGTTCTGAGCAGCTCCAGTCTGAGAATGCGCGGGCCGCCATGGACCTCTACCGGTCGCATGCTCAGCAGTGGGAAGGCGCAGTCTCGAGGTAACGTGCCCGCATCTCAATCACATCGCCGGCGTCTAATCGCAATCGACCCTCAGCGGGAATTGGCCATCCTGTCTGCCTCCGAGCACGTTTTCAAGATGCTACTCTTAATGAGTGAGGAAATCCTATTTAACTATTTATACACGTAACATATGGTAATGCAATTTCTATATCGGGGAAATGATTTGCTATATCGAGTAGTCGATGACATCAACCGCGCGTCTGATCGGTCGTTCAGCGAGACTCGATCCGAAGCCCTTGGACACACACTTTTTCAGTCGCCAGCCATCGGAGGATGCCTTCGTAGACAAAGAATGCACACGCATTCGAGGGAAAGGCACGGATGAAACACGGGGTCAAGCCCCGATAGAAACCCCGCAAGCCTTCTTCACGGTGGATTTGGTGTGCAACCGAGATGAAAGAGGGCCGGCGGTAATCAGAGTTCGAGTGCGACATCATCTGACTAGACCCGAAACACGGTTTCAGCAGCAAGGTGGAGGGAGCTTGGAACCGACTTTTTTATCCGGTCGAAAGGGATGGCCGCAGCCCAAAAATACAACGAAGCCACCCCTCCCGAGATGAGGTTGGAAACACCCAAATTCAGCTGCGACGATGTCAAGATTGATCATCAGCGCGCAGCATCAAGTCAAGTCAAAATACCTCATAGGGCGTCCCACGGAGATAGGACAGACCGCGCATGCAAACCTGGGGCCCCCGCTCGAGTCAACCGTCGAGCGCGTCGAAGACCAGACAGATCACGTACTTCGAAGCCCAGAAACATGTGCAGGAAATTGGCTCGAAACAACAATCCTCCCGTGAAACCCGCTTGCGAGAGCATCAGCAGCAGCTCGCCCGACCGGGCCGCTCGTGCTTACTCCATAGTCCGAGCACACCGTGAGCTCGGACGATCTGTCTGGCACAGTCGATGGGCCCTTTGAACTCGCGCTCCGCTAGTGATCTCTGTAATTGAAGCTGGAGTTTGACTGCGAGATATCAGGCCCAGAGAAGGTCCAGAACGTAGATTCGGTCACCTTTCAGATGCTCGATCGGCGTCGCTAACGGCGCACTGACGGCAAATCTCAATCGGGGCAGAAGCTACAGTGCGGATGCCGACAAATACCTGGTCAACCCAGCAAACAGACCTGCTACCGCGTGCGAAAAGAGGGTAAGCCGAGGCCCAGTAGGCGTCTCTTCAGTCATCCCTTTGTGGAACAAGAACAGCCGATAATTGTGGAGCGAGCCCAGTAGCACCTAGGTTGCTATCAGCGCCCGACGAGGAAGGGTCACCAGAAGAACGGACACTATCGAAAGGCAATGTTGAGAAGACCCGGCGTCAGATCTGAAGGAATTGCTGGTGAGCTACCTGTCGATTGCCGCCCATCCGACAGCAGGCGAAGCCGCCCCTTTGTACAGCCCAAATACACCCTCTCTCCGGATCGTGCTCTTGAACACGTCAATAATGCCGTTATTGTCAGGTATAAGTTGCACTCGAGTCTTCACGGTATCGAAAGCATGTCCAACCAAGACCTGCGCGCCCAATGTCAACGTAAGAAGCCGTGAGAAATGGCAGAAGAAGACCTGAAAGCGCTCAGATCATGGAACGCGATAAGATGGCGCAAAACAACCACCTTGGTTATCCCTGATGTAAAACCAGCCAATAGGCCAGCAGGTTCAAAGTGCCCCGCCCTCTTCACGGAGGTCTCATTCCAAGGCATCGACACGGCAGCTTACGCGATCGCGTCTCTGTCATCTCTGATTGATCTGTCAACATGTCATGCGCGTCATATGGTCGGTCTAAAGCCGTGCAAGCACACGTTGTCCTATTCACTTACTTCTCTCGTGGCCCACGCGCACAGACCGCTCTGTCTGCCGTACTGACGCGCCCAGTCACACCGGCTTGACGCCATCTCCTTCTCTTCAATGTCTACCGACGATCGCCAATGCCGGATATGTCTTGCAGGAGCTGAGGAAGAGACAACGATGGGCCGTATGATGTCTGCATCCGGACCCGTTTCGAATTATCCTCTCTGACCTGCGACCGTAGCCATCCTTGCCTCTGCAGCGGCTCCATGAAGTACATCCACGTCAAATGTCTCCATAGGTGGCGAACGACCTCGGCCTCCCAGAGCGCGTTCTTCACCTGCCCACAATGCAAGTACAACTACAGGTTTTCCCGAACGCGTATCATGGGCATCGCTACCAACCCAGGCGCGTCGATGTGTCCTCCAGTCTGACCTGGCTGAGACAAGTCCCAGTCATCGTCGGCTCCATCTCTGCTCTCTTCTTCACGGTCGTGGTCATCCTCTCGTCCTTCATCACCACCTTCTTTATGTCCTGGTTCGAGCAGCCCTCGGCCTACTCCGGGACCGGAATCTTCTTCGGCTCCTACTGGTACTACTCGCCAATCGACATCCTCCGGGAAATAATCGGAGCAGCCCTGCGGATTCTGCAAGATGAGAGCGGCATCGGCTATGACCTGTTCGAGAGCAGAACAAGCTACACTGCTCCGGAGGCTGGCGAGCCTTCGGGTCCACCAGGATTATTCAGGTCTCTTGTTCGGAGATTTCTTCTCGGTCTCCCGATCGTCGGCGGTGGCTCGTAAGATTGAATCGGAGCCTTGTCCTGCGCGCATAGCTGACGATCATCAGACTCGTGCACCTACTACTTTCGATGCATCTGCTCAGTCCTCTCCATATGCTGGCGCGCTGGCGCTCCAGTCGTAGGAGACGCGAGTCGTCGCGAGACGTTGTTAGTCTCGTCATCATCGGCTTGATCCTGCTGGGTGCTGCAAGGTATGTCTATGTCGCATTCCATGCTGGCTTCGCAAACCCGTCATTACAGGGCACTGATGCAAGTCTATCGCTGGACTGAGGCCCTGACAAAAAGACTCCTCTACCGCTTGGAGGATTCCATCTTGGAGGTGTAATTTTGCACACGGGGCGCTATTTATCATGTACATGTAATACTCATAAGCTACAGAAAAATGCGAGTCTCATCACCAATTCCTCCGTAATTGGCGTTTGACATTTTCGAAGGCTTCCTTGGTCCGAGTGCGACTCGGCTCCAATTCTGCTAGATATTGCTCGACGGCAAGGTGGATACGGCCGACAGGGAACTCGTCGGCCCTGCGCCCATAAGATTGTGGTCGCTTCGCAGCTTCAATCCAGTCGCTCAGAAGGATTGCGATGTCCGAAGACACCGCCTGTACATTTTTCTGGTCGTTGAAGGGCGGGACCTGATATTTATTCAGCGATATGCAAAAACGATCGAGAATCTACTCACGTGGGACTCGTACATCTCATGGAGCACGTCCCATACTTCAGGGAAAGGCACACCGCATTGCACCAAAACCCGCGGAGCCCAGCCAAATGGAAGCGCATCTTGATTTGACAAAGAGAATCTGACCAACAAAGTGGCGATGTGCCCTGCGCAAGTCTAAGCGGCTGCCGCAATAGGAACAGTCGGTCACTTACTCAGTGGGAATGCGCTCTCGGATGGGTGGAACCGCTGGCCGAGCGGCACAACCTGCTTGATGATCTCATCAGCAATCGCTTGCGGAGTCGCGTTCTCCGGCACGCCGTCCAGGACTACCAAGCCTTTAGCAATATGTTAACAAACACATAATACTCTACTCACTTTCTTGGAATATCCTGTTCCAAATCGGTCGAACAATGGCGTCGTCCCGATGTTCAGAGACATGCAAACACACAAGTTTCATCAGGGGCATATCGAAGGGGTCAGCAAACTCTTGATACAACTGGAAGAAGTGGTTAAGCGATGGACGGCCGAGGTTGTGAAGGTTAAAACACGAACTTCGGTCATGGTGAAGAGCCTTGTGCGGAGCAGAGCCATCGCCTGGGGCGTTTCAGGCCGAGGATTTTGTGCGGCAGCCAGCGCATTCAGAATCTCAAGCTGCACTTGGGCCACTTCCAGCTTTTCTTCCAGGTCAGTCAGGAACGCAATCGCGGTCTCGTGTTTTCCCCCAGCAGAAATGGGGTGTGACTTGGCGTTTCCAACTGCCAGAGTCAGATACTCGATCCGCGACTCAAGCGTCACGGGGAATCTACCCGATGTGAGTGGATAATCGCATATAGAAAAAGCCACGGTCTCACTCAGTCGTCTCAGCAAGAGCACCGAGCACTTCCGCCGCACGTAAAGGCTGACCGTTCTTCACGTAGAACTGCCATAGCAGCTGGAACTTTTGGACCGTGGCAGGTTCTCTTCGCAGGTGTGCTTCCAGGAAGGGAGGACGCATCTAGGTGGAATTGATGAATAAAGAATAGTAGAGACACGGCGGCGGTGATCACCTCTAGTAGATCATCCGCAAGTTGGCGCTCGATCAACCAGTCATACAGTGTCGAGTGGAACATCTCGTCCGAAGAGGAGAACGCGAGCTCATAGGCATGATTCCGCACCAGATCGGGATCCTCACTGATAACTGAAACATTCTTGGCCCCAGACGACGTCCTTTCGTCGAAAACGGACAGCGAATCCAGGACCAAAGCGTAGCATTTCGATCGGTAGTGACATAGTTCGTTTGGTGCTTGTCCAGAAGCCCAGCATTGAAGCCCAATGTTATCGGCATCGACAGTCGATGCGCAAGTCAATGGTAGCTCCACAGCACCTGCGGGCTCGATGAGGCTTGTGTTGACGTAACACGGTGAAAACGATACCCTTTGCATAGTTGAGCTGCTGGTAGTCACCACAGATCTCCCGAAGCTTGTCGAACTCTAATATCCTGGCGCCTTTCTCAAATAACCTATATAAGTTGTGAGCACAAGCTCCAGAGAGAAGCACCAAAGGTACCTCAATGATTCTACCAGCCAGTTTTGTCGGTCAGTTGTACTCCTTGTCTCGACGGCTTTGCGGATGTTCTCTTTGGCCTGGACAAAGGATCAGCAGCTGAGAACAGGCGATTGTAGCATGCTCGCCTTGTACAACATGACGTCATCAGTGCTACAGAACGAGCCACATCGGCTTTGCAAGACTTGGCTGATCGTGTCCACCTACACTGCGTCAAGAACACATTTCAACCAGACGTGCGAAGACTTACACTGATCTGCTGGCCGATCTGCTGGTCGATCACGACATTCACCAACGCTCTTGATACAGTCATCCCATTTTGTGTCGTGATCAGGTCTTGATATGTTAGACCCGCAATCGTTTTCTGAGTCTCAATATCACATCTAGGCACGTGAGGTCGAGTCCAGTGACTGCGCGCGTGACGACGTACTTAGCGACCAGCTCATCGAGTTTGTAGTCAGTGAGCAGTAGGACAAACGAGAGCGCTTCGATGGTGCGTGTCGTCAAAAACAGGAGTTCAGATACGGACGTTTGCTCCGCCTGAGATTAGCGATCAGCCTTCGCAAGTATGCAAGTAGAATGCACAAGTACCTTCCAAGCTTCAACAGCAGATTGATTACTGTTTGCATCGCCGGGCGCCGACTGGAAAAGGTGCGGGTTCTTGTCCAAAAAGTCCTTGAGAGCGAAAAGGTTTTTCTGGACAATGACCAGTGTCGTTTCTGGAACCGCCGACAGCTGTTGACCAGAGGTACTGTCACAGGATCAGGCTAGTGGTCGCATATCACGCTGTCTGAGGTACATACCCTGCTTTCGTCAGTTTGGATTTCCAAAGAGGGCGGACTAGCCGAGCCAGATACAACGCGAGCCCTTCACGACGGCCACTAAAGTGCGTCGTTCCTTGGCTATCTTTGGCAGTGAATCAGTAGACAATCGGGCGCTCAATGCAAAAAAAAAAACCCACTTGATCCATACGTCACCTGTTCGAACCATACCGGCCGCTGGCCAAAGTCGTAAAAGGCCTGCTTCGCAACTGCAGCCAAATCGGGACTGATGGTACCCAGTGTCCCCAGACCCGAATCGTCCGCGGCAGGATCTAAGAATGTGTTCCCACTCGCCAGCCCCAGAAGCATAGCACACGTCTGATCCCGTCCAAAACTGTTTTGGAAATCGATGATCGGTTTGACATTGCCCTCGGACTGCAGCTCCTCGATGACGGCTCGGAGATAGTCGATTGCTCGTCGTTTGATCAAAAACGACAAGCCCGCGTTCGTCAGAATCATAAACTGACGCGGGCTCGAGCTGAACTGGGAGGCCAACTCATTTGTAATGGTGGGAGATTGGGTCCCTGTGGCCTCCGCCAGGGGGCTGGAAGCAGACACTGGGGCCATAGCCCACGTCCGACCGGGTATAGCCAGCAAGGTCGCATATTCTGTCAGCGGTGGTCGGTTGGAGAGGCCGCCATTGCCGTAGTTCGGCTGCTGGTTCGGTAGTGTTGGTGCATTCCCCAGTGATCCGATGCGCGTCAGATCCGGAGACATGCAAAGTATGAAGTCCGTCCCGTCGTTGTCGCCTGTCTGAGCTGCGAGCGTGAGCCCATCCACGTAGCAGGTATTCTCCACGTTTGCCACAGTGTATGGCCGAGAGGTCGGCAGGGGCGCGTTTGCTGCTGCGTAAGGCGGGCGGTACAGTTGGCCTTGCTCATCGGGATGCACAAGATTCGTCGGGGGCAGGCGGACGTGGATCAACTGAAGTGGTCGGGTGCCGGTGTTTCCCCCGTAAGAGAAGCCATAGCCAGCCGATGGCGCAAAGTATAGTCGCACACCATTGTTAGTAATGGCAACCAGCTGAACACCCGACCGTGACTCCGACTGGTCGACGACATGGATCGACACGACCTGGAACCCGGTTGGCGACAGTGCAGCATGCCCAGCCGCCTTCTCCTGGGCAAGCTTGTAGATATTGGAGATCGTTTGGACATGCTGGAGCGTCTTCTCTCCGTCAGGTCGATATATGGAGATGTTGTTGTTTGCGCTCAACGTGTATAGGCAGTTCCGGGGGATATCCGAGAGGACCATTGAGACTCGGTCTACTCCTGATCAATCGGTCACTCGTGAAAGCATAGAACGCGCGCACCATTATCACTGGCTGAGCTGAACCGCGGCAGAATACTCGATACACCTCCGACCGAATGATTGATGAGCTGTACACGTTTCCCAAACCACGATTCTTTCTCCTGATAATGGAGTTCGTACAGGCATCCGTCTTGTGACCCCGTCATGAATATTCGCCCGTCTGCCGTCCCCGCAACCGACGTCATCTCGATATCTGACTTGACGGTGAAATCTGTTGCAAACAGTTTCAGCTCCTTCCGCTTCGTTCCAGCAACCGGTGTCGACGAAAGAGCGAGGAGGAAAACAGAGCAGGGTGTGCAAATGACAAGCAGGGACTTGATTTCTTCGATGAATAGCCCGGGTTTGGATTTGACGACGGCGACATACGAGATGTTGTCCTGTTGGTCGACGAAAGAGCTTATTTCTTGGCTGACGAAACTCAGTGTCCGGTATAGCAAGCGATCAGACAGTCCACACACCCTTCCATGTAGTCCCACAAAAAAAGCTGGTGGTCTATGGAGATCCACGCACGCTCCAGCTCGGGCAGCAGTCCCATGTTCGAGTTCACGTCGGTCGCTACGAGGTCGATCAATCGGCGAAGCCCACAAAACCGGAACGGACGGACTGTTGTAGTATTGGAACAAAGCATCAGGTATCCCCAAAAGCTTTCGTTTCTGAAATGGAACACGAGTATCGTCCGGAAAGATGCTGTAGAGTGCAGACACCGGTCCGCCTGCCGTGTTGTTGTGTTTGAGACTTATGTGCGTGCGCAGGTTGGAGACGCGTACCAGCACTAAGTGTGTCTCCGAGATCGGGGACCAGAGTCGTATCTTTCGTGAACTGGGCGTTTAGAAGATTGCTTGCATTCTGGAGCGCAGGCAGGTCTACGGCCACTGGTATGGGGCGCGGAGTGGCGGCCATCTGTCGGTCGTGCAAAGTGGAAGCGAACCACTGTCAGGAAACGCGAGCACGTGCCACGTTGGCACCGCCACACAGCGCGGGTCTGAGTACGACGACTACCATAGCAAGTAAGTACAGGGTGGATTATGCTATGATCAGCAAATGCAATCAAGTTGCTAGGATCGGCGGCCTCGTTTATTGGTAGTGGCTCGACCACGACTTGTTTGGGAGTATGTACGCTTGGAACTCGAGGCAGCAGGCGAAATGTATTCCACTTTGGCGCATTCGAGGTCAAAGGCTTGGACCTGTGGATAATGGTATCACATCTTGACGAGAGGCTGGTGAGGAGGACTGACCAGCGCATTGAAATCCGAGTTGACCATGCTGCCAAAGAGGGGATGACTTGTCGAACATTTCATTACAGTCAATTTCGGAGACGTTCTACAAAGGGGGGGGGGGGGTCAAAAATCAGGAACAGATTGAACAGACTGAACAGCTCACATTCCGAAAGCCATCCGAGCAAGCAGTCGAGGGTCGCTTCGCTCGTGGCAAGCGCTCAAAATAGCGTTGATTTGAGCCGGATTGATCGCGGCCGGTGGGCAGAGTGTGAAAACAACGGCTTGACCTTGAAGACAAAATGAACAATGGCCGCAACCGTCCTCGGGGATGTTGTCTTCGCCTCCGAAATACCGACACAAGCTTCGTGGCAAGCCTGTAATGAAACTAAGCGAGTGCTGAAAGATAGATCACATAAGCCACAAACATTCGTCATCGGTAGCGAGCTTCAGGACTTGACGTATCTTCGCTATGCCTAGAGAAGAAGAAGATCAGCTGGCATATAACTCACAGAAAATAACACGGACCTTCTTCTTCGCGGGTTTGCATGCCGTGAAACATCTTGTCTGCGATGTTTTCAATGCCTGCATCAGATGTTGGAAGTGGGCTGGCCAACACGGAATAGCGCTGCCCATGTTGTAAACACATGCATCTAGAAGTGCGCAACTGAAACCCACCGCTCTCACTTGAGATGCCTTGGTTTGAACCAGTCCTTCGAGTTCCCACGCGTTGATCTTTCGCGCCAACTCATTACGGTCAACATGCGCTTGCTGTGCTGTGTCAACAACATTGATCTACTGCGATCAGAGCAAGATGACGGTTGAAATAGGCCTCGTACTTCGAATTTCGTCGACTTCTCTCTCCAGTACTTCCGGATTGTCTTTGCTTCTCTCGATGCATCCTTCAAAATGCGTTGACGGTCTCCAAGTGGGGTCACCTCGTAGACAGAATAGAAAGGCGTGATGGCTCGAATGCAATTGTACTCCAACTCCAGTTGCGCATATGATAGATTGAGCACAGTGGACTGGAGGCTGATGAGAAACGATCGAGACAAGAAAAGGCGCATACACGAATGTCATATGTCCTCGATTGATCGTACAAATTGAAGGACAGAGTACCATCAGCATCCGGAGACTTCAGTGCCACTTCCCGCAACCATGATTGGATTGACGTCTTGCTGCATGTGTCTCCTCGACAAAAGCCTTCAAGGGTGGGGATATCTTCAGAGGAAAGGAACATGATGCAGGTCGACCGTAACCCATCTCGTCCTGCTCTTCCAATCTCTTGACTGTAGTTCTCGAGAGTCTTCGGCATAAAGAGATGTGCGACAACCCGGATATTCGACTTATCAATGCCCATGCCTGTCAAATTATGGACTACATTCACGCTCCCTGAATGTGGACATACCAAACGCGATCGTAGCCACCACAATATGATCTTCGCCCTCCATGAATTGTTCTTGAACTTTCTGACGCTCATCCGCACTCATTCCTGCGTGATAAGTGAGGACACCCTCGAAGCCCCGGGAAAGCAGAGCCAGCGCAATATCATCAGTGTGTTTTTGTAAAGTGACGTAGATGATGGCTGGCCCCTTCCGCGCCTTGAGATGTGGCACAAGGATGCCGAGCTTCTTCTCCAAGGTAGCAGCGACTTCGACGAGTAGTGATAGACTGGCATGCATGTCAAGCTTTTGGTCAAACAGTGGTAAACGGTGCTGCTTACTTGGGCCGATACACTGGGGTGCGGAAGACGCCTTCGGGCTCGATATGGAAAGAATTACAGATATCTTCGATGACCTGTGGCGTAGCGGTTGCGGTGAGACACAGCACACGCTGCACATCCTGTTCCTCGCAGAAGCGCGCAATCTTGAGATACTCTAATCGTCATCAGCGCCAGTGGTAGAGTTACACGCAATCAGTACCAGGGCGGAAACTGGCACCCCACTACAGCGGTTTAGGCTCCTGCAGACGTGCAAAAAATCACTACTTACCTGAGAAATGCAATGAGCTTCATCAATCGCAACTAGCGCAATCCTGTCGGGCAGCTGGTTCATCATTTGTATAAATCCCTCATTGTTCAATCTCTCAGGGGCTTGGAGATATCTTCAGAGGCCCGTTTGCACATTTAGTAACAAGACATACCAACATATAATATCTTCAGCGATCCTGTTCATGTTTTGAGCCGCTTGAGAAGCAGAAAGCACGTGAAGGTCACCCGCGAGGATCTCCGATTTGACAAAAGCCGACCTTTCTATTGTGAGCGTGCTATCCAGATTTGCAGCCTTGACGTTGCGCCGCACGAGGGAGTCGACCTGGTCCTTCATCAAAGAAATGAGTGGAGAAATGACCAGCGTCAGGCCCTTCTCGAAACACAGAGCAGGAACCTGCGCAGAACGCGTTAAAGTCACATTCGCCTTGCTTTATAGTAGTCACGCACTTGGTAGCACAGCGATTTCCCTCCTCCAGTTGGGTACACGACCAAGGCATTTTGGTTTTCCACGACCAGCCGCTCTACGACCTAGAAACGCGTCGCGTTTAGGCAAAAGTTACGGACAATAAAGGGAGACGCGCCTGTTCTTGCGACAAGCGGAACGAGGGAAAGCCGAACACATCCTACATATGTTTCAAGATTGAAGTGAGTATGTTTGGCACGTGGCGACCGCGCACATCTAGCACTTGACGCGCTTGTTCCATCGCGCAAGGTGATGAAGATGCTTCGAGTTCGCGTGAGCTATGTGACCGTCACGCTGACACGCATGTGATTTATCACGCCTGTTGGCGATCTGCGACGATCCTCGCGCTGCTTTGGCATGGTTGGTGCTCAAACCAGTGATCTCCTTCCCTCACCCTCCTTGAAGTACATCTTTCTGTTACCATCGATGCTCTCCTTGTGTCATTTCCAATGCTAATAGCTGGATTGCGTTATCCCACGCATGATCAACCATGCAGGAGGATCTTGTGTTATAAGGCTTACCGCTGGACTTTGGATCGGCATTTTTATCCTGCATATCTCTAGTCTTTACCGGAAATTCTTGCTTCTATGAATGTTCGCAGGTCGTATGATCTTCCCTCGCAGGATAGGCGCTCAGGTGCACTCAAGACGGGTGAGTGTCTCGGGCTGAATGACGATGGACGGTCATGTCAATACTGCAGTCACATTCAAGTGGGCGCGGGGAGAACTCATTGCTAAAGGCAGCTACGGGAGGGTGTACATGGTATGTCCACACAAGTTTCGCACATCAACTCAGGACCTCGAGTTCTACAGGGGTTCAACGTCAACAGCGGTGAAGTCATTGCCGTCAAGCAGGTTGAGAAGAGTCAAGATGATAGAAGCGATATCAAGAAGCGCACAGAGCTACTGGACGCTCTGCGTTTCGAGGGTGCAACGCTGAAGGTGCGTTGGTCCCTCATGCAAACGGATTGCTCTTACTAGAATGTAGGACCTTGCCCATCCGAATATTGTGCAATATCTTGGTTTTGAAGACACGGCCGAAGCTCTCAATATGTTCGTCTTCCTCGGTTACATCAAGACCATTTTACAATTCACCATTCGTCAGTTTTCTGGAATATGTTCCCGGTGGAACTATCGGCAGTTGTGTTTTGAAGCACGGAAGGTTCGAAGAGAATGTCACAAGATGGTTCACCGCCCAAATCCTTGACGGACTGGATTACATACACTCGCAAGGCTTTCTGCATCGGGACCTCAAGGGGGACAATATCCTTGTCGAAACTTCTGGTCAGTGCAAGATTTCCGACTTTGGAATATCCAAGCGGCAGGATATGGAGGGTCGGGCTTTCACTGAGCTGAAAGGGACTGTATATTGGATGGCGCCCGAAGTCATCAACTTGAACAAAGACGATGGATACGACACCAAGGTGGATATATGGTCGACGGGCTGTGTGGTTCTGGAGATGTGGACTGGAGGACGTCCTTGGGCTGGATTCGAGCAGATGGTTGTGTTGTTCAAGGTGCGTTCCGACCAACATCTGACCGCGCTTTGTGACAGGATATCAGTTGCACACCGACAAATTGCCTCCTCCAATCCCAGCCGGGGTGAGCGTGAGTGAGACTGCCATGGATTTTTACCGCGAATGTTTCAACACGTACGAGACAAGCTTATGACCTCGGCTCAGCTGACCCCGCCGTCAGCAATCCCCGAGAACGGCCATCTGCAGCTGAGCTTCGCGAGCATCCATATCTCACACTACCCTATGGATGGTGCTTCCAGCTTGCAGACATCGAGCAGCGCCGAAGGAGTCCTGACATGCGGACTCAGAATTCAAGTCGTCGGGATCCGTCAGTGTCATCGAATCGCAGGAAACGGGTGCAAGCCGAATCTCAACCCCTCTCTCTGAAACCAAAGCTACAGATCCGTTCACCCCCTCCCCTTGTTTATATCACACCGCCGGGATCACCGGCGACCGCATCGATCTCGACAGGCAGCTCGTTGATCTCAACTCCCGCCTGCGTGAAGAAACGTAAATCTTTCCGCGTCGTCAACCCAGACCCCAGTCCCGATGACAACCAGGAGCGGCTTGGATTTATGTATGATCCTCCCCCTTTGCCCGATTCGAAGTGCACGCTACGGCCCACCATAGAAACGTTTTTGACGATCTGCTCCTCCGATAGCGAGACGGAGACGAGCACAGGCATCTGGAAGAAGCCTCTGGACCGCATATCTTGTCTACCTATGCACCACCGTCCAAGCATCATCGGGGCCGGCGATGTTGTCTCATGGGCACCGCGTCCCCGAGTGCGCGATGTCTTTTCCAATCTGGACGAGTTCTTCCCGAGGGTGGATCTGGACAAAGCCATTGTCGCACACAGGCCCACGGATGGTCTCCGCAGGACTCGCAGCATGAGAATGGCTGTCAAATCTCGCATGACCGGCAAAGAACGACACACAATTGGCATCACCAAATTCTGGGGCCACAAGGTTGTCGAGATAACTCACGCCATCTAGATGCCGACTCACCTCGCATTGCGGCTAGAATAAAAAGAATTCCGAGGTGGTACAACAAGCGGGGTAATTTACGATCAACTTCCCGACCAGTGAGTTGAGCACGCTATATTACAGTACAGCAGTAGGGTATGAGAGTCCGGCTTTTAGAAGTGTTCCTACACGAACATGAGAATGAAATCACCTCACACACGTCCCAGCCACGTACCTTGGCGAAGGAGAACTCGACGCTTGAAGAACTGTTGTGACGGCAGGCCTCCTGGAGAGCCTTGGCAATGGGGCCAGCGCCACAGAAGTATGTCTGCGACCATCAGCATCTGTCAAGAGAAAGAGGAGTTTAAGCATACCCCAACTTTCGTCTTCAGCTGCGAAGAGCTTCCAGGAATGTACTGTCCGCTCTCGATAGCCTGCTTGATTTGGCCGTAGATAGTTTGCCCTGTCAAGAGTTGGTATACTGAGAGGACAGCAGCCCGAGAGCACTCACAATCCGGACGCCCAAACTGTTCGAGGATCATCAGTATAATCGAAGGATGATGAGGGTATCACGCACCATTGTCCTTGTTCGCAGCAGCGTAAGGGGATCGTATTCAGCGCCCGCATCGTTGATGGCGATATTCCACAACATGTCCTCATTGATCTTTTGCGTCAGGTAAATGTTGATGCGGAGGAAGTTGGCTAAACACTCTATCAGACGGGAAGCAACAACCTTGCAGATATGCACGTACGGTCTGCCTGGGCGGCCTCGATCTCTTGCAGCAAGCTCTGGAACCAACCGAACGATGGTGCATCACGGCAGATCCAGAAGAATTCAACGCGACGCAGAGTCCCGACGTTGCCCTGTTTCTGGCGGTACCAGATATCCTTCAGAATTGACGCAAAGGGCGTGACACCTGTATCAGTTTCAGCGTGTCATTCGTCGAGTGACAGATGCCACTGACCGATACCAGCACCGACAAGGATAGCAACTTCCACATTGAACACATCTTCGGCCGGAGCACCAAAGGGACCATCGACACGGACGGCGGGAAGCGAGATGTTGGTTGCGTCGATCTCAACAAAGTCACCACGAGTGTATCCAACGTCTTGACTCTTCTCGGAACCCTTCATGGCTTTGGAAGTCATGGCAGCAACGACGGAAGGGCCAACTCCGAAGCGGTCACCCAGAGCCTTCGTCCAATCTCCGACCTGACGGATGTGGACAGAGACATACGGATCCTTGGGCGCCGACGTGATGGTGAAGGGATGCCATTGGTAGCCGGAGATCTCGGGGACCTGGAGGAACAACCATTGGCCGGCTGTGTACTTGAAACTGGGCTTGATGATACGCAACTCCATGGCACCTGACAAGAGATGAAGGCTAATCACGAAAGCAGCGGCACACAACTCACCACTGGGGTGCACCAGAACCTTGGAGAGACGTGTTGATCTCCTCGCACGATACTCGCGGTACATCCGCTCTCCGAAGTAGATGATGCCTGGCCAGATGGTGAACCTCCAGCTAAGGTAACCCAGACAGTGCTCGGTCGAGTAGAAGGGAAGGTCGCGATGTAGTCGGGGTTGACCGAGTCGCGCACGAAACAACCGGTCGCGTGGGTGTACAGGCCAATCATGAAGAAGAACGCCAGGTGATGCGTGTACCAGAAGGCCTCAAAGCATTGGTTGCGGACCTTCTGTGCAGCGGTAGTGTACATCAGGACCATGATGAGAAGCATGAAGTGTCCGGTGATTCCTCCAGGCTGAGTGTAGTGGACCTCAAGCGCGGTCTGCTTGCGGACCTCTGTGGACGACGTGCCTGTCAGCCACCGACCAATCAAATATGTCACCGACTCACGTGTGCGCTCGACGTTGATGAAGTTGACGTAGTGAGCGGTAGTGTGGACCATAGCCCAGAACGCCATCGAGTAAGCGACTTGTCGGTGGAACCAGATATTCTCGTCGGCAGGGAAAAGCCATGTGAGCTTGGGGCGGACCAGCTTGATGATGTTGCGCAGCATAGGGATCAGGATGAGACCGCCATCAAGAGCAAGGACCAATCCCGCGCCTCGGGAGGTCCAGACCGAGAACTTGAGTCCATTGAGGGCTGCAAGTTTGGTGTTGGATTGCTGATGACCAATTAGAACACACAAGAGATCAGAATGGCGGGAACAAACCTGACTGTGCCATCCGTAGGCAAAGACGAAGAAATGAGTGGCATAAAAGATGACGTTGAAGGCGAGCCTTCGCGGGTTCAAGAACTCTCGGCGGAACCAGCTTTCACCCATGATGTACGATGGAGTGTAGTGGCTATAGATAATTGAAAAGGTGTGTGGCCCGGCCAGACAAACAGGGAGGGGGAGACGTCGAAGAAAGGGACGAATGAAAGTGGGACGAATCAGAAGATGGCACACTCAACGGGCTGCCTTTTAGTTTGTGTGATGTGACAGCACTGGTTTCTATGATACTTGAATCCAGTATTTCGGGTCTCGGGCATTCTGGCATACACATTAGGCACAGAAAGTTCTGCATCCTCCGCCCATGCAAAAGACCGGGACTCGTTCGCAGATTTCCAAAAACTCTGGCAGTCGTGGTTCGGTCAAGGGCGAGTGCGTCAGCGGCTCCAGGGCTTGAGGTCTAGACTCTCCAAAATCCCAAGGCCTATGATGCTTGTCAAGCATCTCATTGGCTGCGATAAGGTCACGCTAGGTCACGTAGCAACGATCATCCTGTCAATTGTTTCGCCAGCCTCAACCAGTACCACGCTGAATCTGAAGCGGAGACTGTAACATGATTGATATTGCAGTTGGAGAGTAGTCATCTACTGTATGCATTACTCCTCGTACCTATACGCCACCATGGCCTCGATACGATGAACATCCGTACTGAAACCGCGCATCTTGACTTGCTGGCTCTTGCTTGCTTCGATGGCTAACGAGTCAGTGTCAACCCACTCGCCAACAGGCACGTCGGCGGACTCGGAGGTGTATGCCAGGATGTTGAACACCTTCTCCTCCTGCATCACTGGGAGGAAGGTCACCATCGAAACGATCTGCTTGAGGATGGCGCGGATTTCCGATTGGATCTCGGATTCAGGTTTGCTCTTCCTGCTTGTGGAATGGGTCTCTCCTACCACCGGTTGTGATGAACACGTACGCTTCACTCCCGTCTGCTGGTGGATCAACCAATTTGATGTCAAAAACCCAGCGCTCGAGCGTCTTCCGCGTATCCTTGGCGAGGATCGCTAACACCAGTTGCGTGACCGAACCGCTCAGAATCCATTCTGATTGCAATCGAAGAGTTGAAACAGACCATCGTGATCCGATAGTGCCACTCACTCTGCACTTGTGTCAAAATTCTGCGCCAAATCATACTTATGAGCATCACTAGATTAGAGTGGGCAAACACATACTTTTCGAGATAGTTCTCGAGCGCTAGGTCTTGTGTCACGAGTACAACCTGTCCGTACTTCTTGACCATGTGGAATTCGTCTGATGGGTAAACTTCGCGTTGGAACAGTATCCTTACGCCAGTTTGAGAATGAACGGCTAGGCTGCACATGAACGCAAACCTACGTGTTGACAGCATACTTGAAGAACTCTGTTACTAGAGCAGTCGAGCCCTTGAGCGTGATTGCCTGTCGCTTTGCTTGCTTGGTGGGAGCCATGATATATGTGAAAGAGAGTCGTGTGAATCGAAACAGGCCAAAATGAGCGCGTCTGTGTTGATCACGTGTACGTGTCATCGCCACAATCCTTGGTTCTACCGTGACCTCGCGTACTGTCGGACACACTCCGCGCTAAGTGACGGTCATCGCCATGTCCGGTTCTTCCCCATCGCCATCTCCCCACGATCCGGCTTCGAACGTGTCGCCGGCAGACCGAGTTCTCATCGAGTATTTGCGGTCTCGAGGCTACTCTGCTTCCGAAAAAGCCTTGCTTGAAGATGGCGAAGGAAGCGAGGACAAAGGGAAACAGTCTGAAACGATCACTCCCGAAGACCTTCTGAAGGCACTGGCTGTGTTTGCCAGAATCCGTCCCGTCCAGGAGAGAACGTTCTGAAAGATTCCGGGAATGTGCTACAAGAATTGACTGCTATGGGCAACCCAAGCAATATACAGAATCTCTTGGCCAGCATCGGAGCTGTTGGAGCGGAAGATATCCTCTCTATGGATCCTGCGGACAGACACGAGGGATATCGAGAGCTCGAATCATGGGTCGACGGGTCCCTGGACATGTATCGAGTACGTGTCTATGCGCGTGCCATAATGACGCGTTCAATATACCCTGCGCCTTTCACAGCCTGAGTTCCGGCCTATCCTCTTCCCCATCTTTTGCCATTTCTATCTTGATCTGGTCGAACGCGCGTTGAAGGATGCTGGTGTGTCCTTATCATTGCAGTCACTCCAGAAACTGAACCTCGACCTTCAGCCATAAAATTCTATTCTACATTCGCCCCGTCGCTGATCGCCACTCATAGCGTTACTGTCCACCACCTTTCTACCCTTCTTCTACCGGCTCATGTCCAAAACGATGATGTGGCTCAACGTTTCAGAGATGAAAAATATGTTGTCCGCATGAGCCGCTCTGGTTTTGGGCTGCTGATAGGTTGGTTGACTGAAGGCGTCGGTGGGGAGGCGTTTGGTTCTGGCGACGGATTTACCGGAGAATTGGGCAAACGGGGCAGAGTTTCAGTGATGAGAGTTGTCAATAACCACTTGAGGTTCGACAGTGAGTGATTCACGGATCGGATACGTAGAGACACTCAATTCTTTCAGTAACGGCATCTAACACGACATCGATATCTCCCAATGCCTGGGAAGAATCCACTGGACTACTATCCTCGTTGATCCCGTCTGCTTCAAGCAACAACAAAGACATCCCAATCCGCAGCAGTTCAATTCTCAAGGGCGAGCTCAAACTGGGTCCAGCGCCGTTATCCGAAGAACTTCGGAATGAGACTCAACGTGTTTTGCGAGAGCAGGCTCTGGTCGACCGAGATCCGACCGCACAGTACGACGTGCAGAGTGCGAGACAAACGCTGCCAGGGATCACTTCGCCGTCCGAGAGTGATCTTCTCCCCCATCCTTCGTCATTCCGTACGGTCGATGTGGAGCGCGAGGCCAACTTTGTGCGAGATGCGCGAAAGCGGATCCGCCTCGAACCCAGTCTGTTGGCCAATACAGATCTCAACTCACCTCAGGCTGCCTCTGTCCGGGCCCGAGCCCTGCCGAGTATATGTGCATACACGCTACATGATGTGCCGGAAGGGTCTGTCGCTGAATTCCAGTTTGTGATGTGGCCTTGATTCCTGTGCAGTGCCCCCTGCTGCACGTTTTCTCCCGACTCTTCTCTGATGGCCGCTGGATTTGCGGAGAGCTATGTCCGTCTTTGGAGCCTGAAAGGTGAAAAATTGCGGGGGTTCCGGAGTGATTTCAATTCATCGTCGATACGAGATGGTACGTGCTTGGGTCTGAAAATGAGCGGCTGACGAATCGTATCAGCTGCGTCGCTGCGAAGAATACGAGAGAAAGGCGGGAGCACGACCCGAAAACTAGTCGGACACAGCGGCCCAGTTTATTCCGTGGCATTTGATCCGCTTAGCGGGTCAGCGGGCCCCCCAAAATACTTGCTGTCTTGTTCGGCAGATGCGACGACCCGCCTTTGGTCGATGGACACTTTGACAAACCTTGTGGCTTTCCGGGGCCATGAAAATCCGGTTTGGGATGTGAAATGGAGTCCGCTGGGCGTATATTTTGCAACTGGTAGTCGCGACAGGACTGCTCGACTGTGGTCGACGGACAGGACATCTTGCTTGCGAGTCTACGCTGGCCATATCAGCGATGTCGATGTACGTCGTTCTCTCCGCGAATTATCTTATCTTATCTTATCAGTGTCTGCAATTCCACCCGAACTCGCTCTATCTTGCAACGGGATCCAGTGACTGGACTGCGAGATTGTGGGACGTCCAGCGTGGCTCCTGTGTCCGTGTTTTTGTTGGACACCAGGGCTCGGTCACGTCACTGGCCATGAGTCCTGACGGCCGTTATCTGGCATCAGCGGGTAAGCATGAACCCGTTCTACTCACGGTGCTCGCGACGAGTCGAAATTTTCGCAGGCGAAGATCTAGCCATCAACTTATGGGATTTGGGATCCGGGAAGCGGATTAAGAAGATGACCGGACATGCGTCGTCCATCTACTCGCTGGCTTTCAGTGCCGAATCCAGTCTGCTGGTCAGCGGCAGTGCTGACTGGACTGTGCGCTGTTGGGACGTGAAAGCAGCTGGGGGTCTCCGTCGCAAGCCCAGAGAAAACGGCAATTCGTCCTATACGCCGATGGGGCTTGCCACCGGAGATTCTGCGGCCCCCGTGAGTTATTCTGACTATGATGACAACAACGAGACGTACTTTACTTCCTCGTCATCTGGAATCTGGCTCACCGGGTCCCAGGACCGATTTGTTGGCCACCTTCCCAACCAAAAGGACGCCCGTCACCAATATCCAGTTTACGCCGCGAAATCTATGCCTAGTCGCTGGGAACTATCTTTCTTCGTAACTTGTAGCACCTGCTTTCTGTATCAGATTCGTTGTATTTTCCCTTGTTCTCAAAGAGGAAACGCCGTTCCGCGTAACCTGCAACAATTCATAATACTTTGCAAGTTGCAACAGAATCGCCAGTCATTGGCACTGGGCGTGATCGCCGACGGCGCGAATTACGCTGGCACGTGCCAACGCGTCTCTGTTTCCTGACTGTTCGTCTCCGAGCCTCTACTCCTGACTCGTCTCGATTATTCGGCCTCTCGTTGCAATGGTAAGACCTCTTCGTTAGATTCTATCTAGAGTGCAGCTCTGATTGGCCATTCAGACTGAAATGGACGTCGATGATTCTATGGATGGTGGCATCGCCCCAGCTCCTCAAATCCATGCCCCAACGCCCATCGCAAGCTTGGACATCTCGAACACACAACGTATGTCGTTTCAGCTGTCTTGTTATGCCTCGGTAGATTCACTCAACCTCACCAGCCGTCCCCGCACCTCGCGAAACGTTCCGAGATATCCAAGCAAAAGTACATATTCGAAGACCTGACCGTGACTCCTGGGTGTACATGGGCCGAGCGATCGTAAGTCAAGAGATGACGAGCCAGTCTTCTCGCGTTGGTGCGCCGTGTTCTTCTTCAGTGGTGGTATGGCTCGTGACCAAGCCCATCCAGTGGTCCGCGCCTCCTCAAACGGCAAGGTCATCACAACGTTCAGCGAGGTCCTGTTCATCCCGCATCCCCTTCGCAGGCACTCGCTGACTTGTCCCACAGAGCACTGATCTTCAAGCTGAAAAACGCGGCAATTTCGTGGTTATCTCGGTCGTCCAGGGCTCCAGCGTCATCTCGTGGTCTTTGAACGCGCTTAACAATCGGAAACGCTCCGCCTTCTCGCCAGCATCGAGCTTGCGTGCTACAAGTGCAAGCAGGCCGTAGCCGATCCGCGACTGCATTCCAAGTCCCGGCGTCGGATCGAGCGGGTCATCAAGGACGACAGACGCCGCCGCCATCGTCGAAGGAAAGACCAGGACACCATGATTGATCTGTTCTCGAAGCAAAGCATAGCGTCACCAAGCGGTCCTCCCATTGAGTCTTAGCTCTTTTGCGTCCTCCGTTGTAACCTGCTAGAATTGCCGATGCTATCGAATTCCAATATGGACCCATGTATTACCCTAGATCTGTCTTGCACAATGTTAACATTTCGACTCCGAGTGCGCCCAAATAATGATAGATAGGAAGTCCAATGGATACAGAATGGAACAGAAGGTGATAGATGGTAAATACAACGGCTATGCTGAATGCGATTCGGGCTGCTCAGGGATCTGTGCTGGTCTCCTCGACGCAGAGTACTGGGGAGGAAGCTCGACCACTTCCTCGTCTTCGCTCGGCACGTGGTCTTCCGAGTCTGTGTGCAATACATATCGGAGCGATCTGTTTGGGCCGGCAGACATCCCGAGCTTGCGCTGCGAAAGTGACGGGACCGGGGCCAACGTATTTTGTTCTATGAATGGTTCCACTTCTGCAACATGAAATTCGGGGTTGAACGGATCCGGGTTTCCGTGTGCCGAGGTGCTGTATTGCGATGCCTGATAGCGCGACGGCGCTCGCGTGCCTGATCCTGTCAGTGTGCTGTGCTCCATAGCGAGGCTGGAGGATATTGAGCTGAGGCCGGTGGAAAACGGATATGAGTGATGACGGAGACCAGTAGCACCGAATCTTTTCGCTTTGCTATTTTCTTGTCGTTGCCGTAGGAAGAACAAGCCGAGAGTGATGAAAACAGCCAGAAAGATCAGGCCACCCAGCGCCGACCCGACGATGGCGCCTATGGGTGTGCCACCATTTGAAGATGGTGACGAGGTCGAGCTAGGGCTGGAGGTCGCTCCTGGGAGTGCGGTGGACGACGGTGATGTGCTGTTGATACACTTAAATGAGCTCGAGATTTGCACAGTCTTGAGGATACTGCCCCCTTGTCGAAGGCCGGCATCAACCTGTCCCATACCCTCCGTCACTACAGTTGATGGACGGAGAGATAAGCTCACCATGTAGATGATGACGTTCGTGTTGTTGTATATCGTAACATCCCATGAGAATGTCCTATATTTCGTGGTAGGGTGCAGGACAAAGGGGTCGCCGCCTGGAATGAGCCCGTACACCGTCACGGGCGCTATGGCGCCGGTCTCCAAGTACTGACTCATAGTGTATGGTCTGCAATGCGCTCAGAAGGAGGTCGGCGCGAGATGGCAGTAACTAACAGGCATTGCTGCATTTCCGTGTCTATAAAGGTAAATGGCAGGCTCGGCCTCGTGAGATTGCAGCTCGAGTCTCCTTGATCGACTTGCAATAGCGGTGTCACTCCTCCGGCGCCAAAACCACTCGAGTCGGAGAGACTCAATACGAAGCGATCGGAAGCGTTGAGTGCGAGAGTCGTCGCGAAGGAGTCGGCGGTATTCGTAGAAGGAATGGATATGTTTCTCGGGATGCCAAATTCTGGCACGACGGAGAGATAATAGCCTGAGCCTGAGCCACCTAGAGTCAAGGGGGTGTGCTCAAGTCAGTTGTGTTACGAGAGTGTGCGCTTGGCTGGACTGACCAGTCCAGGTGACATTGAGCGGGCCGCATTGCGATGGTACAGAGTGTGTGAAAGCGAAAGTGTTGTTGGCAAGAGCGAGCGATGATAGAGAAGACAGGAACAACAAGAACGAAAGCATTGGGATAGGATAGAGAGAAGAAGAGATTTACCGACAGTCCGGGATCAATTCTGAGCTCATGACATGACGATCTTATAACACAGCATGTGGGGGACGATAAGATCGAGCAGGCATAAGTACTAAAAATGTCAGCCCTTTCGGAAAAGGTTGGTCGGAACAGTTTTTCACCGACGTCTTCGCAGCGCTACGGTGCCACGAGGAGAGCGCATAGACCTAGCTCCGGATATCGATTCGCTTAACCTCGTGGGGCAATTCTGCACCTGCCAATTTTTGCACTGGTACCAGCATTCTAATGTATGTTAGCATATTAGCGAGGACCTGGAATCAAGAGAGATCTGACTGCTGGAACAGCGCGTAAGCTGGGTCCGAGATTACAGCTTCCAATTTTGCTTCGCAACTTCAATCAGCAGCTGGAACTTGCGCTTTTCGTCCTGGACACGGCGGTCAAAGAAGGCCGTTCCGTGAAGACTGTCAACACACCTCTTCCATGACTGGGTTCCCTTGCCAAACCGAAGTAAGCGAATCCACATTAAGGACTGTTTCGGAGGAGAAATCAAAAAGAGCAACGACATCCTCTCATGATGCTGACCTGATACACCATCTTGAATAAATGGTTGTTGAGCTGCCAGTCAAGCCTTTTATGTAATTGGAAACGTACTGATTCAATGCTTCGTCCCCGGATTTCGGGTGAGCCCCGCCGGCAATAACGTCGGGAGCAAGACTGGCATACATAGAACGTGTCCACGTCAACCGCATTGAACAATTTGATGGCAATTCGAGCGTATCCTCCCCGTTTTCAACTTTAAGAGAATACACAATAAGCGCGGGTCGGCTGACAAACCTCGCTGAAGTGCACGCCACCCTTGATGTCGTTTTTCAGCTATAGCCTGGTTGGACGAGATGGAAGCTGAAATAGTAGAACGTGGGATCATCAAGTTGAATGTTTCCTACGATCAAGTGAGTCAGATCAGGAAAGGATGCCACATACGACTGCGAGTGCGCACAAATAAGGATATATAGTGAGTCCAATGGATACAGAATGGAACAGAAGGTGGATAGATGGTAAATACAACGGCTATGCTGAATGCGATTCGGGCTGTTCAGGGATCTGCGCTGGTCTCCTCGACGCAGAGTACTGGGGAGGAAGCTCGACCACTTCCTCGTCTTCGCTCGGCACGTGGTCTTCCGAGTCGGTGTGTAATACATAGCGGAACGATCTGCTCGGGCCTGCAGACATCGTGGATTTGCGCTGCGAAAGTGACGGGGCCGGGGCCGACGTGTTTTGTTCCATGAATGGCTCCACCTCTCCGACATGGGACTCGGGGTTGAAAGGATCCGGGTTTCCGTGTCCCGAAGTGCTGTACTGCGATGCCTGATAGTGCGACGGCGCTCGCGTGCCCGATCCTGTCGGTGTACTGGACTCCATGGCAAGGTTGGAGGATACCGGGCTGAGGCCGGTGGAGAATGGATTCGAGTGACGACGGAGATCAGTGACACCGAAACTCTCCGCTTTGTTATTTTCTTGTCGTTTGCGCAGAAAGAACAAGCCAAGGGTGATGAAAACAGCCAGAAAGAGCAGGGCGCCCAGCACCGACCCGGCGATGGCGCCTATGGGGGTGCCGCCATTTGATGACGAAGGTGACGAGCTCGAACTGGGGCTGGAGGTTGCTCCTGGCAGTGCGGTGGACGACGGTGATGTGCTGTTAATACAATTCGTTACATCCGAGATCTGCACAGTCTTGAGGACACTGCCCCCTTGTCGAAGGCCGGCATCGACCTGTCCCGAACCCTCCGTTACTGCGGCTGATAGACGGAGAGATAAGCTCACCATGAAGATGATGACGTTCGTGTTATTGTATATTGGGGTAGCATCCCATGTGAACGTCGTGGGCTTCGCTGCAGGGTGTAGGACAAAGGGGTCACCGCCTGGAATGAGCCCGTACACCGTCACGGGCGCTATTGCACCGGTCTGCAAGTAATCACTCAGAGTGTATGGTCTGCAATGGGTTCAGAAAGAAGGTCGGCGCAAGATGGCCGTGACTGACAGGCATTGCTGCAATTCCGTGTCCGTAAAGGTAAATGGCAAGCTCGGGCTCGTGAGATTGCAGCTCGAGTCCCCCTGATCGACTTGCAGTAGCGGTGTCACTCCTCCGGCGCCAAAACCACTCGAGTCGGAGAGACTCAACACGAAACGATCAGAAACGTTGAGTGCGAGAGTCGTCGCGAAGGAGTCAGCGGTGCTCGTGGAGGGTATGGATATGTTGCGCGGGATCCCATATTCTGGCACGACGGAGAGATAATAGCCTGAGCCTGAACCTCCTGGAGGCGAGGAGGTGGTCTCAGGTCAGTTGTATTATGAAAGTGTGCACTTGGCTGGGACTGACCAGTCCAGGTGATGTTGAGCGAGCCGCATTGCGATGGTGTAGAGTGTGTGAAAGCGAAAGCGTTGGCAAGAGCGAGCGATGATAGAGAAGACAGGAACAACAAGAACGAAAGCATTGGGATAGGATAGAGAAAGGGAGAGATTTGCCGACAGTCCGGATAAATTCTGATCTCATGACATGACGATCTCATAACACAGCATGTGGGGGGACACGATAAGAGTGAGATCGAGCACGCATACTAAATGCTACTACACATATCCACGTAAATCAAACTGGGTCTGACACTACAGCTTCCAAATTTGCTTCGCAACTTCAGTCAGCAGCTGGAACTTGCGCTTCTCGTCCTGGACGCGGAGGTCAAAGACAGCGTTTGCGCGAAGACTGTCAACCAACCTCTTCCGTGACTGGGTTCCCTTGCCAAACTGATGCAAATCCGCATTGAGGACTGTTTCCAAGAGGGAGAAATCAAAGACAGCGACGAAAACATCACATGAAGCTGACCTGATACACAATCTTACATAAACGGTTGTTGAGTTGCTAGTCGAGCCTCTAAATTGGAAACGTACTGTTGCAATGCTTCGTCCCTGGATTTCGGATGAGCGCCGCCGGCAATAATGTCGGCGGCTTCGAGCACACGTGACTTGAGCGCGTCTAAGTCCTCGAGCTGGCGACGTGTGAAATGTCAGGACATTCTTGCAACGTAGAAGCTACCTTGGGGCTCTTCGACGTGACGATGCCAAGCACGGCAACCTTGTTCGGAGGGAGATGCTGCAGAGGCGTGAAATTTCCCGAGCGTTCATTGTCGTATTCGAGCTGTCAAGCGTGAAACAGCGGATTGTGGATGGGAGCAAGACTCGCATACATAGAAAGTGTCCACGTCAACCGCATTGAACAATTTGATGGCAATTCGGGCGTATCCTCCCTGTTTTCAACTTTGAGAGAACACAAAATAAGCGCCGGTCGGCTGACAAACCTCGCTGAAGTGCACGCCACCCTGGATGTCCTTTGTTCAGCCATTCCCTGGTTGGACGAGATGGAAACTGACCATGTAGTTTCCACGGCACATGTGGACGCCAATATTGAGATCCGACGGACGATCCTGGGTGCAGAGGTTGATGGCCCGGATATATGTGTCCAGAAGGGCTTCGTGATCGACACCAGCCTCCTCCATCCCACTGATCATGTCTTCAAGGGGTCAGTCCACCCGTGCGTCATCGTTCACATCTAACTCACCTTCACTGCAGAAATAGCAGAAGGTGGGATCATCAAGTTGAATGTTTCCTGTGATCAAGTCAGATAGGCGAGCAAAGGATACCACATAAATCGGCTGACTGCATCCGTGATCATACAGTTCCTTGATCTCTGCCCGATATGCGACTCCAAGATCGTCAAAGTATTCGTCTGGAAAGAGATTCCATCAGACGCTCGTGCCACAGAGAGCAACAAGTTGGGATATACCATCATTTCTGTAGACCTCCAGATCGTACGTGAGGTCCGAGCCATGTCTTTGATGGATCCAAGTCGGCGGACACATATTAACCTTGATTCGGCCGACTTCCTACGATGGTGATGAGATTAGATCAGATCTCCCTGGAAATTCACGAACCTCTGGAAGCACTATATCCTTGAGTGCCTTAAAATGCTCGACGTAGAAAGGCTTAGTCCTCTTAATTTTACCCTGCAAGCGTTTAGCAGCACAGCCAAGCAATTCAGGACTACCGAACCGAGCAAAAGAACGAGGGGGATTCGGTCATGCCCATGGCCTGAAGGATTTTCACGTGAGGAATGTAGGGCTGACAGCGAGATTGAACACTGAATCCAAGAATGGGCTCATTAGCAAACCTTGCATTCCGACATCGGGCCTGGTGAAAAGCGATCAGATGGGAACGGATTGAGATCATGTGCCCTTACGATGAGGAAGATAGGTCATGCCCTCCAGCTTCTCGAACACACCGTCGAAGAACACCTCTCTATTTGCGCTTGAGGAGAAAGAAAAACGTGTGAGCAGGCCTGACGTACCTCCTCATTTCTCCGTCTGTGATGGTCCCGAGGCCCAACTCCCGTTGAAGCTCTACCACATGCTTAACAGCTGCGTTCTCGAGTTCTACGAGGTCCTCTGGATTCCCTTGGCCTTGAGAAAGCAGCATACGTTTCTCATACAGATCGCGCGGGCGCACGAGTGAGCCCACATGCTCGACGCGGAAGGGAGGGTCGAGCTTGAGGACCATCGTGAAAGGGCAGGGTGTCCAGTGGGGGTGCCAGAGAGAGACGGATTAAAAGCATTTCTGACAATGACGTGCGAGCAACTCCGCTCGCTTCTGCCCGGATTCACAGAGAACATTGTCCAATAGTTGTGATAGACGAACAGAATTGATGAAAACCGACCGCATTGGGACTGCAAGAAAGACGCGGTTGCATCGGATATTCGAGCATGTGGACCAGATAGCCAACGTCAGGGGAGAAGAAGACGGCCAGAACACGTTCTGTAGGCCCCAAATTACGAAAGCAACGACAGACTTAGGCGCCACAAAGTCTGGCAGAAAGCAGGTTAAGCCGACGTCAGGGGGGCCGTGTGTGGAGGTCGAGCGCTCAGGGTCAGCTTCCCTGTAATTCATCGCATATGGAATCGGCTGTAATTGCATCCAGGACTTAGAAGATGAAAGATGAATGTCTGAATCGATGAGAGCTTGGAACAATCAGAAGGAGTGACCGAAGGATAACTCTGGATTCCGATAGGATAGGTTTCGTCAGCACAATGACCGCTTCGTCTGACAGCCCGTGACCGCACGTGAGACAGGTGATCAACTGCTCAGCTCACAGCACAGCCTCCTCTGTCCTCAAGTTTCCTCAAGACAAGGTACGGCGAGCATAAATCGGTGTATATTGCTAGCGCACTAAACACCTCACAGCGATGGGTTTCGCACACAACAACGGTCGGTTTGGCACCCCAATCCGTAGAATTTGGCAAAGTCTGACTCGTCAACCCATTTTTCAACAGTCCTCCACGCCAACCACTTCCGGAAGGACTGGCAGCGTCGCGTTCGCACTTGGTTTGACCAGCCCGGACGCAAGCTCCGTCGTCGCACTGCCCGCAAGACCAAGGCCGCCACCCTCGGTGTTCGCCCTCTTGAGCCTCTGCGCCCTGCCGTCCGAGGACAGACCGTCCGCTACAACCGCAAGGTTCGCGAGGGACGGGGCTTCACCCTCGGTGAACTCAAGGCGGCTGGTATTGGACGCAAGGAGGCGCGCGGTGTTGGCATTGTCGTGGATCACAGGCGGCGAAACTTGAGCGAGGAGGGCAAGAAGCTGAATGTCGACCGCCTGCTCGCATACAAGTCGAAGCTAATCGTGTTCCCTCGCAAAGCCGGCAAGCCCAAGAAGGGGGACTCTACCGTAAGCGTTGCTCTTCTTCTCCTCAAAGATCGATAATCAAACTTTGGCCTAGGGCGACGACCTTACGGCCACGACGACTCGTGCTGCGTTCCCCCTGCCCGAATCTTTCATCGCCGAGGCACCCCGCAAAATCACTTCCGAGGAGCGCGAGTTCGAGGCTTTCCGTGCTCTGCGTGTGGCACGTGCCAACAAGAGACACGAGGGTGCTCGCAAGGCCCGCCAAGCCAAGAAGGAGGAGGAGGAGGCCAACAAGAAGAAGGTACGCGATACCCATAAGCCTTCCATACTATCGACTGACGTTTTCTTCAGTAAGCTGGATCTTCTTCCTGTTCGGTTGCTTCTGTTCTCTCTCTCTACACTCAAAACGTTGCGAGTATATTGCCCCCATGCCCTACTGTACTATGAGACAATACTATGCGCATCACCTCCATAAGTCTATTGGTATCAACGACATCTATATTCAATGTCCTGCCTTGGCGGTGAGGCGCTCAGATGCCTCCAGTGCCTCGGCGTGAGCAACTTTGCCCATGATTTTGACTTGATCAGCAACATTTCTCAGGACGCCAAGTACGTCCTGATTGCCACTGACCCACCCAAACTCGGCGTACACCAGATCTTGTTCTCGAGCGAACTCTTTGACCATCATGCTGGCCGCCCTGAGATTGTGACGCGGCAAACGAGGGAAGAGATGATGGGTGACCTGCAAATGAAGGCCACCGTGGATCCAGCCAATGTCGTCAGAGCAAATCACGTCCGAGGTGGTGCGCAGTTGACGATCGGCGAAGCATTCCGTCGGCCCCATGTCCGTTGTCGACATGGAGAAATGGGAGAGAACGATCTGGTCTTTCGCGTTACTTGTGTACAACGGAAGGTACTGCGTACGCACCTGGATGTGAACAGGAGCAGCTGCAACATGACTGACAAGAAGATACAGGAAGCCCGCTTTCCAGGACCCTGTTCCCCGCAAGACCATTGTGAACCAGGTCCAGAAGACGCCAATCCCAAGCACCTCGAGAGCCCATGCCCAACGCCCGCCGCGGGTCCGACGGGTGTCCAATGCCTTGCGAATTAGGAATGGATAGGAGTTGGCATAGAGGTTGAACCGTGCCAAGAGAAGGATGATGTAGAACAGATTGTGCTGGAACCGAACAAAGAACGAGGAGAATCGGTCGAAGAAAAGCACACGCTTATAGTATGAGGACCAGATAGACTCGAAGAAGACCGGTGAGATGGCCAAGAACGGAAGGTGCTCGATATCGGGATCGCTGGAGAATGGTTAAGTCTGGCGCGTAATCTATCATAGTCAGCGCATACTGTGTGGGATGATTGGGCACGACTACGATCTAATTTAGCGCGATAGACATCGTTGAAACGAAAACGCACGGTGATGAATGTTGTGGTTCTAGTCCATGGGATTAGCCTCAAGTACAGTAGAGTACGAAAGGCACTCACGTCAACCCACCAGCCAATGCTCAAGCCTCCGATAAAGTCCGCTATCGCAATGCCGAGGAGGCGATCGATGGTCCAGCTGTGCGTAACACTAACGTGTCCAAGGTCATGGGCAACAAAGGTCAGTTGCTGCCAGAACAGACCCAGGAAGAGTGCGCTTGTGATGAACCAGCCGTGACGGTAGGCATAGAAAGAGATGCCCGCGAGCAGAGTGTACCGAGCAATCTCAGGTCCGTAGCCCGAGATATAGCGTGTGTTGTACAAGCCAGCGTCACGAACACGTTTGTGAAGGACTTTGTATGCGTCTGAATGTCGGGTCTGATCCTCGAGTGACAGGGTAGAGGTCGGTGGCTCGATCTGGTCACGCGTGGGTGCATCCAGACTCTCCGTCCGGTTTTGAATCAAGAGAATTTGGGTAGCGCCCTTGCGATGAGTCTGCGCCTCCTTAAACCAGGTCTTGGTATCTGTCCTAACCCAGCCAGACATAACAGGAGGAAGCAGAGGCTTCCATGGCAGCTCCACGGTTCCAACCTGGTACTTCCGAATGCTCTTGAGGACGGGGTCTGGATGGTACGAGTCGATTTCGTCGGTTGCGTCTCGTCCAACAAAGTGGAGAATCGACAGGGCACCACCAGGATGTTGTTCCAGCCATTTTGGAGGTATGCGGAGGAGCAGGCCATGGTAGACAATTAGATGAGCCCCTGCGAGTATTTCGGCGGCAACTGCATCTCGTGTCCAAACAGTCATGAGGGTGGGGTGGATTGGAAGCCTGAGAATGAGTGATGGCATCACGGCAATTCGGCACTGCGGGGGCGAACGGATCGGTATCGGGGGCCGGACGGCAAAACACACACGCGAGGAGGTAACAAAAGATGGAGCCATGACGGTCAACAGGAAGTTGGAATTTACCTGGAACGGGGATAATTTCATTGGTGAATGAAGCACGGTCGTCATGGGGGCCCCGTCTGCCCCAGCAGAGCAGGCCAACTGGAGAGAGCGGGGATCTTGACCGTGTACATAATGAGTACATGATGACGCCAAGGCTTGTGACAGGTTGGCTTGATTTGGGAACGGCAGCAACCACCCTTGCTGACCCACTCTCTCCACCACCGCCATGGCTGCCGTCTCACCCAGCCATTACCGCGCCCGCTCCTCGTCCGACCCATTTGGAGACGACAAGAGCTCTCCCCGGAATGCACCACCGCCACCCCCGAAGAAAACCCGGCAGAAAGAGAAGGATATCGTGGAAGAGGTCCGCGATACGGTCCATGTTCGCGGATCCGGAACCCGCATGTCCCGCAGTCAGACGTGAGCGACTCCACTCTGTCTGCTGCTCTGAGGAACTCATCTTGCTTCAGCACAGCCCAGACGTCGCCGCCTCGCTCAGCACCCCCCATGGGACATCGTTCCGTGTCTCAAGATTCGGCCCCGCCTGAGAAGGCCAAAAAGTCGAAGAAGAGCAAACACGCCGATGTCATCGATAAACTCGATTTTACCGGTAATGGTCCAAGTGCGCCTCTCCTTTCTTTGCAAGTCCCCACCCCCACAATCTGATCACTTGTTACACAGTGTTCCATCACGACGGTCCTTTCGATGCATGTGCGCCCTCGCGTAACCGGCAGAAGAACCGTGCTCCCATGATGGCATGGAGTGCCAATCCCAATGAGGCCATCCCCAAGGAATACAACGACAACCCCTACCCCTCTCCGCAAGCGTATTCTGCCTTTTCGTCTGCCGAACATGAGGCTCCGAAGAAGAAGATTGATGCCATTGCTGAGGCGTGGGGTATTCACGAGCCAGAGCCGTACGAAGAGTTTTTCGCAGGTGGAGGAGGCGGCACGACCGGCAACACGCCAGCCAGCTCCATCTACAACGGCAAGGAGGCCTCTCGCAAGACTACTTCGGAAACCCCGAAACGGTCTCAACGCCGATCTCAAGTTCCTCCTCCTATGCCCATCTTTGTTCCCGACGGGGTCATCGACGGCAGTGCTCCTCTTCCCGACAGCCCTGGCTCACCAAGCAGCTATCCGCCCAAGCGGTCCAAGTCGCTGATGCACCGTATCCGCAAGATGCGTGATGCTCCCAACGTTCCCGTCTCGGATCAGACACCTGGAGAGCCGACCGGCGAGCGGCCCACGCATCGTTCTCAAAACTCGTTCCTGGGTCGATTTTCCACTAGTACACGTGGGCCTGGTCCATACACTGGTTCGTCCCCGACGGCAGAAGGGTCCGAGGCGTATGTTTTTATTGAGCCGCAGACAACGGGCAAGAATGCTAAAGACCTCCCGCCGACTCCCGATAATGGTCCGGCAGTGAGCCCACGTGAACATGTGCCCGCTGTCGGCTACTTTGACGAATCGGAAGTCGGGGTTGGCGCAGGAAACGGAGCGAGTCTTGGTCGCAAGACGAGTTTGATGAAGAAAGTTGGACGTGTCGTTCGAGGTTCTCGCTAATTATCCCTTGATTTCTGTATGTATCATTTTCTTGATCGTGGCTCCCTCCTTCACGAACCCTATGCACCTTTTTGGCTGTACGTTCCTTGACTTGATGCAATGTATCTACCCGATTTATTCCCTGTGGTTGGAGGATACCTTTACCTTACTCCGAAGTGTAGTTTACTCGTTGAATCCTATATCTTTATTCTCTAACGCGGATGCCCTGGGCGACGAGAGATTCCTTGACCTGCGAGATCGTCACTTGCTCGCGATGGAAGATGCCCGCAGCAAGCGCAGCTTCGACATTCGTCCGCTGGAAAACGTCGACGAAATGGGCCGCGCTACCGGCCCCGCTGCTGGCAACCACGGGGATCCGCACTGCTTTCTTGACGAGCGCGAGGAGATCGAGATCAAAGCCGAGTCCCGTACCGTCGCGGTCGATGCTGTTAACGAGAATCTCTCCTGCGCCAAGACGATCGACGCCTTTGGCAAGCTCGACGACAGACAGAGGCCGTGCTTCCCGTCCTCCGGAAACAGTGCATTGGTACCACCAGGCCGAAGATCCGTCCCGCACCAGCTCGTCTTTGTAAGGTCCATCGTAGTCCAGATCTACGATGACACGCCGGGGATCAATGGAGACTACGACCGCTTGGCGCCCGTAAGCGTGGGCGATCGTCTCGATGGAACTCGTGCCATCCAGTTTCCAGCCCTGGCCGCGTAGCTTTTCGACCGCATAGACTGCATCTGACCCGATGCTAACCTTGTCAGCACCGGCCCGGAAGTACGCCGAGGCTACCTCGAGCGCAGAGTGACTAGTCCCATCGGGATCGACGCTGTCCTTGATTCCGCCACCGATGGTGAGCGGAACGAAGAGGCATTCCGCGGCGGCCCGAACAACGGCAAGCATCGGTTGGTCTCGTAGCGGAGACTGACGGAAAGATGTGATGTTGAGCAGACAGAGCTCGTCCGCCCCGGCTGCATAATATCGAGCAGCCAGCGCCACCGGTTTGCCCAAGTTGCGCACGGCACCGCCTGCGCTGGTTGTTGTAATCGCCGCAGAATTTTCGCGTTCCCGCACGTCGTACTGATCGCCCTTGGTCACCACCAGATCTCCTTCGTCATTCGCTCTGACGTCCATGCAGGCTATAATCCGCTTCGTCAATCCCAGCTGCGGATCCAAGGACCGAGGAGTTCGGTCTGCTGGTGGAGGATGATCGGCCGCAGGATCGCGCAACCAGGCCTCCAGAATGGCTAGGCCTGCGACGCCCGACTTTTCCGGATGAAATTGTGTGCCAAACACATTCCCCCGGCGGACAGAGGAGACAAACAGTTCATCGCCGTATTGTGTCGTTGTACATGCCCATTTCGTAGACTCTGGATACTTGACAGGATCGTACTTGGCGCAGTACGAATGAACGAAGTAATAGAACGCCGAGGCACCGTCCGAAGTCGAATCCAGTGGCTCAGCGGAGTTCCAACCGATGTGCGGCACAGATTTATCAGCATTGGAAAACCTCTCTATCGGCCATGGAACGATCCCGAGTCCGGGGGAAGGCGATTCTTCAGAACGCTGGAAGAGAACTTGCATTCCAATGCATATTCCAAAGAAAGGCCGTCCAGAGTCGATGTATTTTCTCAAAGGTTCCATAAGACCCCGTTCAATCAAGCGCTGGACAGCGGACTCGAATGCACCGACTCCAGGGAAGATGAGAGACTGTCGCGAAAATTGAACGGTTGATCTGGGTGGAATCGAGATAACTGACAGTGGCTTCGTTGAAGTCGGAGGGCGTGCTGATCCAACGAAACTCATGCCCGAGCTGGCGTATCGAGTTCGCGAGGCTTGTCACATTCCCAGCACCATAGTCGAGCAAGTAGAGCATGGTCAAGACGAGGCTCTGAGTCAATATGACTTTTCTGGACTCCAGATCGGGATGGATTGTGATGATCAAATCAAATCACGGATTTCGGTATACGATACACTCGAGTCTTTCGTTGTATCGGCCGAACTGCAGCCAACAGGGCCTTGCGTGGACTTGCGCACATGGTTTCCATAATCAATCAGATTACGAACTAGCCAGACCTAGATGTTGGTCGTTGACCGTTCAATGCATCGGGACCGCGCGGATAATCCACTCTCCTACCTACGGTGACCTACCAACCCTAGATAAATTCTTATTCTACCCCGAGCACGCAAAGATCACCTATGGTTGATGAATTTATGAGTCACGATGTCATAAGAATGCCTTCAAGTATTCAAATTTGCACAACATGGGGGGACTGCCTCATCTCGAGCTTCGACACTCATGTCAAATCCCATTGCGATTCCCAGCTCCCGCTCCCGCGAGGTTGCCACTACGGCATCACCATCCTCTGCCCCGGTGGCATCTCCACATCTCAATCTCAAGTTGCTCCACCCCGTCGAAAACGTTAATCTACGCTTGTTGCTCCTCGAAAACATCAGCCAGGACGCTGTATCCGCATTTCGCTCGCAAGGATTCCATGTCGATCACCACACAAAAGCGATGTCTGAGGCCGAGCTCATTGAGCTCATACCCTCGTACCATGCTGTTGGCATTCGCAGCAAGACCAAGATCACGGCTTCAGTCGTAAAAGCTGCCACTAAGGTCTGCATAGTCGATTGTACCGTCCGATTCCTCATCGTCATGTGCAGCTGCTCGTCATCGGATGTTTCTGCATCGGCACTAACCAAGTCGATCTCCCCGCTGCGGCTCAGGCCGGCATCCCCGTCTTCAACTCGCCCTTCTCGAACTCCCGTTCTGTCGCGGAGCTGGTCATGGGAGAACTCGTCGCTCTCTCTCGCCAGTTGTTCGAGCGTTCTTACGAGCTTCGTACTGGGGTTTGGAATAAGCAGTCCAAGGGCTGCTGGGAACTCCGAGGAAAAACGCTGGGTATCGTTGGGTATGGGCACATTGGTGCTCAGCTCTCGGTCCTTGCCGAGGCTTTTGCCATGCGCGTCATCTTCTACGATGTGCTCAACATCATGCCTCTCGGATCGGCGAAACAGATGGAATCGCTCGCAGCTCTGCTCGGGGAGGCCGACTTCGTGACCTTACACGTTCCGGAGCTGCCTGAAACGATCAACATGATGTCGTCGCCGCAGTTTGCCAAGATGAAGAAGGGGGCATACTTGATCAACAACTCCCGAGGAAAGGTAGTCGACATTCCTGCGCTAGTCAGCGCTCTCCAGTCAAAACATCTCGCTGGTGCAGCGATCGACGTGTTCCCATCAGAGCCTGGCTCCAATGGCTCGCCGTTTGATGATCAGCTGAACTCCTGGGCCAGCACCCTTCGCTCGATACCGAACGTCATTCTCACCCCTCATATCGGTGGATCGACAGAGGAGGCCCAGCGATTGATTGGAGAGGAAGTGGCCCAATCCCTGACGCGTTACCTGGACTATGGGTCGACAGTCGGCGCAGTCAACTTCCCCGAAGTCGATCTGCGCGCTATTACCCAAGAGCAGGGCGACCATATCCGTGTTTGCCACGTCCACAAGAACCAGCCCGGTGTGCTCCGCCAGGTCAACGAGGTCCTCTCTCCGTACAACGTCGAGAAGCAGTACTCTGATTCCAAGGGCGACATTGCCTACCTCATGGCTGATATTGCCGATGTCAGCATCGACGATATCAGCAAACTGCGCGATCTAATCAGTGGCAACAGCGCCAACATTCTGACGCGTTTCCTAGCCTGAGTGCAGGCACAAAAGTAACTTGTCAATATCGTCCACTCAACTGGGCCATAGCAAACTGTATTTATAGTACATTGTCATCCAATTATCCTGTTCGTAAGTGTAAGTAGCGGTACATATCCAGCATGTGTGCAGCCTGAGTCTCATGTTTCTTCCTCCGGATCTCCGATTCCACTCCCCAGAATCGCAAATGTCGTTTCCATCTCAGGCAAGCAAGGAGAATCGTAGATCTTGCATGTACGATTATTTCCACGGCCCTTCTTCAACTGGAGCCTACAACATGGTCAAAAATTGCAAAGGGTGAGCTCACGATATCATTACCGAGTTGTCGAGGCATGGGCCATGATGTTGCCTCCAATCGGCTTCTTCTCATTTCCAGCTCCGGGCTGTGCGTCGGGCGTCGACATCACCTGATTAGTGACCACGACAGCAATTCCGAACTGCCAGCTTGCGTAAGTGCATTACTGCGAGCCAGACAGCATCGGACTAACTTCATCGGCAAGGCGTTGCAGAGTGTGCAGAAACTTTCCAAGATGGTTCTGCCTACTCGAAAGTTCTCCACGGCCGTTGAAATCTGTACGATACAGAGCCGTGCACGAGTCAACGATCATCAAGCAGAATCTGGGTGGGAACGGTAAAAGAGTGCATATATCCAGCCTCAGATATACTGACCTCGATTCTGCCATGAGCGCACTAGCCGAGGCAAGCAGAGTATTCTGGTGGTCGGCATTGTATGCGCGAGCGTAGGCAACATTATCCAGCACTTCCTCCCCGTTCAGGCCATATCGTTCCGCCACAGCCAATAGTCGAACTGGACGGAAGGTACCCTCTGTGTCGATGTACAGACATTTTCCCTCCCCACCACCCATGCTGACGGGAAGTTGGCAAGTGACTGCCAGAGTATGGCAAAGCTGCGACTTTCCAGTACGAAATTCGCCAAAAAGCTCGGTAATAGCCCCAGTTTCAATGCCACCTGAGCTCAGTGTTCAGGTAGTGCGAAGCCAACGGCGGATAAACACGCACCGCCAAGCAACGCATCGAGCTGCTTTGATCCTGTAGTGATATGAACCAATTCGGAGCGGTGTGCATGAACTTCGGTCGCCGTTTGGAAGCCCATGGGTACGATCTTGGACGCTATCGAGAAAATCAGCTTTATCCGCATAGGAGGTAGGGCATAGTACCTTCTGCGAGAATCTTATCCGCTTTCTGCTCAGATATGCCCTTAATTGCGACCAGATGTTTACGCGGCGTGAAGGCTACGGCCTCGATTGTGTGGAGACCGGCCTCCATGAGCTTCTTGATATCGTTGGCATTGATTCCTGCCTCCTGCAGTTTTCCAACTAAGATGGGTCCAGAGAAACCCTGTTCCTCCTCTTCCTCGAAATCTTGCTGCGAGCCTTGTGACATGATGTAGAAGAGCGTGTAGGAGCAAACAAGGGTGCAAACAACATTGTTTGTCACCTTGACGTGTCTGGCTTAGTCACGTGGTCGTTCACGACCCAGAATGGACTACACAATCGGTGATGACATCACAAACTCACCGATTCCTCACTACTTGCAAGTGCTTGATCTAAGTCTCACTGTCATCTTGCGTCCAGTTGGCCATATCCACAACCTTCTCTCCATATGGATGTGCCCAAAGATTGTTTCCCGGCAATCGCGCGCCTTCCCAGTGAACTACTCAGCGTTATCTTCCAACATCTGGTCGTCGAACTGAACATGGATGACTTTTCGCGGCCCGCGGTAATGACACTGTCCGAGTTTGTCGAATGCCCGGCTCGTAAAAATGCGTGCCTGATCTCTCTCTTTCAGAGTCTCAAAGCACTTCCGCGCGGTGGTTCTTGGAACTCCAACGCTGTGGGCAAGTATACGGTTGCATAGTTATAGTGATCTGCAGCTTCTGGACCTCTTCATACATAGATCCCAAAGCTGTCTGTTGGATGTTTCGTTGGACTTGACAGCTTTGGATGTCATCCCGCGTCCACTTATTGCTTCTGCCTCGAGGTGGCTCCGAATATCCGTTCGCGCATCGGACTTCAAGGATATCTACGTTTCCCTGTTGCCATATTCTCACGCGCCTGTTTCTGAACTCAGAGAGTTGCGGTTACTACCGACTTCGTCCTACTGCGACAGTGACGAAGACAAGCTCAACTTCAATGCCCCCAAACTTCGTTCTCTTGCCATACACGGGTGCCTGGGATATCTCGCACCTCTCCCTGGGCTGACCACTTTGGTCATATACCGCTTGGAATGCAGCTATCGGGTTTTCTGTGAATTTATTCAGTGTTCGTTCGCGAAGTAATGGGCGCATTTCTACGTCGTTGATCGCTTTCTTAGCATGCGCAGAGCTCTCTACCCTCGTCCTGCAAGAATCGATTGCTGGGTGGGAGACACACTCCGGAGATCGAAATCCAACACCTATTACGCTGGAAAAATTGCGTGTTCTTGCGGTTTCTGAGAGCCGCACACCGGCGGATGGCATGGTACTCACCGGTCAAGTTGCGTCAAGAAGGAAATGGGCTGATAGCACATTCCTAGGCCCTGCTTGACTATCTCTGTGTGCCTAATGTGCAGCTTCTGGAATTGTCTGGTTCCGGACTGCAAATTACCTCGCCAAGTAACGGCGATGAACGAGTCATGAACAAATCGTTCCAAGCTCTCTGCACACTGGTTTTACAACATGTCGACTTCGAAATCTGCGATCTTTTTCTGTTCAGGTCACTCTCTACGATCACGCGGATGGAGCTCAGCTGTGTCCTGAATATGACCATTTTGACTGCCCCACTAGCGGAAGGCGGTGATAGCCTTTGGCCGCATTTGAACACCATTGTGTGCGATGTGTCGGAGGAAGACAATCTTCTCTGGCTTGATAACCTAGTGTTGATCACCCTGCTCTTACTGTGATTGTTCCTGTGCAGCGGCAAGCTGAACTGAGGCAACGCGGACACCTGTTCAAAATTCAAACCATGGTCGACAGCCCGACATTTCTGACAGGCGAAAACCCACTGGCAGACCAGGATTACGAAGACGGTTCGGAATACGGGTGGGCTGATCAGGAGTATGAGATGTGGGAGGATGCGGATCCAGAATGGAGTGAAGACGACCAGTTTGACTACGACGATGACTACGATGACGAGGGCCTAGATGGGGTAGTGGGATGGTATTGAAATGCGTGCGGCGGCAGCTGTTCCATAATCATATCAACTACGAAACGAGGGGTGTGACAGGCGTTCTAAGATGAGATTCTATCGTCTCTACTGCCTTCAGGTCCATGACCACCCTCGGCCAACGAAGAACATCATAGATAGTCAGTTCTTCTAGCGGTATCAGCTTGGTGAGGGGAATGTTCCGAATGGACCGGTCCAACTCCGTCGAGGGCAGGTCCCCCGTCACGAATAATGTTCGCCGAAGACCCAGCGCGTCGATTTTCTGGGAAAGATGCTTGGTCTTCCCATTGGGCCAGTCCATGGAGGACATCACACCCAGGAGACTCTCCCGTACTTTGAGACTGAGGGCAACACGCATGCCCATCTCGATCACTTTCCGGGGAAGCTTGGTCGAAAAGTCTCGGGGTTTAGGACCGAAAGCAACACCACCTCCGTGCTGGATGGGACTACGCAGGTCGCCAGCACGCGCAACACCACCACCCTTTTGCCTGAAAGGTTTCCTTCCCGTTCCGCGCCGCTCGCTACGCGTCTTGGTGTTGGCAGATCCCTGTCGCAGAGAGTCCCGGTAATGGGTTACACATAGGTGTAGGATGTCCCGTCGAATTGGCTGGTTGAAGACGGTCGGGTCGAGAAGAACGACGTCGGATGTGGGGGAAGGATCGCCCTTGGTGATTTTGAAGGGAGTCGTCAAGGTCAGATAAACGGGTGACACCACGGGAGTAGCTGAGCACAATTTTTTCAATGACAAGTACCGCACAAGAAACCACAACACGGACCGGTGACAGTCGGAGTGGAGATAGTTGTTGGGCTTCTCAAAGAACGTGCTGCACGCGAACCACCGGACCTCTGCAAGGCACGAGTCAATGTTCGCCCACCTCTGGTCGCGGTTTGCATTATGATGGCGTATAGTTACGGTCACTGTCACACTCTCTTCGGACTTCCGGTTGTTGGGATCATGTTCTGGATCATATATCAAAATCTGGTCACTGTCCCGTTACTAAGATCATCGATGTGTCACGCATATGCAGCTGGTGTAATCTTTTCTCACAGTCGTACTCACCTTTTCACCCGATTTCAAGGTACCGCGCAGGCGCCGAGGAAACGCAACGAGAATATTGAGCACCTTCTAGGTTTCCCTCAAAATGGCCTCCTCTGTCAAGGCTGTCCAGACTTTTGGCAAGAAGAAGGTGGGTAACCCTCAATTTCCTTTGACTGCAGTCGCTGAACTGGTGGTAGACTGCCACCGCTGTCGCGCACGCTAAGGAGGGTCGCGGCATCATCCGCATTAATGGCTCCCCCATCAACCTCGTCCAGCCCGAGATCCTGCGTTTGAAGGTTTACGAGCCCGTACTCGTCGCAGGCGAGGACGAATTCGCGGGTATCGATATCCGAGTGCGAGTGAAGGGAGGAGGGCACACTTCTCAAGTCTACGCTATCCGCCAGGCTATTGCCAAGGCCCTCGTTGCCTACCACGCAAAGTACATCGACGCTGCCCACGCCATTGCTCTCAAGAAAAGCCTGGTCGACTATGACAGGACCTTGTTGATCGCTGATCCCAGACGGATGGAGCCCAAGAAGTTCGGAGGTTCTGGTGCTCGTGCTCGCAGGCAGAAGAGGTGCGCTCCCCGGGGCATTCTTTCTCATCTCGTACTGATTGTATCCCAGTTACCGGTAGACTGCTTTCTCATCGGTCTATCTGTGTCCTCGTCGTCGTACCTCAGCTCCATGTCACATTATGCTGTATGGTGTTTATGAACAAAATCCATTTCCTTGAAGGATAGGGCTCCCTTGGCCGTGTATGAATATTATGTGCAAACGTGCTGCGTTCAAACGTCCTGATCTGCTTCTCTCCGGAAGCGACCCTTCCTTCGTGCAGAGCCTTTTCGTTTGCAAATACCATGCTCGGGTACTGGACGGAGAACGGCATCGGGAACACTGACAGTGACGGTTTATGTACTACTTTATGTTCACTGAATTCGAAGACATGTGTTGAAGCACACACTGCCACTGATGCTAGTTTGAACTCTACCATAACGCGCTTGCTGAGATTGTGAAAGTTGATGTCCAGTGCACCTTTGGCTTCCCCACATTCGCTCTTTGTCAGAAATGGTCCTCTGAAATTCTTCGTCGACCCCTCTTGCCAAGGTCGAGCTAAGCTTTTTAGAGACCTGAAAGTGTGTTGGCGTGTGCCTAAGTGAAAGGGACCATTCACTCATCGTTATTCTAGGAACACGGAGGTCTCACAACCAAAGATCCAAGGGTGGTGAAATTTCTCGCTTTACGTATGCAGCTGCTCATCGGCCTCAGACCTGTGATTTCTTGCTTGTACAATCCAATTCTTCGTCCGGACAATCTTTCGTCCGTGTGTGGAACCACGAGAAAACGGTCTTGGAAGTAGGACCCGATTCTTCTGCCGTCTACGCGCGCTGAAGCACTTTGCAGACAGATTGGGTCAAGCGGTCGATCGTCGCCGGACGCCTTCTGGATGCTTCGGTCAGTGCGGCAGCGTGCAAGACTGAGAAATACGTTGTAAATGGGATGATAGGACGATTGGGGTGGTCTCTTGGCGCGGATAAACGACTCAATCGATACGGATGATGAGCACCCCAAGTACGTTTCTCTTGCGACTGCATCGACGATGCTCAACGGACTGTTCAAGTAGCCCTCTGCCCACACCTCGAATCACACCTGTCGGAGTGCCTCCAGCTGTCACTGGCTCCGCTTCGCCTCCACCGAGTAGCCATAGCCCCGGTGATGTTGCACCGGTCCACGGTTCCCCTGTCCGTGGCGACTCGCGAGACTTGTGGGCTGGGCCTTCCAGGATGAGCGCCACGCCGGCCGCTGTTGAGCATGGGCCGGTGAATTTGAACGCGCAACAAGCTACCCAACAGCTCCTATTGCCTCAGTCTTTTCCGACTGGTCTTGTTTACGATCCAGCTATTCACTCTGCCATCTTGGGAGAGGTCATGAAACATCGTGGTCTAGCGCCTATTGCTGCTTCAATCTCAGCACCAGTGCAATCCGAACTGGCCTCCGGCTCCCATCTCTTGCTTCCATCAGAACAATTGCAGCCCCCTGCCAACCCAGAACGGGACCTCACTGTCTCAATGGAGTCAGAGTTGGCTCGGAGGCCTGCAGTGTCAATAGATGCGAAGGGCAAGGGGCGCAGCAGGAATGCATCACCAGCCACACTGTTTACTGCGGAAGGATCTGCATTGACTTTCTACGTATCGCTTGAGGTCAACAAGCGTTCCGAACTATTGTCGTGCATCAAGGTGAATCGAAGAGGATCATTGTCGTCCAACACAAGCAAGCACTCACAGAGCGACAGAAGCACGGTGGTCAAATATCCATTCAGATAACGACTGCCACTTACGCAATACTCTCATCTCGACCCAAGAATTACGAAAGTGTTCTCGAGACAGTGCTCTCATCGAAAGGGACCCCTGTGCGGCCGGCGTTTGTCTTCGAATCTGTTCAACAGAATAAGTTGTTGGATCCGGCAGAGTATGTCTTCCAGCCGTCAGACAAGCTGAAGAAGAAGTTGGAAGCAGCAGCTTCTCCTCATTCGAGGAAGCGAAGGGCACGAGAATCTGGAGGCAAAGGACGCGCAGTCAAGAAAGGAGCAGATGAGGTCGGGAGCAAAGAAAGCGGTGACGAGCAAAATGTGCTTGCGCCACAGGAGGATGAGGTTCGTTGGAAGGTCGCCGTGAAAGAAGAGAGGACCAGTCCTCCTTCACTATCGAGCCCTGCACTGGAAGAAAACCCACCCCTTCAACGTGAACCAAAATCACCAACTCCACCCCCCGACAGCAGTCGCGTCCAAATGATAGGCACCGGTAAGTATCGTTACACAGAGGTCGAGATGAGGTACGCGTTCGAGTATATCACCGTACTCTTCTCCCGAGATAAGGACATAACGACGTCCGCGATTGGGCAAAAGCTGCATGAAAAGGTATGTCCAGGGGCTTGATACTCTATTTTGCTTACTCCTTCAGATGCCCAATCACTCCAAGACTGCTTGGATCCAGCATGTGACTTTCGCAAATAAGCAATCTTTTGAACTAGCCAAGAGGCAGGGGCTGGTATCATACAACACACGACAGCACAAACTCGCACAACGTCCGCCCGAAGAACCGCCCTCCAAGCGGATCAGGACAGAAGAACACACGCCTTCCGCTGCACAATCACAACCATCCACCCCCAACGACGGAGATCTGGAAGAGGACCTGTATCACGCAGCACATTTTTTCGCCGACGGTGGAGATGTTGAAGAACCTGGAGACGATTCACAAGCAGAAAAAGACAACCGTATCTGGCAGAGGTTGACGGCGCAAGTAAGTTTACCATATATTGCCGTTGCCCCCGTCGCCTCTGTTCTCATCGAATCATAGACTCCCTGCAAAACCGAGGAATCTTGGCCGGCGTTCTACGATAAACACGGGGCCCAGGTGACACGGTTGTATGAAAAACTGGTCCAGAACGAGACGCAGGATTAGTTTGTTGGTCCGACTACACAACACATCGTGTGGCGACGAGATACGGCACAGCGGGCTGCGTGCCTCAGCAGTCCAATTGCGCAATGAGGCGCGCGTCTAGATGATGGGATGCCATTCATACTTTTACATCGTCAAAAGGAGAGGAAGATTTGAAGAACGACTTCTCCGCGTCTGGTTTCTTCACTCCGTGGCCATCCGTCTTGGTGTATTGTTGCAAGTAGGCAAAAGATCCCATGACAGAGCATGTCCCGACAGCCATAGGTAACGATCGTTCTAAGGATGAATGCAGTGAGTACAAGTGCAGGAGGACGGTTAATTGCTCGTACGTGAGAGACCGAGCAGGAAGCCAGCTGCACAAGCGCCTGCAAAGCAAGGATTCATAAGTAAGAGCAACAGAAAGGCTGAGATGATGGGCGTACCAGCAGCACTGTTTATTGAGTCGTCCACCTCTCTTGCATTGGCGACGGTAGCTTCCGTGAACGCATATGTTGCTCCCACAGCGGCTGTCACGAGTTTACGCGGACGATTGGGAAACCGGGCAGGCCAACGCACTGAAGAGGCCAATGGGCAGAATGATGCCTGCATTCTTTCCGGCGAGGGTGTTGCGGAGACCAGCAGCGATAGTTCCAACGATAGCGGACTGGCCACCTAACCTGAAGGCGTTCTCGACAGATGATTTGGCTTCATAAGTCCCGGGAGCAGCCACAGAGTTGGCAGGTTTCTCCTTCACCGTCGTGACAACCTTTTGTATGAGCTCTTGGAGCCGCGCATTAGATTCCTCCGAGTTGGACATTGAGCACCGGGTCAAGTAGGTTATGCACCGACAAACAGAGGCTGACCCTAACCATCCTCTGCTCAACCCAAACCCTAAGGGGCTCGGAGCAATGATCAACAATCTCTGGCTTCAACCAGTCCCAGTCTTTAATGAGCACTTGCCTCAGAACTCATGACGACTCACACTGTGACGCGTGTCATCCAATTAAAGAGGTCCTCGGGAGCGTACAGGACTGGCTCTGTTCAATTTTTCCCCTGGACTCTGGACTCGTCTAAGGAAGTATTCGACGGCAAATGGCATCTGTCCACATCTTGGCGTTCGATGATAGACCAGTACTCGCAAAGCTTTGTCGCTGGTTACAATGCTCAACTTTATATCCTCTGCACTGACAAGAAACTCGAAGAGATCGTTTCCCTCGATGTCTCGTTGCCTGTATGTGTTCGGCTGATGTACCCGCTTCTGCTTGGCTCATTAGGTCAGGACCCTCCAAATGATCCAGACGATCCTACCATCGCAGCATGGGCCCTGTGTTCTGAGCCATCTCCGGAACCTCTCATAATTCTAGCGGATCATCGATGCATATTCGTGTACAGTGTGAGAAAGAGGGCGGTAGTTGGATATGTTCGGGGCCACGGAGGGGTCTGCGTCAAATCTATTCTCTCGCTCGCCTTATCTTACAGCCCTGCAGAGGATCACCTCTATCTCAGTGCATCCCACACGGCCTAATATCTTCGCAAGCACTTCAGCAGACTTCACAGTCAGGTATTTAGCTCGAGAAATCGTAATAAATCTCCGAACATCTTTCTCAAAGAATCTACAATCTGGATCTGAAACAAGAGGAAAACCTGCGGACACCAAAATGGCCGCCATTGGGTATACCTGTTCATGGCAGCGCTGCTCTTGGTATAGACGGGGTCGATGCTGTCGGTCGCGGATACGGCCGATGCATCCAACTTCTGGTTGGCGGGCGAGCCGGTGGTCACAACTGGGAGGTCGGCACCTCGGTAAGCCATCGTTGCTGCGAGTCCTTTCCGTTTTCTGAACCGATGTAGGCTTTCCATCCACGACTGCCTCTGCTGGCGACTGGGGGCGTGCGTTGCTCACTTCTGAGACACTGTTTCAAAATGAAGAGCCCAGGTTAGGTTGACCGCTACGTGAAGATCTGGCGCATCCATCTGGGATCGACGAATGTCGTCAGGGAGGACAAACCACTGTTCAGCTCGGCGATCACAACGTCCCGTGTGCTCTCGATCGCATGGTCTGTCTTCCTCGCGGACGGTCGAGATCGTGCTTCTTTTCTAACAATGAGCAGGCTCGCGGAGGACGTGCTCATGACGCACACTGCGACAACCTTCACTCCAAGAAAGGCTGAATCAGACGACGACGAGCCTGGTATGCCAGAACCCGAGATTGAGCCTGCAACACTCGATGTGTTCCAATGGCTTGGATGCGAACGTTACTTCCCCGATGGAGATCCAGAACCGGATTCGCTCCTACGAGGCGGTGCATCGGTATGTTCTTGAGTTGGAGTACTGTTGCTTACTGACATCTTCCTAGGACTACCAGAACAGCGGTCTGTACCTCTGATGTATTCTCGTTCTCATCACTCAGTCTCTGTACAGCATCGTACATGAAGCTGTCTTCTCTCGACCTGCCTCTGGATCGCAGTTTACAGGACCGAGAGGCAATTACCAACTTGTCCCAAACGAGAGTCTCTGCAAGTCAGAAGGGACACTGTCTCGTCATGAATGCCCAATCACGAATCCGTGCTAGGGGATCGACCAGTCTCAACTTTGTGTCGCTAGACATCTCGCAGATGGAGCCTTTGTGTCGGCCAATGACTCCTACGGCGCTCGATGTTGATGTCGCCCTGAAACGACTTCGCTTGGAGCCTGGTCCAAACGACCCACGCCCTGACCATCAGAACCCTCTCTTCATGTCTTGTTCGCAAACACCATCGCACATCATCGCAATAGATTCTGTTGGGAAAGTGTGGATACTCAGATCAATGTAAAATTGCAGACTTCATAGTTGGAATTCTCCCAATTCAAACGCAAAGCACATCACGAAAAAACACTACGATCTACGAAAGTGCTTAGAAGTGTGTCCGCGATGCCGAGCAATCTCAAAAACGCATATTCAAAGATCAGCACGCTATCGGGAGCTTAGAACTGTTGGATTCCATTCCCGTTCGAAAACGTGGCAGCCTCCTCGGGCACCAGGTTGATGGCACGGCCGTAGAGATGAATGCCGGTGTCATCAGCGAATGTGGCTGCCTCAGCTGGGATCGAGTTGACAGCACGGCCGTAGAGGTGGATACCAGTGTCGTCCGCAAATGTAGCTGCCTCAGCGGGGATCGAGTTGACGGCACGACCGAGCACGTGAATGCCCGTGTCGTCAGCGAAAGTCGGTGCCTCTTCAGGGATGTTGTTCACAGCCCGACCGTAGAGATGAATACCCGTGTCATCGGCGAACGTAGCTGCCTCAGCCGGAATCGAGTTGACAGCACGACCGTAGAGATGGATCCCCGTGTCGTCCGCGAATGTAGCTGCCTCAGCTGGAATCGAGTTGACGGCACGTCCCAAAACGTGAATGCCCGTGTCGTCACCAAATGTCGGCGCCTCCTCAGGAATGCTGTTGATGGCTCGACCATAGAGATGGATGCCTGTATCATCCGCGAATGTAGCCGCCTCGGCAGGGATCGAGTTAACAGCACGTCCGAGCACATGAATCCCCGTGTCGTCAGCGAAAGTCGGTGCCTCCTCAGGGATGTTGTTCACAGCACGGCCGTAGAGGTGGATGCCCGTGTCATCGGCGAATGTAGCTGCTTCAGCCGGGATCGAGTTGACAGCCCGACCGTAGAGATGGATCCCCGTGTCATCGGCGAACGTGGCTGCCTCAGCCGGGATCGAGTTGACAGCACGGCCATAAAGGTGAATGCCAGTGTCGTCGGCAAAGGTGGCTGCTTCGGCAGGGATGGTGTTGACAGTGCGTTTCACGTACGCAGGGATGGTGTCCAAAGGCTCGGGTTCCCGCTGCTCAAGATCACGCTGAGGCCATCATTGGTATGAATGAAAACGCTAATGAGCACTGCCTTACAGCAATTGGTAGAGGGGAGGCGACGGTTTGACCTGCGAGCATCGCGGCCAGAGCAAGGATGTAGAGTTTCGAGAACATGACCAAAAGAGTGGATATGTGAATCGAGATGTCGAGTTGCGGAGGAATGAAGGAAATGAGAAGGGCGTCCTGCGGCCACAGATGAAGAGGGAGATGAAAGTCTGGGGGAAAGAAACCAGTGCGTGTCTATTTGTACCATTGATCACCACTCTGATCGTAACCATCATCCGAGTATGTATAATAATAAGCCTGTTACATCGCATGCCGCAAGCGGCTACAGATATGAGTGGCTCTCCCGCACTCGGTCGGGTTGCGCACATTTCACCGTGTCTCATATTGCGGGGGTTATGAGCACATCAGAACGACGTGTCGAGCTCAAGTGACCCTGCTCAGCTCGTGCTCAATGTACTGAGTGGTACCCGTCTGTCTCTGAAACGCGTGTGCATGCTGTGACGGAGATGCGCAATGTCTGGTTGGTCCATCAACAGTTGCCGTTCGAGACCTCCGGAACAGCCAACCAATGTCGAGTTATGTGCTACGATCCCGATGTCTGATGGGCGCCCTTGGTGCGGTCGAATCAACTTGTTCAACAGATTAGTTGTGGAAAGCGGCGTCTTTGAATGATGGAACAGCGACGGCATAAGTACTCGTACACTGCAGCACAGATTTCGCGGCATCGGCCTACGATATCTTAGCATTCGAGAAATCCAACTCGGGATGTGCCGCCTGGAATTTGCTTAATGCCTGTCATACCGGGTTCAGTGGATTTCCGAAAACTTTGATGAACACCAGAAACCTCTTGTTTCTTCATTTCATCTGATGTGGGTTTTCCCATTTGCTGGAGGGCATGGTCAGTGTCGCAACATAGTCGAGTGAGCGACGACTTCACCTTCTGCTGATTATCGAACTGGACACCAGTGGCTTCAGGACACTTGAGAGAGCAGATCGGGACCACATACCATCATCTTTTCCACCATCCCTCTGTTGATTATGAGTGAAACCGCGGTCTGTCACAAAGTGGGGACGTGCAGACCTTGTCTCCCCGTCTAGATCGCTCAGCTTGCTGTTTTCGGGCTCAATCTTGCGTGTGTTGATCTTGGGATGGTGCGTCAAGACGTTCTCCCACCACTGTTGCTTATTGATCTTCTCGAGATGTATCAGGACAACTTCGTTGTCCTCTGCATTACATGAGCAATGAGCTCAGGAATGCCCGACTCGTCCCGAACCGATAGTCCACGTGCTTTCTTCGACTTTGATCTCCTTGCAAAGTTCACCATCCAAGATCTTGTCTTGACCCTTGAGACCGAGACTGAGTTTCTTTTTCTGAAGAACCACGACAAGATCTTTCCCGCGAGTGCCCTTTGGTACCGGGACCGTGATATCTACTTCATCCAATTCTTGTGTCCATCTGTATGGTAGACCTATAGACGCGATCAAACGCGAACTTGTACGGTAATCTGCGGATTCATACTAGCTTGTTCCTCCAACTCCTTTGCCCTTTCTTCCTTGTCCCGGATCTCGCGCTCCTCCGGGGTCAGTGAGTCATAATCATCGACCGAAGCCATGGAATGAGGGTGAGAGGGTGATTGTGGGCGGCAAAGATAGTGTGAGACTGTCACTGCACGAGTCCGATGGAGTCACAGGGGACGTGACTCTAATCACCGTGTCGAGTCTGCTTCAAACTAAGCGGACATCTATACTGTCTCATGGCTAGTGGCTCAGATCCGTGGAGCGACTTCCCCGTTCGTCACTTCTCAGGATTGCCACCCCTCAAAGACCTTACCACTCGATTATAGACAACTCGCAACTCCATTTACACCAACACAGTCGACCGCTTGAAGCAAATCTTGAACGGGCTCAACGAGGAGTGCTCGACCCACTTTTCCAAATCCGGGAGAAAACAGGATATCATCGAGCGCATCCAATCTACCATGGACACTTGGAAAGCTAACAACATGGCGGACAAATATTCCAAAGCGAGAGCTGTGATCAACCAGGTTCGACAATCTGGAACGTGAGCAGCTGTATCCTTACTCTTGGAATCTGGCTTCTTATTGGTTTGGAAAGATATACGAGTTTCAGCACCACGCCCATGATGTCCCCCATATTGCCTCAGACAACCTATCCAAATGCTGCTGTACCAAAGCCACTCGTCGCAGCAACGTCCTTCGGAGCGAATCTAAGTGCTATCGGTCGATACGACCCATACGGACCTCCCCGAAAGCCTGCTGCCACACCCAGTGGGGCTGCTTCGAAACCAGGTGAGATTGCCCTCCCCTTTGACTACTTGTTCACTGTCTAATTCGATCTTCAGCGTTGCGTTTCAAGGAATCTCCGTTCTTTCAAGTGGATCAGGCCGTTTCATCTGTCGTAGAATGTTTAGGTGGGCCGGCCCATGCTCTCTTAGTATTCCACTTTCTCACAGTCATCAGAATCGTCCAGTGCTGTCGACCGACGGCAACAGTCCTTCACATTCAACCTCACAAACGATCAAATAGTCAAGCTGAACTCGGAAAGGTGAACAATTTCTCTGGGCGAACTTCTTGAACTCATAATGATAGCCCGAAATATCAATTGCGGCTTTTCTGCACCTCTTCCACATTCTATAATCCCACGCCCAGCTCGTTCCGTCCTCTCACCGGTCCATGCTTGATCGAGTTCCCGCCTACCTGCGAAGTTCGCGTCAACAATGTGCAGATTACGGCCAATCTCAAGGGAATGAAGAAAAAACCCGGAACAGCCCCTCCCCCCGACATTGGCAAATTTGCCAGAATCACAACCGCTAGCAACAAGATAGAGATCGTCTATGTGAATAGCCAGCAACAACAACCGTCTCAGCCCAAGGCTCGTGCCGGCTTTTCTCTTGCATCTATTCAATGTCTAATTGTTCACGATAGAAGTTTTATCTCGTCGTCCAGTTGGTCAAGACGCGTACTGTAGAGTCCTTGATTGTTGACTTGAAAAAAACATCTTACAAGTCCAGTGAAGAGATCAGAAGAGAAAGTACGATCTACGAATCTTACGGAGGAACGATGTCTAACGAATCGAGACAGTGCAGGCCGGGGTGTCAGAGGACGACGACATCGTCGCTGGACCCCAGAAGATGTCGCTCAAGTGTCCTGTTTGTTCTAGTGCTGTGGGTCCTTGCCATCTACTGATGGACGAATGCAGTTGAGCTACGCGCGAGTCAGCACACCTTGCCGATCCAGCAAGTGTCCACATCCCCAGTGTTTCGACGCCGCGATGTGGTATTCTGTTATGGAACAAACCTCGACATGGCTTTGTCCTGTTTGTGAGCGAACGCTGGAACCTGCGGAGTTAATTGTGGACGGGTGAGCCCCTCTGGTCGCTCAATGCATGAAGGTTAATGTGTTCAGCTACTTTGACGAAATCCTCAAGTCAAGTCCAGACAGTGTAGAGGATGTGATCGTGGAGGCCGATGGACAATGGCACAGCTCGGATAACAAGTACGGGTCGGCCGCCTGGAAAGCCGCTCACGGTCCGGTTCCTAAACCGGCCTCGCCCCGAAAAGCGGTAGCGGTGTCGCCGGCTAAATCCTCAGCCGACAGAAATTTGCGGCGCACGACCACTGAAATTGTTGTGCTGGATTCGGATGACGAGGACGAAGGTCGGGTCAAAAGAGAGCTGTCCCCGTCCTTCGCCAGCTCGTCTTCTGCACACCGTTCCTCACCGCACGCGAATGACGTCATCGACCTGACGCTCGATTCGGATGATGACGACGAAGCTCTTTCTATAAGGACTGGCATGAAAAGAGCAGCTTCTGCTGTAGGTTTATCTGCAGAGCCAGCCTGGAAAAAAAGTAGAACAAGCAATCTCGCTTTTGTGTCAACGCCACCCTCCTCCTCGAGTAGTGCCGAGTACAACAGGCTATCAAGTTCCGGGTTCTCTCCGCGGCCAGCTCCCCTGGGCTCACCCGGTTTTGGTCTGACGCTGCCGCTGCCAGTCCAGTCGCTGCCTCGGTCAGGGAGCACGTCCAGTAGCCCCGTTCCTTTCCCCGTTCCTAGGCGATGGTAGCCGTTGTATGTAATCTACATCTCCAGTGTTTCGTAGCACGATAATATAAGCATTATTCGTTGATAATGACATGCACATGCCCGAAGATGCACAGAGCGCATGCACGATTCCAGTCCGGTCGGACGGCCATTTATCCAAAGCTTGATTGGCCAACGGTCACGTGCATCTCATCTTACCCGACTCGTTCCGGTATAAAGTGATCCGTTCCAACAAAATTTTACAACACCGCTCCTTCCCTTCTCCTTCTACCAAAACCACCACCACTCACTCTTTCGCCATGGCCGAAGTGAAAAAAGCGAAAACCCCGAAGGACTTCGCCAGTTAGTTCTCGGTCACCATGCCCCCGCTAGCCTGCTCACCGTGCATATAGTCGACTTCATGATGGGTGGTGTTTCCGCTGTGCGCCCACATCTTCTTGTTATGTGCTTCTATACTCATCGAACTTCAACAGGCCGTCGCCAAGACCAGCGCGGCTCCCATTGAGCGTATCAAGCTGCTCGTACAGAACCAGGGTGCGTTTATGCCCCTTCTTCATGGCACTTGTGCTTACACGTAGCAGACGAGATGATCAAGCAGGGTCGTCTGTCCTCCCCTTACAAGGGCATTGGTGATGCGTTCAGCCGTACATACAAGGATGAGGGTCTGGTCTCCCTGTGGCGAGGCAACACCGCCAACGTCATCCGTTACTTCCCGACGCAGGCTCTCAACTTCGCCTTCAGTGCGTGACCTTTCCCGCTTCGACCCACCCCCTTTTCAACCTCTTTGCAGAGGACTACTTCAAGTCTTTGTTCGGCTTCAAGAAGAACGAGGGCTACTGGAAGTGGTTTGCTGGCAACCTTGCATCCGGTGGTGCGGCTGGTGCCACGTCCATGCTGTTCGTTTACTCCTTGGACTACGCCCGTACCCGTCTTGCCAACGACGCGAAGTCCGCCAAGGGTGGTGCTCGCCAGTTCAACGGTCTCGTCGATGTCTACCGCAAGACGCTTGCCTCTGACGGTATTGCCGGTCTCTACCGTGGATTCGTCCCGTCTGTCGTTGGTATCATTGTCTACCGTGGTCTCTACTTCGGTGTCTACGACTCGCTCAGTACGTGGCAGCCGATTAGCATCACCACGTGATTCCTAACGTCTTCTTCAGAGCCCGTTCTCCTGGTTGGCTCTTTCGAGGGCTCTTTCCTTGCTTCGTTCTTCTTGGGCTGGGGTGTTACCACCGGTGCTGGTCTTGCTGCTTACCCCTTGGACACCATCCGGTTTGTCCCTTCGCCTCTCTGTTCGTGCTCCAGCTGATGTGTCAAAACAGTCGTCGCATGATGATGACGTCTGGATCTGGTGAAAACTACAAGTCCATGTTCGACGCTGCCTCCCAGATCATTGCCAAGCAGGGTGCCAAGTCCCTTTTCAAGGGTGCTGGTGCTAACATTCTCCGTGGTGTCGCTGGTGCCGGTGTCTTGTCCCTGTACGACAAGCTCCAGGAGGTGAGCTCTCTTGATTTGGATCACCACTGCCCCTTTTCTTATCTTTTCTCCAGATCATGTTCGGCAAGGTCTACTCCGGTGGATCCGGCTAAACATCTCCCATTTGGGTGGACGGTCATGGTGTTGGTCCCTGTTCATAGCTTTGCGCCCTACGAATACAATAACCTAGACGATATACTCCTTTTTATTATTCCTTGTGGGCGCATACATAATACCAAAACCATTTTGCGGGGAAAGCTTCTGTGGAAAGATTTGCAAGAACTTGGTGTGATCCGCCGCTTACAAGAAACACTCACCTTGGCAGAAGCCTCGATGAATGCTACGACCACTAGGCTCTTTGCGCAGTGCATGCAGTCAGGCCGTACAGCTGCGTCCATACCAGGAGCAATGCCTTGATGCATGCTCCGAGGCGCTCACGAATGGCACCGCTCATCGGATTGGAGTGTCGTTACCCACTGGATCGGGCAAAACCACCGTGTTCATTTCACTACTGTCGCGCCTCAACCCACCGAAGCCCCAAGCCCGGAGGTCGCTCATTGTTGTCAACAGCGTTGAATTGGCACGACAGTCAGCCGAGCAAGTCTCGCGACTTTTCCCGGACTGGACGGTGGAAATCGAGCAGGGGACGAAACACAAAGCGTCAGGGCTTGCTGACGTGTGAGGACTATCTATTTTCATTCCCCTGATAAATTTACGCTGTCTACTTAGTACGGTTGCCACGTACCAAACGCTTCGTCAAGTAGAACGCGTCAAGAAATTCGACCCCGCTTTCTTGAAGGCCATTATCATCGACGAAGCGCATCATGCAGCGGCGCCTTCGTGAGCGCGCCTGCTTCCGGGCCTTTGGGCCAGCTCACGAGGTCGAGCAGATACCGTCGACTTCTCGCCCAATTCGATCCAGGCATCAAGCATCCAGACAAGGACTTCGCTCCCGTCGTACCACCACATAAGATTCCCATCATCGGCTTCTCTGCGACCTTCAGCAGACATGACGGGCTCGGCCTCGGGTGTGTGTTCAAGGTCTTTATGTTTTTGTTCGGCTTGTTGAGCTTGGCCGAAGGAGTGTGTTCGAGCATATAGTGTACCACCGCGACTTTGTGGAGATGATCAAGGACCAATGGTGCGTATTTGACTGTAGTCTCCTTCGTTTCCCCTCTCATCGAGTCGCAGGTTGTGCGATGTCAGGCTAACGGCTGTGAAAGCGAACATCGACCTGAAGAGTGTGACTATCAATTCTCGTACCGGCGACTTCACACCCAGCAGTCTTGCCCAAGTCGTAAACACAGAGACGGTGAATCATTTGATTGTGAGGACTTGGCTGGACAGAGCGGGTGTGTTTTGTGCTCTGTCGCGCGTGACTTGACTGACAGAGGAGAAAGCATCGGACCGCAAGTCCACGCTCGTGTTTTGCGTCAATGTAGCCCATGTGGAATCTCTCACGCAGACCTTCCGTGGGTTCGGAATTGACGCAAGATACCTCTATTCGGGAACCCCGAGCAGTGAACGCAAAGCCCTGATTGCTTCGTTCAAGGCTGGGCAATACCCCGTTCTAATCAATTGTGGCAAGTCGTATTTATCCGCACTCTTGTACATGAACTGACGGTGTTTTCAGCGATCTTGACGGAGGGCGCTGATATCCCCAACATTGACTGTGTTGTGATTGCTCGACCTACAAGATCCCGGAACGTTTTCGCGCAGATGGTGAGTTGGTGGCTCTCGCAGACTGCTCCAGTTGACTGATTATGTCTAGATTGGACGTGGGATGCGGCTTTCTCCTGACACTGGGAAAAAGGACTGCCGCATCATCGACTTTGTGGACAGCACCAGTCGTGTATCGGGTGTCGTCTCTTTGCCGACACTGTATGGCCTAGATCCCGATATATTGGACTCGGAGAATGAGACCCTCCTGACTGCGGAAAAGCGCGCTGCTGCCCCATCCACGGGTGAACGATCAGCGAGTATTTCTGTCGATGTCCCCGAACCTAGTTCCGTCACCTACCGGGACGACGACGACCCGTTCTCCTTGCCTTCCGACAACAGCGGCGCGAGTAATTCACACATTGAAACACTGAGTCGGAATGCCTGGGTAGCCTGCGGAGGAGATGTCTACGTGCTAGAATGTATGGGAAAGGGCTACGTTCGCATCGAGCCATACAAAGGTGGGACTTTTCTGCAGACATGAGATAGATTCACCCTCTCATCATCCGGCAGATGATGCTGAAGAGAGCTGTTTTCGAGCCTACTTCAGTCCGGCAATCGATAAAGCCACCGCAGCAGCCCTCAAAATTGGACCATTCCTCCGTGGCCGAGACATCCTCACGGCAAGGGAGCTCGACCATGCCGTGCGGGGCTGTGATACTTATGTCACTGGGAAAATTGTCTTGGGGCACATGGCTGTCGGGTAGGCGTTAATTATTCAAGGATTGTTCAACAACGGGGGAGCTGAGTTTATCGCGCAGATTGCTGCGATCGGCTCGTTGGCGAAAAGCCCCTGCGTCGGAGCAACAAAAGCAGTTCGTCGCCCGGCGCTGGGGATCAAACAAGCTTGATTCCGAAGAAGAGGCCCAGCGCAAGAAAGAACGCGTTGAGAAGCTGACCAAAGGTGAAGCTGGGATCATCATCACCCGTTTGAAACACGGAGCCAAGGGCCGCCACGAAAAGAAGGTTCGCAAGGCCACCAAAGCAGCGTTACTAGATGAGAAAGAGCAGACGCGTCGGGCGCGCGAGGTCGTGCAAGTGGGTCCTCTAATAGATTCTACGTAACCAAGGTGTGCAGAGAATGGGATACAGCCAACCGGCTCTCCAGTGTCAGACAAGCGGCCTGTTGGCAAAGAGTGACCAGCTGCTGCAATCCGGCAGGGCTCCCGAGGGGATTGGGCCTCCTTTGTAATGCAGCAATCAGTGCACCGACAAAAGTGTCCCCGGCTCCGGTTGTCGAAGTCACATCCACTTTGAGTGGTGGAAAGTGGTGCAGGACCAGCACCTGGTCTCCTGCATTGACTCGGGCGACAACATATCGTGCTCGAGGATTGCTTCGCTCGTCAAGCCACCCCGATGCCTCGCCTTTTTTCAGACGCAGAACAGCGATGACGCCCCGGTCCCCGCATTTGATGAATGTGTGTTGGAAGAACGGTGTCAGCGCAACAGCCATTTGGGCGACTCCATCCTCAACCAGAAAGCCCAGATTCCGCTGGTCTTCAGGGCCATCGGTGACGCGTTGCCTGGCAAGTTGTGCGACATCCATCCGGAATGCCTCGCTCAGACCCAGCAGGTCGATGGCCGACCACCATTCACTGGATGAAGCCAGGCCGTCATCAACTTTTGTGCGCTGGTAGATGTGCTGCAATTCGTGGAGGTTCGGAGTGAAATACGTCACGGCTGGTTCCGGGTGCCGGGTCAGATTTCGTCCAATGGCAGGGAGTATCTTTTCGGTCTTGACGAGAGACGTGGGTTCACTAGATTTTTTTCAGCGTAGTTACCAGGCCATCGTACTGCTCACTGACAATAGCACTTGGACGCTTCGTTCAGCGCAGAAATCCACTACGCCAGCAATTGTTTCTGCGCTCAGATTTCCGTCGAGGGCGAACAGAGCCGGGTTGGCAGAGGATATGTACGATGTAATCGCTGTTGCGTCCAGGGATTCCGTGATATCCATGTCCGCGACGCCGCCACTGAGATTGCCTTGGCCATCCAAAATCAGATTGCACACTGCAGTGCGTGCTCCAGGACGAGCGATGAATCCGTCCGTGCGCATGTCCATGGCCCTGGTTTGGTCCCGCAGCACCTGGCCCCAGGAGTCATCTCCGATCGGTGTGACTAGCAGAGCCGGTTCGCCCAGTCTGTGGCAGGCTTCTGCGACATTGCGAGCGACCCCGCCTAGGCTCAGGCTCACTCTGCCCGGACTGGTTGAATGCAAGTTGATGTTCTCTGCCTGAGCTGTGATGTCGACGGCAGCGCTCCCAGCGACCACGACTTGGGCGGTGGTTTGTGGAACAGCGCGTGGAGGAACAGAGTGGAATTTCTGATCAATCGAAGGCTGACGGAAAAGAAAAGCACATTATGCTATGTACACATAGGATTTTAGGTCCTTACTTGATTCACCAGTTGCTGATATGCCACTGCTATCTGACCACCTGAGACGAGGAGGTCAGAACGGTTTCAAAGTCGGCCATAACGAGTACGAACCGATGGTCGCCGCATTCTTCAGTAGAGCCACGTTTGATTCGAGTGAACCGTCCTTCGTCAGCTCAGCTACACGGGCCAGCAGCCACGGAGTGACTTCCTTGCCGCGCTTGCTGATCCCGTTCTCTTCAGACTCTCGAACGGCCTGGTCGACGGCCCGTTGTATCACTTCTCCTTTTGCGGCATACTCCTCGGGAATGGGGACTGCGATGAGCGCGCCGTTCTCCAGGCCAAGTTGCCATTGTGCATCTGCGGCACTTTGGTTGGCGCTCAAGGAGGAAGGCACGCTTCACTCACGCAGCATCTCGGCGGCTGTAGTCGGGTCAGTGACACCCCAGGGCGTCTATATACTGTTTAATTGAAACCGTCACAGAGATTGCGAGTGAACCGATTCACCTTGAAGCCACTCCGAGGAGTGAAGAAAGCCGGAAAATCGTTGGTAGCGGAGTAGGAGACAACAGGAACGCCCAGTGTTTCCTGCCAAATGTCAGCGTGTGTTGATCATCGAACGTCGTAACGCTCACGAGATATTCGAGTGTCCTGCGATGGTGTCAACTGGATATTCAACCTACTAAAGGAAGCACAAACCGCCCGATGTCAAGAATGGATTTGATGCCCCCAGAGACAACTCCCACTTGGCAGCGCGCCAGTTCGTTCAAGTCGGCTGAGATATCCAGAGCTTCCGTTCATTAGTCGACATGATAGATTTCTCAACCAAACATTGCTCACAAGATTCTCCACCACGATGGACGCCTCCGAGTCTCGAGGTTAAATCAGGTCGGCATGGTAAATCAGCACAACTGATAGGGCGATGCTCACCCGCCCGTTGCAAATATCTAGTCACAACTCAACCTCGGCGAAGCTCACGAACACATGATGAACACACCTTGATCCCAGCCATAGCCGCAAAGATAGTGGTGGCAGCGATAGTAGTCCCACCGTCCGCTTTCAGAGCGAGCGCCGGAGCAATATCCCGACGGGAGATCTTCACAGAGCGCGGCTGCCGCGTAACGTCTGCGAGCCTCTCCAAGTCTGCGTCACGCAGACCGATCTTCACGCGTCCTCCAACCACCCCGATCGTCGCAGGGACGGCACCGCTTTGCCTGACGCAGGTCTCGAGCGCTTTGGTGACGTCGAGGTTCACGGGCGGCGGCAGGCCGTGTGTGGTCAGAGCGGTTTCGAGGGCGACGACAGGCTTGTTCGTCGCGAGCGCGTCTTCGACTTCCGGATGCACATCGATCGGGGCGCCTCGTTCCCGCACCGCGGTAAGGCGCGAGAGGCCGCGTGATTGCGAGCTAAAGGCACGACTTAACGTCTGCCGAATGGTGAGTGCGTGCATGAAAACTAGGTTCGGCGCTCTCGGCCCGGTCGATCGTCACAACGGTCTACTTCGTGACTTCTGTCCTGACCGACCTCTGGCCACTACTACGTCCAATGGAGTCTGCCTCTGTAGATGCTATGGAAGAGATTCCGGGCGTAGGTGTTTGCGCGCTGACATTGACACCATTGCAAGTGGATAACATAATCTCGTCGGTGATACACGACGCAGCGGGGGGTACTGCGGTTTTCATAGGCACTACCCGCAACAACTTTCAAGGCTAGTGCGGGTCTGACCCAGGGATAAGATGCGTATTCATAGAGCGACTCAGGAAAGGTCGTCACACGTCTCGAATATCAAGGTCCTTCAATGCGACTCGCCTGTTCAACAGTTGCCTGAATTTGGTTTCCGGATAGGATACTCCAAACTGGCAATAAAGACTATGGTCGGAATCGTCCAGCAAATACACGCGGCATCTCCGGCCATTCGGTGTGCGGTCCACCACCGTCTCGGTGTTGTCCCGGTCGGCGATCCATCGATCGTCATCGCAGTCTCCGCACCTCATCGCAAAGAAGCATTCGTCGCCTGCGAACAAATCCTAGAGGACGTCAAATCTAGAGCGCAGATATGGAAGAGAGAGTTTTATGAGAACGAGAGCGATGACACAGCCGAGTGGAAGGCGAACCACTAAGTAAACCACACCCCATGTACACCCTCAGCACTCAGTCGAGTCGCTTCCCGATCGCGTCATCGTCCTCAGAGCTCACGAGGAGCTCCACTGCCCATAGAAAGAGTGTGAAGAAGATCAGCATCCATCGGGACCATATCTGCGACGAAGAATCGAGAACTGCACAAATCGTCAGCACAGCGAGGATGTCCGGCCAGTGATGGCACCCACGCAGTAGATGGGAATAGACCGTGACGAAGATTGACTGGCGGTAAGTCAGCAGCAGACGCGTCAACGCGGACGTCTTTCCAGATCGTGAGCACGATTCCAGATCAAAGCTCCGATGGCTCACCGGTCGGTCTTCCCAGGTGTCATCCACCCCATAAGTGTCGTCGAAGCTGTCCGAGCCAATCGTGGGCAAGATACGCGATGCCAGTTGCAGGATAGTGAGACGATACAAGAGGGCGAACAGAACAGGCTTGGGGAGCGTGTGCCGGATAAAGTTGACAAGCGCCTCAAGATGAGGGAGAAGATTCGGAAGAAGGGGAGCGCTGAGGCAAAACCATGAGGAGACGCCGTAAATTTGACAATGTGCACGCACTAAGATGCCCCCGCAGTGAAATAAGACTGCTCGTCCGCTCCCAGACCACACAACCAAAGGTTGTACGCCAGGAACAGTGCCATCCCAGAGGATTCTATGACGTTCGTTCTATGAAAGTAAGACCAAGTCGAGTGTGGGTGGCGTGTGGACATGTACCTGCGTAACACGAATCCGATCAGAGAGAGGAAGAACCATGCACCTGATCAAAGCTCAGTCGGGAAAGAGAGAGATGGGGAGCCTGCTGGGCGTACAAATTGCTGCTCCCAGAAGCGTGGATGCCAACGGAGATGAAGCAGCAGCGGAGTACGACACGACGATCCACCACGCAGAAGAGACATAAGCCATTGCGGTACACACGAGCAGGCCCAGCTGATATGTCTCGCCCTCTGCAACCAATTCCTTTCCTGTCCGTCCGGCGCTCTGAACGACGAGAAGACTAGACACTCCTTCGAGGAGAATGAAGAGAGGACCCGCATTAGACAAGATCTTCCCCCACACGTCCGCCGCGAACGCCAGCCAGGGGTGAACGGAAGAGGAAAATATGTTGAAACAGACTGATATATTCAGCGAAAGACGCTGGCAGCTCATGACCGGATAGCCCACCTAGAAGGAGAAATGAATGCATAGGAACTTGCAGGAATGACCATGCGCGGAAGCCAGGCCACAGCACTAGAAGACAACAATAGTCTATTGAGAGAGAGTACAGACTACACAGTGGAGGGCTCGTACTCAAACAGGTGCCATGGAGGATGGAGTGGATTGAGAGCAGAAGGGAAAGCAGCAGAAACGCCCGAGTCGATAGAGTGGCCAACGTAAGAGGAAGAAATATCAGGATCTGGACAGCGGTGGAGAGTCTGGCAAAGTGCGACGAGACATAAAGGAGAAAGGGCATGAGAATACGTCGATTCCGTTGCGCCCGTCGGGTGTGGAGAAAAGGACGATTGCTTGTTACGGGCGCGTCACATAACTCAATGGCGTGGATAACACGTGGAAGATCAGCTCAGAGATAAGATAATGCAAGATGGATCAAAGTACAATCGAAAGCGACGACAGAACGAGAGAGTTTAGTTCCGCAAGGGAGCCTTGTGTACATGTAGGAATCCCTTCTCTTGGGCAAACTCCGTCGCGCGGATGGCTCCCGGAGCGGAGTACTGGTCACGGATAGGGATCATGAGCAGGTTGAAACGTGGCGTTATAACCACGAGCTGTATCTCAGCAGTGAGCAACGACACACGTTTGACTGATGAGCACATACAGTATTGGTTTTGATCTCCATCCAGTCAGCTGGAGCGCGCGACAGTCAATCAAACGTCGCGCCGCACGGGAATGGACATGCCTCGCTCGAAAGTCAACGGCTCAGACGCAACCATGATAATGTTTTCACGCTTGTCGGCCTTCGACATTCGATAATGGCCCGGCTCACAGTCTTCGCTGAACGTCGTTCCTGAGGAGAACCAAAGCGAAGCGGCTTCATCTTTGACAGACGAGATGTAGCGCGTGGCGACCACAGTGTCTCCGTCAGTGACACAAAAGTTCATGAGACTAGGCTGTGTGGTGGTGAGATCAACCGAGGATAGTCAGCAAAGTCGAGCGCACTTCTGTGACCCCTGCGGCATCCGCCAGGTCATTGAACGATGCAATGGTATCAAGCATCGCTTGGCGCAGAACGTCGGGTGAGAATGTTCGTGCATTAGCGTCCGGGAGCTGTCGTCGCGATTAGTCTCATTGCCGAAACTCCTCTTGACCTTACCTTGGAGAGGAAGAGCGCGAAAGCCCATTCCGAGTCTATTCAGGTTCAGCCGAATTGCCGCATCGGCACATGACGACTAACCCGTGTTCCCTTGGACCACATTGAAGATCTCGTCCGACAGTCCCTTCTGTAAACTTCGCTTGATCTCCTCCCACTGACCAATTCCACCGTTGTGCATGAACTACGACCGTGTGAGTGATTATCGTGCCCACATTTCGAAGCGCACCATGAGTTTCCCATGGACAAACGGGTGACAGTTGTCGAGACTCAGAGATCCTGCTGTAGTAGCTCGCACATGTCCGAACACAAGAGGCGACTTGATCTTCTCCGCGAGACGGGTCAGGTTTATGTTGTTCCACGCCGGGGTCACGCTCGTGAAGATGCACGGCTGTGGGCCCAACTCTTCATCATACTGAGAGTCGTACCAACCGACTCCAAAACCATCCCCATTCATGGGACGCCTGCGGTCCAGCCGTAGGCGCGAGTCGAACGCTAGAAGCGGAAGCGCATCAGTAGCCGTTCGTGTCTCCATAAGTAGCGTCGAGAAGCATCATGCACCTTGGTTGATGATGCTATGCACCGGCCGTGTGAGCAGGTGGGACAGTTGGACCGGGGAGGTTCCTTAGAGATTCGCTCATCAGTTCTAGGAAGCGATAGCAACTGCAGCTCCAATACCTTTGTAAATCACAAACCGACACATGGCTGGACGAAAGAAAGCAATTGGACATGTGAAGCATCGAGTCAGCCGGGGCTCTATGGCATATATTCGTGACGTGATAGCGCAATCATTGCAACGTTGCCGATCAGATTCCATTATAGCATTTGCCAGATCTCCGGATCTTACATTCGTGTCTACATACTGCGAAGCGTCCTCAATACTTTCGGTACACTGCAATTCATTTCTCTCCTTCAGATGAATTCCTTGGGTCGTGTGGCGGGATTGCCCCCAGTCTCGTCGTACACAAGGCCAGCGACACGGAAAGCCAGTTCTGGATGGAATAGTCAAGCAGGATCAGTGATTGCGCGTGCTAAGACTGACCATCAGCCTGTATCTTCATGCTTCCCTCGGCGTAAACCCGTACGACATCTTCCGTTCCACTCGGACGAACAAAAGACCGCCCCTGCTCGAACCGGCGGACGAGTTCGTTGATTTTCTGCTGCAGCCCGAGCGGACTGACTAACCGACGCTCGGCATCTTCCGTCTTGAACTGATTCCGATCAGCAACGACCACCTTGACCAGTCGGTTCGGCAGATCAACATAGAGCGAGTCCCATTCTGATGCGTCGTAGCCCTTGTGTGCGAGTACAACTTCGACGAGGAGCAGATCTGAGAGCGCGTCACCGACAGTCTGGTTGATCAAAACGTTCAGGCTTCGCAGATTTTCAAGGGCGGTGAACTGGGCCGGAGTCGATGGTTGATACGTCTCCAGGATTTCCTGAGTATACGGCGAAAACAAAACAGTGCCGTGCCCGTTGGCCTCGAAGTAGACTCCAATATTGTACTGCTCTGCGGCGTGGTGGAGGTGCTTCACTCCAGTGGGCACGCATTTCACTGGGAGTCGCTGACGCGTGGATTAATATAGGTTGCGTGCGTCGCTAGCGACTGTGTGATGACCCACCTCAGACAGATACTTGGTAGACGCGCCGTTGGCATAAGCGGTCTGTACGACGCCGACCTTGACCTTGTTTTCCAATCCCGCAGTCTGTACGAGCTCGACAATAAACGCAGCAACAAGCGCTGCGATCTTATCCCCATCGAGCATGTGGAACTGGCTTTGCTCATCGAGATAGAAATACATCAGCCGATCGGCGTCGCCGTCCAGACTGCACGCTCGCTGGCCAGGCTTGAGTCGACCGGCCAGTGACGGAGGCATCTTCTGCGTGGTCTTCACAAAGTCGGCCCCGCACGCGTGATTGAGGGCGCCTGGGGTGTCGATGGCCGTGTTCTCGAGAATCAGCGGCAAACTGTCTCCGAGATACGATTTGAGCTTCTCTACAATGGGAGCACCAACGCCGTTGGCACAGTCGATGATCAACGGCTCCAACGTGGGACGGTTCACCTGAGACTATCAGTTGGCCGTGTCAGCAACGTCAGCGAATAACGCACGATGAGCTTCTTGAATGAGGTGGCCATTTTTTGGAAATAGCCTTCCTCTGAATCCTCGCCGTAGCTATCCTTGGTACCTAGAGTGTTGATTGCCCGGACATAGTAGTGAAGAATGGGGGTCGTGGTTACACCGGCGTTGCGCATCTCGGCACCGATGGCCTTGAGTCCATCCTCCAGAGCAGCAGCGAGGGAAGGCCCAGACGGTCTAGTGTCGCGCGCATACACAACACGGGCTGGTTTGGCGAGATTGATCTTCTGTGCTTGAACGAATTTCTCGACTTCTTGGATGAAATCGTCTGTGGTGGGCGCGTTGGAAAGCACGGTGGCGTGCATCTCCCAGGAAGTGTCCAGCATCTCTCCTCTAGGGTCTACCAGTTTCACACCGTTATCCTGACAGGACGGATGAGTGAACGTCTTTCTGCCACGGGAATCCTCACCTGTTCAGGATTGTGGGAGGCAGTCACCATGACGCCGATGGTCTTCCCATCTAGCTTCTTACTCCTGAGGCCAGCAAGGACGCCTACTCTGAAAAGGACCGAATCGAGAACGCTCGCTCTGTCAAAGCAGTTTCAAACCAAGTAGTCATCCAACCTGGCGCAGTCGCGTACACAGTGCGGAATCCAGCGGTTCCATACTGAAATCGGACATTGGAGGGTTTGGGGTGAAGATCTGAGAGGGCGCGAATCGATTCAAGCGATGAAGTCGTCATTCTAGATGGTGGATGCGCACAGGATCAGGCGTGCAACCAAGGCTAATTTACTCGCGTTTACTGGCTGTGTCCGATCACGTGAACCACTCCTCCCCACTCACTACTGTCATGACCAAATCCCCCGCCCAGGCGCTCCTCGACAAGGCCGACAAGAAAGCCGCCTCGTCTTCTGGATGGTTCTCCTCCTCCAGTACGAAGTTTGAGGAAGCTGGAGACTTGTACCAACAGGCGGCCAACCTGTTCAAGATCGACAAGCAGTTCAAGGAAGCGGGTGACGCATTCGCTCGCGAAGCTGAATGCCGTGAGAACTGTAAGGAGGTCAATGAAGCCTCCAATGCATGGTGGAATGCCGCCAAGGCCTACAAGCGTGGATATCCCGAACGTACGGTTACCCATCCTCAACCTATCTGTATCTGAGGCCGTTACAGTCGCCATCCAGGCGCTGACCCACACCATTGTTCATCTCACGCAATCAGGGCGTTTCCGCCAAGCTGCAGACAGGGAGAAAGAGATTGCCCAGATCCATCTCCAGGAGAATAATGATCTTCGGAAAGCTTGCGAAAGCTTCGAGAGAGCTGGAGAGTGGTATGCGCAAGAAGACAACAGCGCGTGCGTACAAATGGTTGCAGGGGTATCGCGTTCGCTGATAGTTTTGAAAGCACGGCCAATGCCTGTTTCAAGGATGCCGCAGATCTTCACGCTGATCTTGAGGAATACCCTCACGCTATCAGTCTGTATGAGCAGGTTGCTAACCACTCCTTGAGCTCAGCCTTGACCAAGTACAATGTCAAAGAGTATTGGTTGAGGTCCGGGATGTGCTCCCTTGCCATGCAGAATGTTTGCAGTTCCTCTATGTAGTAACTCTTTCCGCTGATCTTCTCTCAGGATACCGTCTCAGCCAAGAGAAACGTCACCAAATACACAAATCAGGACCCTTCCTATGCGAGCACCCGTGAAGCCAAATTCCTCCAGGCGTTAATTAGCGCTGTGGAAACCGGCGATGCTGAGGCGTTCACTGGGGCGGTTGTCGAGTTCGACCAAGTGACGAAGCTGGACAACTGGAAGACGAGCATGCTGCTCAAGATCAAGCGCTCGCTGCAAGAAGTCGAGGTCGACACCGGTATCATGTGAACGGGACATTTAATCCGTCTCCGTAGGACTGTACACTACTATATAATTTATACGTGGTCCAATGGACGTGCCTTAGCTCTAGACGTCATCGGGTTGCTTCGGCCGACGCCTGTCCTTCCTCAACCTCTCGCGTCGTCGCGTCGATGGCGATCGTACTATATGTCTTGCTCCGGGGTTTACACTTCATACACTCTTTAGTGGCATTCTTTTCCGCCCTCCGACTCCGCTTCTTCGTGTCTTTACCTCTGCCACTCTCTGCGACACGTAGGAGAACTCCACGTCATCTAGCCCTAATAGTCGTCTCCAACCCCCACGACGGCCGCAAACTCACTCAGGACTACCTGCTAGAGACTACAAAACGCCTCGTGACTTGGTGCCCTGCCGCAAATATCGAGAAATGCACGGTCTACGACTATGAAGGTATGATTTCACCCGTGTACGCCATTCTCGGTCTAGTAACCACCTCGTACCTCGTAGACCTCCTCTCTGATTCTGTGCACGAAATCGCACCGAACGCGTTGGCCCATGACACGGATTCAGACTCAGACACTCAGTATCCTTTAACACCACCTCCCTCTGAACATTCCGAATCTCGGCCATTGTCGCCGCAGAACGATGGGAATGTGTGCGCGGTTACTATCCGAATTCCGGGCAGTCCGCGCCAACGGCGTTTGTCAAAGTCCGGTCTTCGAGAACGACATGCTTCTCGTAAGTGCAAAAACACAGCGCAGTCTGATTGATGACCGGAAGCATGGTTTAGGCTGCTCGGCTCGACCGCTGACTCTGTGCATCGCATCGCGGCAATGCTCGAAACCTGCGCTTGCAGTAGCAGCTGTGTCCCTTGCTCGCCAACAGAAAAAGACGGGGCAACCGTCAGATGTAACAGTTGAGGCGCTAACATCTGTCTTGGAAGGTAAGAGGCTCCACTGGTCCGTTGGCCGCGCTGATCTGAACTTATTGCAGGTCCAGGGTCTGTAACCGCGCCGGACTTCCTAATCGTGTACCACTTGAAACCCTCGCCGTCGAACCAACCGCCTTTGGAATTGCACGGTTTTCCGCCCTGGCAAATCAGGCTGACCGAAATATAGTTAGTGTGTTGGTCTGATTCGCAATCTTGCTGACCTGATACGTCCACAGCCATTGCTGTAAACGCCGCTCATTGCTTCGACGCGTGTGGAACCTCATCATGCGGAGGGCCGGCGAGAGCGGCTCGCAGCTTATGTCTGAGCTGGATCTGCGAGCTGCATTAGATGAGTATGCAGATGCTGAGATGAGGTTCGGGCGCTAGACTCGTAGAATGCTTGAACTTGTAGAGTATTCGACTCATTGGCCCAGTCTTTGCCCGATCATTCTTCCGCTTCAACGACGAACGTGAGGGAAATCATCGATGAAGATCATCAGGCTGTGCTTCGACATACGATTCATATAAATAAGAACGACCCTGAACGTCCCGGCGCAATTTCAAGAGCGATGTCCCTCTCGAGCAAACCCAACAGCAAGATCCAGTACTCTACCGAGACCGAAGTCATCAGCAGAGTCAAGAAACGGATCGTGGTGTGCTGCGATGGGTGAGTGCTCGGAGCACCTGACTCGCCAGCTTGACTCTGATCGGATGACCCAATTAACTTCCCCCTCATTCTCGCTTCCATCAACGGCGCGCGTTGGCAAGAACTTGGCAAGACGGTAAACAAACAACCTTGCAGTGACTTGGATTCCGCTCAGCTCTCGTTTTCCGATCCAGGCGTCTCGACCGCCAACAGACAGGCTTACACCAATATTCTCGTCCGTCACCAGTGCTGCACTCGGAGGCGAGCTCACTTTCTGACCGTCGCGAATAGCGTCTAGCACGGACTGTGAACCATGAAGACACCCGTTTCGACCCGCCTATTCCGCAGATTGTTCGTATTGTGCAGCGAGACAGGTACCAAAGCTGAAGGCACGCTAGGTGTTCTACCAGTCTGGGATCGGTTCGGACAAGGGATTCTATTCCGAATATGTCGTCGGTGCGTTCATATCTCAGTTTCTTCGGCTTTATACTAGAATTATGATGGCAGGGGTCACCGGATCCACCTTAGGTATGCATGGATTTTGAGGCTTCGGAACATGTTTTTCAAAATCTGACTATCATTATAGCGGACAAGGTCGAAGAGGTGGGTAAAGACGTCATCCCCGACTCAGATATCTGACTAATCAACCAGGCATACTCGTTCATTGCGCACAACTATTTCCCTGGCGATGAGATTTTCCTCTTTGGCTTTTCGCGCGGAGCCTACACCGCTCGAATGGTCGCGATGTTCATTGTAATCGATTTCGATGGCATCCAGGACAGGGATCCTGACCAACTCAATAGAACTCGATCGGTGTTCTGAATCGAACAGACATGGACTATTTTGCGGAGATCTTCCTGACTTACCAGAAATTGGGAAAGAGCGGGGATCATGAAGGTGTGCGGGACCTGCATCCGAGATATTAGTCGCTAACTGAACATCCATCTTGCAGAGACTCATGCACTGCGCGAAAAGCTCGCGACGTGGACAAGCCACACCTCGCCAGGCAAAGTTCGGGCCGTGTCTGCCGAAACGAAGTTTTCTGTCAAGTAAGACTCGCAGCCAGTGTGCATGTGATAGTCGATTGAGAATGTCCAGATTCCTGGGCGTGTTCGACACTGTTGGAAGCCTGGGCATGCCAGAAGAGATCTCCCATCGCTCGGAACACGTGCGAAACATTTTTGGATTCAACGACCGGGTACTCGGGTGAGGGGCCGCTCCTAATTTCGTCTGCGATAATTCGCTCAATCTGGGGGCCAGCGATCACGTGCAGTATGCCTACCAGGCGCTTGCTCTGAACGAAAATCGCGAAGATTTTGTATGTCAAGACTCACTTTGTCGCCCGGAAATTTCCTGACGGTACTCAGGACTGCTGCAAATTCGAACAATCGGCTGCCGGACTGGCCAAAGGTCAAACCCTCCAGCAATGCTGGTTCACGGGCGAGCCTGACCTCCGCTTTCTATGAATGCATCACTGATTAATGTGACTCCTAGGTTCGCATGCTGACATCGGTAAGATTTGTCCAGCGCTCTGTGTTCACTCTGACATGTCCAGGCGGCGGATATACGCAACACGATCTGTCTGATCTGACTCTGTACGCGTGTTTTATATTCGATGTCGGACCTGCTGACTGGAAATTACAGATTTTGGATGGCTGTACGTTAGTTCCTTTATTTCTTTGCCGAATAACTCAGTTTTCAGTCCAATCTCGAAAAACATTTGTCTCTGGACTATAAATACCTGGGCTCTCTTCCACACCCGAGCGCGCCGTGGGGCGCGCTTCCTGCCCACAAGTGATGATTCTCTTTGCAGGCGCTGCACTCTTTCTGACGCGTTCGCAGCACTGATGTGGGTGTTTTCGCCCTCGCGAAAACCATCCAACGCAAGCTCCCGACCGAGACGGATAATATCACCCACGAAATGATTCATGCTTCTGTTATTCAACAGAAGACGTTGACCAGTGCGATCAGCGCTGACCTAGCGGCGCACCCGGAGCTCATTGCCCCTCTTGCCCCGCTTGAAGATGCCCTGCGCCATAACTGGAGCCTGCTGCCCCCGGCAGAGCGCGACCCGAGCATCCCGCTCGGCACAACTGCCAAGGAAGTAGCGACGACCACAGACACCGGACTCACTACCGAGTCCGGGCAGCGCGTCCGGGAACGCAACTGGCTCGGTCGAGTTGCATCATCTGTTAAAGACGCACTGAGCTCCCTCGACGAATAAAATGTAGCCAAGTACGATAGCAAGTGGGAATGACATCGCAAACTTGAGCCAGAATATTTCTCCCCTATCTTATCTCTCAATCTGCCGATATCGCGATGCATTCTCACGCATCCATCAGATCCCAAACTTTCGGCGGCGGCGAGTCGCGACTTATCTTCTGCCTTTCCTTGAGCTTCCCTTGTACTAACATCATCTCATGAGTAAGAATTCAAGGTAGGCTCTCCGACTCCCCAGCCCAGCACTCACACGGCATCCAAAGCTGACGTCGTCCCACAGTGCGGTATGTATGACATCATCCGTCGGGTTCTCATGACTGTATGAATTGCCGGACAGAGCTACCGCCCTCTTCCCGTCTCCGACCTCGAGGAGGCCCCAGGCTCACTCGCCGACCCCAAATCCACGACCAAACGCGCCGTTTTCCGCATCCTCGCCGCCGCCGCGCTTGCCGTTATGTTGTTCTCCGGTCTGCGCCAGGTGACGCGTCTCGCGTGCTCCAAGGGCGTCCATCGCAGCATGGGAACTGCCACGTACGGGCTCCCCACGCACCGCACCCTTCCCTCGGGCGACCATATTCCGTCCGTCGCGTTGGGCGTGTGGAAGGCGGAGAAGAATCAGGTTGGCGAGGCCGTCAAGGTCAGTCGTGGGTCGTCTCGTCGGCTTGAGAGCCAGATTAGGAACTGGTGTAGGTCGCGCTCGAAGCTGGGTACCGTCACATTGATGGCGCATGGATCTATCGTGTGCGTTCCGTGCGACTAGGCGGTCTTCTTCGCTGATACGGTCCTCAGAATGAGGCCGAAGTCGGTCAAGCACTGAAAGAAAGCGGGGTTCCTCGCAAAGATGTTTGGCTCACGTCCAAGGTGCTTTTCCTTTTCTCAGAGCACTGGCGAATTCCTGAACTTGCGTTAGTTGTGGAACAGTTTCCACGCACCTGGAGATATCGAAGGTACTCTGGACGATTCTCTGAAGAAGCTGGGAACAGATTATCTCGACTTGTACCTCATTCACTGGTATGTGACGCTCGTCCATACCATAACACATCGGGACTCAACATGAATCAGGCCTGTCGCGCAGAAAGTTGCAGGGAAGGGTTACGACAAGGAGCTCACTGAGAACCCGTACCCGACCTGGAAGAAGTTGGAAGAGCTTGTCGAGAAGGGCAAGATTCGAAACATTGGTGTCAGCAAGTGTGTGGTCTCTCTTTTCAAGTTATTCGACAACGACCATCTAACGCCTTCTCAGTTTCAATATCCGCAGGTATGCCGTTGACAAGAGAACTGATAGTCTTGAGCTAAGCACACACAGACTGGAGAACTTGACCTCGAACCCTCTGAAGATCAAGCCTGCTGTACTGCAGGTCAGTCAGCATCTGTCTATCTGCATCATAGCGACGGATTGACCACGGCCAGGTCGAAATCAGCTACCTGTTCCCGCAGCCGGAGCTCTTGCAATGGTCCAAGGACAATGGTCTCCTCCTTGAAGCGTACTCGCCATTAGGTGGCGATGGCCGCGTAGGCGAGACCCTGAATATGCCTGTGGTGAAGGAGATTGCGGACGAGCTCGGGATGACCCCCGCCCAGGTCATCATCTCATGGCACGTCCAGCGCGGTGTCAGTCGGTTCCCTGTCGTCTTGCCTTGCCGCCGGCTGATGTAGTCATGCACCAGGTCATCGTTTTACCCAAGAGTGTGACACCGTCGCGAATCGTCGAGAATCTGCAAGGTGCGTTGTGAAACAACGTCCCCGGATAATGCTTCTGACTGAAAGGCCGATCAGTGAAAGCGTTGCCACCTGCCTTGTTCGAGAAACTCGAAAAGGCCGCGGTCTCGCATCCGCCTGCGGCACGGCTCAATCCTAGCAAAACTTGGGGGCTGGATTTCGATATTTTTGAATGATGTTACGATAGAACTCAGTCAAGTAGACAGTCCAAGTGGAAATAATAAGGTTTGGACTTGCACTACATAACTACAGAGCCGGACAGCATCGACCTGTCGATCCTCGACTATGAGTATGATGGACTGGCGCGGGTACTTATGTGAGCAGGACTGAACCGGCGTCCGAAAGGAAGGCTTTTAAATCGGCGATGGTGGGCAGTGGCGGCTGGACCCGTGGTGATCGCCACGTCCGAGACGATGATCCGGCGAGCAGCTCAAGGACAAGTGACTGATACTCCCAGACAAGGTATCCATTTCGCATCAGTAGTAAGAACGCACCGAACCCCTTCGATTAGTTACTTATTATAATTTCTATCCACGCCATATCAGTGTCACAGAGGTGCAGACCTTCTCCGCTTCGAAGTTCTCCACCAGTATCGGACCAGATTCACATAGGATGTGAGAATAACCACAGCCAAGGCCAACACGATGCAAAATCCGTTCTGTGTGGATCATCATCAGGGCGAGACATGCAGCAGAAGCAAGCAGGCAACCCACGTATTTATGTCCGTCCAGCGCATTTCTTGGGATCAGAACATTGACTGAACAAAGCCCTGCGCCAAGTTAGACGTGCATTTTGATACCCGTATGACCGGGTCTCACCGATCAGAGTTTGGACACAGAGGACGCCCAAACTGATGCACGACAGAAACATGACTGCTATGTCGCTCTCGCGCTTGGTAACTGTCACAATCGTCCGGAGATGTGATATGTACGTAGGGTGCGATTGGCTGAGCATTCGTTCGTAGTGGCCGAGCGAGGTCTCCAGTGTCAGAATGTGATCTGTGCGTGTGTGAGCGAGTCTCGGGCCTGCGCCACGACATATCCGCACCCTGGACATCACCAAGATAGATGGCAACCTCGACCCGGTCACCGGCCTCGGATCCTGTGAGTAGCCGTTTGCGAAGCTGGGCCACAACCTGAGCTGTGATGAGCAGAGTGACAACGACAGCAGCGCATGGCATCTTACCTCGCCTTTGGCGGCTAGTAGTCTGGCCAAGGACGTGACCATACGGCGCGCTTGAGCCATTCGCTTGAGGGTCAAAGCGGTGGGGCTTGGGGGATGTGATGCCCGCGACAATGAGGTCCGGCGCCAGGATAACGAGAAGGACGGCAATAGAGAAGACTTCGCCCGCTTCGAATTGAGACGCGCAATGTTCTTTTCCGTGAGTTCTTCTCCCCAAGGCTGAATTGAACCTTTTTCGTCCTGAGGCACTTCGGTTTCGGCTTTCTCAGTTGGTACCCGAGTCGTTTCGGAGTTACGAGAGCCGGAATCGCTAGCCTCAAAGACCAGGCTTTCAATTGCCATCACTTCTCGCTCTAGTCCTGCGTGATCGATCAACATCGCGTCGTAGAAGTATGCCCAGAGAGGCGCCACCTTGTAGAAAGGGGAAGAACGAGTCGACGACCGAGTCCAAGATTCCATGGGCAATCCAATCCGAGCTCATGTTGACCATCTGCTCGAATACGACCAGGCGATTCCTGACCCGATCAAGATGGCTGGCAATATCCGAAAAGTGGAAGCAGCACACGCCCTCATTGAACACAATCAGATAAATGTTGAATTCGGACACCGTTTCGTCGCCGTCGTGGTCCCAGAACTGTTGCCGCTTGTCCCAGCTTTCGATAGCGCGGAAAGACAAGAAATAATAGCCCAACTTGGGAAAATGCTCTAATTTCTCGCGCGGATCTTTCATCAGGATGTCTTCCAGCGTCAAAGGGTGGAGATGAAGCAACTAGAATAACTTTCATTAGGACCAGACCTCGATCGACCGAGGAGTAGACAAAACAGACTTTTCCGATGGAGTGCATGTCCTCCCACGTGGGAGAGGCAACGTCCAGAAACCAAGCCGTAGAGGCGCCAGCCACGGGAGCAAGTGTCCGCGCCACTTTCTGTTTTCCTTTCGTGGCTAAAGCCTCCAAGTCCGTGAAGGAGGCAGCGCGACTCGGGGCTTGGGAGATGGCAGGAAGCATGTAATGCAGATGAGGCCGGGTCGGCTCCGCTTCTAGCTTCGTGGGCCGGTCCCGTTCCAGTTGTCGACGCTTGAACCTGGTTGACTTCTTCAACGTGATATCCAGCTGGCTAAGAATGGCGTCCAGCGAAGATGTGCGGAAAGCGCGCTCCGAGGCGTCATTGGTCGGCGCGAGCGAGGGGGGCAGGTATAATTCGAACTGGCGGGGTATCTGTCTTGATTCCTCTCTAGCTTGGAGTTGGAGAATGCGCCGCGAGATACGGCGTTCGGATTGGCTCCGGGCAGGACGGGTGCGGCGTGTGGAGTGAGTCGGGGCTGACGACACTGTGGAGCCCTCATTACCGGCCCAGCGGCTGATTGCAAGCTCGACGACCGCTGCAATAGCGCCCAAACGTCCTCCGCCAAAGTGAGAACTGGATAGAGATGCCTTGGATGCAATCGATTTCAGGCTGGGGCTCGGAGAGCGATGGGTCGGTGGGACGGGGGGCTCGCCTCGGAATATGTCTGTCTCGTCCCACAAAGGATGGGCGACTTCTTCGTCAGACATTGGCCGCGGCAACTTGGCGGCTGCGCCAGCAAAACGCCTCTACATGCGATGAGAGTTTACGCAAGAAGGCAAAGAAGCGCAGTCGCGGTGATTGCATCTGCTGATCGATCATCAATCGATCTTGCTTCCGACCATAATCCGAACTTATCCGTCCCTGGCGACCTAACAAGCTGAATTCCGCCAGCCGGATGGCGGCGTTTTAAAGCTGAACGATCGATGTTCTCCCTTGATGTTCTCATCTGCTCGGTCACGTCAGTATGCCATCTGGACGAGTCAAAATGTGCCAAGATCGTGTTAGGTTCCTGAAAATAGACAGAACGCTTTTCTTGCAACAGAGCGTGTGGAAGATGAGCAGGACCCAACTGCCAGTGTCATCCGACGTGCCTCAAATCGCGGTACTGTTCGCGATGACATCTACTCGTGCTACTAGCTTAAGAAGCCACGCGTGCTATCCACTGTGTTTCCTTTCTGCGCACCGCAAGGATGTCCGCGATTTTTACATCGGCTCTTTTTTGGCTGGCTGTGGACCTCCTACTTGCGGTTGCGAACGGGCAAACGACCAACGCGACCTGTCAGGCGGGACACAATTGGGTACGTCGCGTCGCGTAGTTCTTTCTCAAGGTAGAATCTTGACTGATTTTGACCGTTCAGGCCTTCAATTCACAGAAACAGAGTCCTTGTCTTGTCGCGGCCCAGTTGATAGCGGTCTGCTCGCCAGGTGAGTTTGTGTCGGCGGAGATTGTTCCCTCATTTGAAACCTCGTCAGCGTATGAGGTGTATGCGCTGCCGGACAGTTACCACTACGAAGGGCCCAGCGGTACCGACGCGAACCCGTGTCAGTGCAACACGGTCGTCTATTCCCTCCTGGCAGAATGCGGTCTATGCCAGGGACGCAGCATCTCACAGTATGTTCTAATCTCGTCCCAATCGTTCCGGGACCAGGCTCAGCCCCGTTACAGATGGAGTCTTTGGGAGGTCAACTGCGCATCGACTACCGCAACGTGAGTCTTCTCGACGTACATCGTGCACCTCGGATGAAAGCTGCCACAGATTCCCTGAACCCATTCCGTCTGGTGTGCATGTTCCTGGTTGGGCCTTTCTGGACGTTCAGGCGAGCAACTTGGCTAGTGCTTCTCTCATTAAAACTGATGCAAATTCACTCCCTAGACGTCCGATTCCTTCAATGAATTGAACGCACTAAACAGTGCCAGTCAGTGATCCACGGTCACTAATTTAGCGCCATTTACTGACCCGTCCCCAGATCTGACTGAATCCACGATGATTCCTTTACCGAGTAGCACACTTGGGACTGGGACGTCTGCATCGCCTACACCTACATCAGCCGCGCTAGAAAATTCGGCAAATGCGATGCAAAGGCATGCAAATGCCGTCGGTGGCGGTGTTCTGGGTGGTGTCGCCGCGTTATTGCTCGTTGCCGGTGTCTCGTTCTGGATCCGACACCGCAAGCAGAGATTGGCTCGCCAGGGACAAGTTCTCCGCTCGCCGGTGATGGCTGAGCGCACAACAGGCGCACTCACCAATACGCTCGATGTTCCTTCGATAGTCAGTCTCTTTCCCACCTGCCTCCACTTGCATTCTCACGGGTCTATCTCAGACTGTTTCCTCAATGCATCAGGCGTCCAGTTCAAGCTCCCTTCCATCAGCATCAGCAGTCTGATCCTATGTCTATCGCGTCAATCTCCCACCTTCGTTCCTCCTGTCATTCTTTTAGATTCACTATTGCCTTCCAGTACATGATATCACCCTCCAAGGGCCAGTAATGATCCAAGCTTCGACGCAGTAACATGGAATGACAGGAACATCTGTGCATTCAAGCTGTCGTCGGCTGATAGGTACTAAGTGCGCGTTCAAGCCCGAGGCTTCTTTCTCGGCGGGCCGTCGTCTCTATCATATGTCTTGCGTTTCAACCCTCCGTCCTTGCTGAACGGACGCGACTTTTTCTCTTTTTGGGCGATCTTCTTTTGTTTCTTCTCGATGGCTTTCTTCACGGCACGGTTCCCACCCCTCTCAGCCAGAGCATCATATCTCGCTTTGGCCAAGAGCTGTTTTTTCTCCGCTGGAGATAGACGTCGTCAGTCCACAGGCAGATCTCGGGGCTCCCAAACAGGGACGGGAGCAGAAAGGGCTTGACGTACCATCCTTCATCCACCAACTCTGTTTCCCCTCTTTCCGTTTCGCTGTCTCGGCGTCCTTCAATTTAGCGAGGGCCTGCTGATCAATCTCTACTCTTCGATCGTGATTAACGACGCTCTCCGTTCGCTTGACAGCCTTTTCCAGACGCGCTACCTCCGCCTCGCGCGCCGCACGCAGATCCCGGGGCGAGTTGGCCAACAGCTTACGTGCGGCTTTGAGATTCTCCCGGAGCGTGGCCAGTTCGGATTTATGCGTGTTGGCGAGGAAGCCGTAGTTCTTGTGGAACTTTTCGGCGGAGAACTCCCCGGCGAGGGCGAGGAATCTCGGGTCCCGGGCTTCCTGTTTGACAGCAGTTAGTTCTCATTCTCATGTTAGTGTCCGGCAGATGCTTGCCTGCGTCTTGACTTCGACGACCGTGCGTTTTCGCGTCACAGGCCGTTTGGAGGTGACTTCGATCGGGCTGGTGAATGCACTGAGATGGTGCTCATTGTAAGTAGGAATGGAGCACCCACGCATGCTTGCTGGAACGCTTCGCGATGTCGGTGCGGGGTTTCGTGCTCCATTCCGGTTTTGCCTTCTCCTTCTCCTTGCCCTTGTTGGAAAGTTTCGGCGTCTGCTCCTCCGGCCCCGAGTCGCTGTCCTCTGAATCCGAGTCGATTGCCTGTGCTTGCTTTAGTGCGCGCTGGGCGCTGAGCAGCGCGCCGAGTGGGAGACTGGAAAGGTCTTTTCGGCGTAAGCCACCCGGGTTCACATCGAGAGAATGTGCGTACCATCTTGAAGAGCACTCTTGCGAGATGTGAATAAGGGAATACATTTGGGCGGCGCAGGGGACGCACCAACTTTGAAGGCCCAGCAACCGGTCCGCTTTGTGCATCACTGTCCTCCTCCTCCTCCTCCCTCGAAGAGGCGGCATCGGCGTCAAACTCATCATCATCGTCGACCCATTGAACGACTCTCGGAGCGTCTGCGTCCTCGTCCTCGTCCTCATCCTCATCATCCTCAGCTTCTCCCTCCTCAGAATGATCTGAATCACTTCTTCCATCTACTATCGAATGGTCAACGGACTCGTCTTCGGATTCCTCTGGGCTGTCTGGCTGAGGGATCTTATTTTTCTTGAACGCGAATCGAGGCATCGCGCAAAATGATGATACACCACGTGACCCAAGTGCATACATATTTGTATTACGTGTTCAACAAAACGTAGCGACCGTTGTCCAACTTGACATCGATAGCCACGCCGCTGGATTGAGCCCCGGTCCTCCAGAGTGGACTGACACCCAGCCATGCCTTGAGCTTTGAAAGGAAACGATGGTGATGCGGCTTCCCAACGTTGTACTGATCATGCAAAAGAGCTGGACGGCTTTGAGCAACCGTTCGAGCTGTTTTGCAGGCGCGAGCTCACCTTCCCAGCGGTATTCCGGGCGAGGTCGGATCTCTGAGTCATCATGGTCTGTGCCGACCCCGGTGTCCAGAGTGGATGATGGGCCGGCTGTGTCCTGGTCCAACTCCTCCATGTCCAGCTCAGAGGCACGGTCTCCCAGGTGCAAAATGGCCGCCTAATGCGTTGTTAGCCGCAAGAAAGCACATGGAACAGGACTCGCCTGCTTAGAGCCCCGGAATACAATGTCATTCAGACGAACATAGACCTTGTTAAGAAAACCCGATGTGAAGACAGCGCTTTTAGAGAGCAGCCCTCGTTGGGTGAGGAACGCTTCAAGAACAGGCCGCGATAGCGGCGTGTAAGCCACCGAAGTCGGGTAATGTGGGTCAAAGTCGGATGCATGCAGAGTCAGCCCGCGGACGGTGGCATAATTCCGTCTCCAGATGTCGTCCTTGGTCGCGAATCAGTCGATGGCATCGGGAGATGGGGAAACACGACATACCCATAGTAGATACCACCAAGTACGTACAGGACTCTCGGAGATGGCTTGCATCCGGGTGTATGCTGTTTCGAACGCGGCATGATTGGCAGCAACGAGTTGTCGGACACGGAGATCCCGTTCGCGCATTGAGCATTCCAAGAGTCGATCCAGCTCCCGAGGGTGGTCGTATACGTCCAGCAGGAATCGATACGACAGCTCGTGGCGCTTGGCCTTGCACTGCCTCTGGTGGAACAGTCGATACCGGTGAATGGTCTCGTCGATGTAGCCCACTCGACTGGGGATCAATGTCCGGTTCAGGGAGAAGAAGCGCGCGAGATCAGGTGTCATCTCATAGTCGTCGTTCAATCCAATGACATCACGACCAACTTTGACTCGTTTGGAATAGTTGAGTTCCAACTCGAATCCGCTGCCCAGCTGGAGACCTTCGTACTCCAGATGACCTCGTCGTTTGATCCGAAGAACGGCAGATTCGTAGTGGACAGAGTTGTCTGCCGTGTAGCGCTGGCAACAACACAACATCGTATGTCCACCAATAGGCTACTTAGGGATGAGCCCATCCCTCGCTTTCTCAATCAGCCAAATCAGGGCGCACCTTGACATGAGTGTAGGGCCACGAGACTACCAGCCCTTCCAACGCCCTCAGTGCCATCCGGACCTCGCGTTTTCTGGAAACAAACGACGACGCATTCTGCTCCACGTAAGCTTGCAACTCCGAAACATCTCTGAGCACAGCCAGCGGGCCGTCGTCGTATCGGATCACCAGCGTCGGCGGAAAGGGAATCCACCACGAATTGCCAAATGGGCTTGTCACACCAGATGGTAGATGAGGCGGTCGCCAGAACGAGTCAGGTCCGACGTGGTTCTGCTGGATCTCCGCTTGCAGGTATTTGAACCATTCAAAATCCGGTCCGGTCACCAGCGCAACACCTTTGCGGTAGTTCATCATTCCAATTTCCCTGAGAATCTGTCCGAGCCTTCAGGAGGAATTTGCAGAAAAACACTCGTTCTCAAACCTTGATATTCTCCACGTGTCGTTCAGCAGGGGTTCCTTGGAAATTGAGCAGATACGGGGGATATTCAGAATCGCGTGCTTGAGCAAAACGCATCGGCTGGGAAGCAGGAATGCGGCATTCTGGGCTGGTCAGGAAGAGCGTCGTGATAGCTTCCTGCCAGATTCGACGTCGTGTGTGGATAGATTGAGAGGAAATGTCCAGTCTGCGGATAGTCAGCCGAATGAATGTCTTCGCATGCAATAACAAGGCAGACCGGGGAGAGAAGATGTCAATGCCTGGAACAATCAGCCAGATCGGAATAGCGCAATAAGGAAAACGCACTGAAATCTAGTCTGCGAGTGACGACTATAGCCGCATCAGCGCTTGGACTCTGAAGAGACGACGGAACACGCACTTTTCACACATTGCTGCATTATGAATGTGTTGATTACGGTAAAATCTGTCATTCCACTGAGCAAAGACAATGATCCCATCGCAAGTAGACCTTTTACAGAAACTGAATCCATAAGTTATGACATAGATACTGCAACAGTTCAGCAACGCGATCGCAGCCGCAGAAAAGCAGGACTCACGCGTAAAGGACGTAAGTGTTGAGTATATTCTGCCCGTGCACATTTAGAGAGATAGCAAGCGCCAACGCAGCTGTCAGCACGTAGTTGAGGCGTGACATCCACTCGCTGGCGTTGTTGACTGGATCCAGGAAGGGACCGAGGATGCACTGCGCGAGAAAGAAGCCCACCATCAGCAGCAGCAGGATGACCTGTCGTGCGACGGGAATGGCTGTCCGTGAAAGGTTGCGGAACAAGCAATTGTTTGAATCCATCACAGTGACGGTCACCAAGGCGCTGAGTTTGGCGAAGAGATAGACAGCTTCATATGAAGCCCAGTTGCGCCGGAATCCGTTGTAGATGAACGCAAACGGGTTCCGGTCCCGCGAAAGGAGCCGATGATACTCTGTATCGAGTTCCTGCGTGCTCCGCAAGCGGCCGAGTTCCGTATATGGATCCACTTTGGGCACCGAATTTTCGATGATCTGGTTTAGGGCGATAGGAAACCAGATCGTTAGCTGGAATATGACGTGAGCACAAGTATGCATATAGATCCACGCTACGCACAGTTCCGATGATGAAGAGGGAGAGGATCACGAGGACCGGCGCGTAGTTGATTTGATCCTTCGACATTGTCGTGGTCCAACAAAAATCCAACGGATCTCGAAAGCGGTTGGAGGGGCCCAGCGGAGGAACAATGGGAGGGAAAGTAGTCGCATTCGTGTATGGATTGGGAACCACCCAGATATCCGACGACCACACGAGCACGTGCACAGCTAATGTGCTCAGAGGAAGGTACAGAACAGTAATCAAGAACGTGATCACCACCAGCCCTGTGCGCGTGCTGGTTACCCCCGTTTGCTGCAGTCCTTCTGCCACCCGATACCGATCCGACTTGGCGGCAGCACGAAGGAAAAAGTAGAGCAGAACCATCGCGACGCAGAAGAACAGCACTAGAAAGATCAGGGCCTGGGTGAGGGAAGACATGAAGTTGAGAGCCAAAATTTTGGGACTAGAATCCGTGGTAAGAGTCTCGGAACAATCCTCACTGGGTAACATACATGGTGCCGAGGAAAAGGGTGCGCCATTTGCCTCCAAGATCGCTCCCCACAGGTACTTCATGACATCATTACACAACGCCAGAGAGAAGGAAAGACATGAGCTCACCGATGGTAGATAAGATCAGAGCGAAGACTTGAACCGTATTGTTCAAGCCTTGTAGACTGTAGAACAGGGAGACCGCACTGGAGCCCTTCGGAACTTGAGACATATTATAGAAACACACAAAGGAGAGACGTACCGTAATTCCCATGATAACGCTCACCACAGCACCTAGCAATGTGTTCTTATCTCTGTACCACGGAGGAACTTTATAGTTTTCCTCCAGATCCTCGAGGGTGAGACCCGATTTCGCCAACAGCTGCATCGGAGGGAACATCGCGGGCGGCGTTTTAGACGCATGGAAGGGAGGTGGCCGCAGCTTCGAGAGGTGCTTGTCGAGAGCCGGGAGGGATAGCGGTGGAGCATTGCGCTTGAACACGGTCGTCGCGGGTACAGGGGTGTGAGAGGGTATGGCCGTGCGGGAAGCAGGTAGAGAAAATGTGTGTTTGAGAAGAGATGTTTCGTCAGACTCGGAGTCTGGTGGTCGTGAGAGGTCGTCAATTAAGGTTTCAGAGGTCGTAAGCTCAGATGGGGGAGCGCTGATCGAAGGTGAATTTGAATTGGTCCGTCGAGGCAAGAAGCGAGCGGGTGAGGGAGGCGGAATGTCGGGATCCGTGACGGAGGCGGCCTCATACTTGGTAATGAGGGTGCGCACGCTCATTGTGAAGCCGCCTTTCCGCCGAAGAGTCGCTAGCCGACCGGACTGTGTCGAGAACAAGCCTTTGGGTTACCGAAATGACAGCTGTCATGGCCCGCACTTGATGCTGATCGTGGCGGTGCTTGATCCAAGCACTTTCCCCAGCCCACGACCACCCGACAACACCTTCTCCGAATGGCCGCCTACGAGGATGCGCTGGTGCACCACCTCCCTGCGATCTCCACACTTGAGTCCTCGCTCAGGTCCTTGACATGGTTCCTGCCTGGGCGGTTCAAGGATGCAGAGCTGGCATCGGAAGCGCGTAAGTACGATCATGCGAGTGTATCAGCCAGTTCATGATTTCGTGTCTAGTTGCAGCGTCTTTGAACCTGGTCAGCATGTACCATGATACGCTCCTTGGCAAAATCGTCCAGAAGAATCCCAAATACAGACCACTCATTCCCACTTCTCTACACACTCGGTTCACGAGGGCATGGTCCGACAAGAACACGCAATACAGATGGATAGCCCGCACCCTGGAGTTCATTCGCTTCACAGAGCTGGTTGTGGAGATGACGTTGCGTCGGAAGGTATCGGAGCGCGCGCGGTGGCGCATCGTGGTATTGATCGAGAGTATCAAGTGCGTTGGCCATGAGCTTCCGCTCACTCTATTCGAACTCATTTGTCCAGGGCTCTCCTCCGAATTGTTCTGTTGCGTATCACCCGACGTCCTCTTCTGTCGCCGCCCATACCTGAGAGAGACTTCGACCCGGCTGCGTTACCCGCGGAGCCTGACACGGCAGCATCTCCACACGTTGCCCCCTCGGTCGCAGAGACGCAGTCGCCGCCGGCCACACCCGCTCATCTGAAAAACAACAGGATTCCACTTCCTCCGCATCCTTTGCTTGTGTCTTCATCAGAACCCAGTGATACGCCTGCCGAGGACTACCTACTCAGCAAGGCGCTCACGGCATCTTCTGTCAAGCCTTCGCATGCCCTTCTCAAAACCCTTGCTAGTCATCGAGACTGGCTTGCAGAATACGTGTACATTTTGAGGCCTTTGGTATATGGTCAGTTCGCTTGGGATGCACTGGCACGTGAAATTTGACCCCTCGGGTAGTGTCATTGCTGGTGACCGACAAGAAGCAATCCAGTCGGCCCTTGGTCGTAGCTCTAGTCATGGAGCTGATCGCTCGGAACCTGCGTCGAAGTCCTCCACCTTCAGCATCATTGGAGCGCGCCGAATATGCTCGCCGCGATCGCGACATTGTATGGTATCTGCTCCGGGGTTCCATTTGGGAAACGTACACTCGGTAGGCATATCTGTCTCCCCGTTGGGCTTGAATTTGAGCGTCGACAGGCCCAAACTCGAGTCGTTTGCGACAGCGACAAGCCAGAGACCTCTCCTGGGTCTTGTTGGGGCCTTGGTCAAGGATTGGATCCCACTGATCGATGAATATTATTACTGTGAGTGTTTCGGTTTCCTCTACCTCTGTTTCTCTAACGGCTTTGTAGACACTGCTCCCTAATGTCCATTTGAGTTGTATTGCTAGACATTAAGATCAGTTCATGTGACCTGCCGAACGCGTCGTCTATCTTATACTCTTCTGCCATGTCGAATCTGCCTGAGCTCACACGTGTCGTCACTCAGCACACAAATGCTGGCTCGTCTACGCAAATCCAATCCTCTCTGCGGTTCGATGTACAATCGGATCTTGGTCTTATTTGATACACTGCAACTTACTCCAACAAGGATATCCCTGGGATGGACGGAGCTAGGGCTGCTGGGGTCTGGGTCACGTCGGACGGATTGCCCACAAATGACAACAACTCGAGGTCCATCAGCCATCTGAAATGTTTCTCGTGACTGACCGGTCCGGATGCCTCCCGCAGTCTCGATGGTGCTCTGCGACAAGTCCAGGGAATCGTTCAACCCAATGGCACCAATGTACGATGTACCGATCTTGCCCCTGGTGCAACCACTCCGATGGTGCATATGGCATATGTTCTGATCTGGGGAGAAACGGCTGAACTAGTCACACAGCATCGAACGACGTCACTCGATTATAACATTCTGTGTGAGCGTCCCAGTTGCTGTAGAGAAACTGGCAATTGATATTTGCCCAAGTGGCTGGGGAAATCATACACATCACGGACGACGGCACTGAGGTTGCGCTGAAACATGCGGGAGATACGGTCATCCAGAAAGGAACGATGCACGCCTGGAGAAACCCGTCAGAAACAGAATGGGCTCGTTGGATGTGTGTCGTAGTTGCTGCCCAACCAGTTGTGGTCAACGGCCAAGCCTTGAAAGATGAAATTAAATAGAAATTGAATTTCTCCTTGTTTCACGCGCTCCTACTGTAGATTGACAAATGCGCCACCATCTACAAGGAGGGATGAACCAGTGACGTATTTGGCAAGATCGCTGGCCATGAAAACAACCGGGCCCGCGATATCAGACGGGTCTAAAACACAGAAGTGTGAGAGAAAGTGCTGCAGAATGACGGGTGTAGACGAACCTCCAAGTCGCCCCAGCGAGATCCTGCTGACCATCTTATCGCGTTTCGAGGTGTCCGCGAGATCCTCCTTGTTGATATCTGTCGCAATCGTACCAGGGAGTATGGCATTTGCGCGAATGTTGTATTTCCCGAGGGCGACAGCGCAACTTTGCATAAGAGACAAGATGCCAGCCTTGGTAGGGGTGTAATGGCATTGCATTTCGCCACCAACAAGCGCCGAGATCGAAGAGATGCCGACGATGGAACCGCCCTGGGGTGTTTGACTCTTCATCTGGTTCGCGACCGCTGTGAAACGCTCGTGAGATCAGCGCATAGCACAGATTGTAGGTTCACCTACCCTGGACCAAGTAGAAAGATCCGTCGAGATTAACTTGACGCGTCCTCTCCCAAGTTGCGTGAGGCATGGTCAGAAATTCGGCAAAAGGACAAATCCCCGCATTCGATACGAGTACGTCGATGCGATTGAATGCTTCCACGCCACTCTGAACGATCTAGCGGAGTCTCGTTGATGTGGGGCAACGATGGGGAAGTGCATGAGCAAACCTTGCTGGAGGTGGTGGGATCGGAGATGTCCCCAGGCACGACGACAACCTTGGGCTTCTGCGTGTACGCTGAGTTGCTCTCGATCTCATGCTTAAGGGACTGTATCTCTTTCTCGGTCTCAGCGTCTCCAAAATAGTGCAGGATCAAGCCCGTCGCTCCATGTTTGGCAAACTCGAGTGCGCTATGGTTCCTTGATATGAGAATCTGTTCAAAGAAACAAAATAGATGCACCATCCACGCCCGATTCCTCTGGAGGCTCCGCTGATACAGACGACTTTGTTGAGCACGAGAGCCATGGAGTTCGTTCAAGAGATCGAGCTCCACGATAATGCAAGCACGAATTGTTGCTCACGGCCCGGGCCGTCGAGTCTTGGTGAACTCATGACCACTTGAGAGAACTTCCTGTTCGGAAGGCAGTTAGAACCGGGGCCATCTCAATGTCCTCTTCGAATGCGGTGATTTCGGCCGAGTCCACGTGATATTATCTCTGATTACCACTATCATTGATCCGATCAGCAGATTCTTGAGGATCTCGCTAGTGGGTTCTTCCTCAACGCTTTCCGGACGACTACGCGTGCTATCCTGACGCGAATGACTGCGAGAAATGCCCTCAATGAACCCTTGGTTTTTGCCATTCTCTCAGGCTCTCCATTCATCCCGCGACTTGTCATTACCATGATAGGCTCGATCACCTGGCTCTTTGACAGCTCTCGACACCCCCTCTCCTATACCGAGGAACTGGAGAAGCTTTACCTGGACTGTAGTCCGCGTCCATGGTATCCCTTCCAATGGGTCTGGTATCCTCTTTTTCCTGGTTTCAGCCCCTCATCCTTGTGTGTTCTCTTTCGGTCGTCGTTCTTGCGCAGAGTCACTGTGCGAATTATGGTCAACCGAATCCCAATAATGCCTCCGCCTGCCTCTGTCCATCCGGTTTCGGCGGCCCGTCATGCTCTTCTGCAGCTTGCGGTGGGGACATATTCCAGGGTGTCCACCGATCTTTAGCTAGCAACGGCAATGTCACGTCTCCAGGGTGTGCGTGCGAGAGTGGATGGATCGGGACAGGGTGCAACGTGTGCCAGACATCGAGCGCGTGTCAAGGAGCGTTCAGCGCGTCTGGCGCGGCGGCATCCAACGTGTCATCCATCACGAGCACTGGAGCAGGAGAAGGCTTGAATAACGCTACGGTCGTGTGCAACACGGAGGCGAGGGTCTATGCGGCCAGCCAAATGAGTTGTGAAGTCCTTGTGTGTCGTCTTTTCGACTCCGCTCTATGATAGAATTATACTGAAAACACGTGTAGAATCCGACCCTTCAGTCGCTCTACCCTCTATCAACCGCACTGAACATCATTCGTACTCTCCAACCCGGCTTTTCGCCGATTCCCAACACGACTTCTTATGGTTCAGAGGGATCCGTTTTCGCGTCCCTCTTTTACTCGGGCATCGAGCAGTTCTCCTGCACAGCTGGCAACTGCACGCAGACGCTGAGCAGCACCGCAACGAAATGGGATTGCCAAAATCTCAAGTGTGCGTGCATCGCAAATACGACGTTTTGTGGGGGCGGGGGTATCGTGGATATCTCTGGTACGCTTGTTGCTTTGCCTATACCTGTACGGCTCACAGTTTACTTAGGTACGATCAACACCTTGTCGGGCACTCTCTCCATCGACTGTGACAACTCGACGACGTGTGCATTCAAGCAGGATATACTGCAAGCGCTGTTCGGTTCTGATGGTTTGTCCTTGAGCGGATGTCAATTTGGTGAATGTGTGGCTCAGGGCGTTATCGACACCAGCACCAGCAGCCTGAGCGATGGACATCAAACCAGTGGACCGCAGCTCAGTGGGGGCGTCATCGGCGGTCTGGCTGTCATTGGTGGACTTGTTCTGGTTGGATTACTCTTCTTGATCTGGGGACTCATCCGCCAGAAAGCAGCGCGGAGAGTAAAGTTTGATTTGGCGGGAGGAGGAGGGAACCGTGTGTCTATCGCATGGTCAAATCTGAGCTACTTTGTCACTAGTCCCCACTCGACGTGGTTCACGACATCCCCTCCTCCACCCAAGGTCGTGCTCGATGCAGTCAGTGGGACAGTTGCACCGGGACAGATGCTGGCAGTGCTGGGGCCCAGCGGAGCAGGGAAGACTACGCTCGTGGAATTGCTAGCACGCAAGTCCAAGTCGGGAACAGCGACGGGAGTCGTGTCCTTTCCTGGGCACAGCGCGCCTAAGATCGGATTCGTGCCACAGCAAGACGTGCTGCCGCCAATGCTCACCGTGTACGAGGCCCTTCTGTTCGCTGCCCGCTTGCGTCTGCCCGAAAACATATCCGAATTAGACAAACGCACCCGCGTCGAAGGTATCATGGAAACCCTCGGCCTGTCTTCCATTCGGGATGTTCGGATCGGTGGAAGCAGGGCTCGCGGGATCAGCGGCGGTGAGATGAGACGAGTGAGCATCGGGCTAGAACTCATCGCGAGTCCGGATGTGCTTATCCTGGACGAACCGACGTCTGGCTTGGACTCTGTGTCCGCAGCACGAGTAGCGAAGGTTCTTCACGGTATCTCCCACGACGGAGAGAACCCAATTCCCGTTGTAGCGTCAATTCACCAGCCTTCGTGCGTCTTGACAGGCCCCCTCTCGTGCTTGGAGCTGACTTGACTTGCAGCTCACAGTTGTATCAAATCTTTGACTCGGTCCTCCTGCTGTCACGTGGGCGGACATTGTATTCTGGCCGCGGAGGCTTCGCGCCGGCAGAATACTTTGCAGGGACGGGCGGCGCAGCAGCCTATCAACAGGGGTACAACGTCGCTGACTACTTGCTTGAAGTGGCGAGCGACCCGCCTATTGAACTCAAGGAAGAGGGTTCATTGTCTGAGCACACACATGAAGAACGAGTTGTTCCAAGACCGAACCAACGATACGCGACCACCTTCCTGACTCAATTCGAATATCTATCTGGCCGCGAGTGGAAGATTCTGAGACGAGACAAGAGTCTTTTCCTGACGCATATGGCTGTTTCGGCTGTGTTGGGTGTGTTCTGTGGGGGATTGTATTTCCACACCGGGACGTCAATCGCCGGCTTCCAGTCGCGGGTTGGGTGCCTGTTCTTCCTGGTGAGTGGGGGCAAGTGATGGCACTGTAGCTGGCGTTGATGAATGCCAGGGTGCACTGATCGCCTTCTCATCGCTGAGTGCGCTCTACAATATCGTGGAAGTCCGGTCGTTGTTCTTGAGGGAGCGCTCGAGCGCCTATTACAGGTGTGCATCGCGCGATTTGCTTGGTACACCCAGCTGACGTTTGGTCAGCCCAACGGCCTGGCTGCTTTCACGGGTGGTGTTTGATGTCCTTCCTCTCCGCATCCTGCCGACGATTGTTGTTTCTACGATGCAAGTGCGACCACTGAGCGCTTGTTCTGGCTGACCTCTCTGATAGCACGTACTGGATGGCAGGACTGGCGCATGATGCCGCCCATTTCTTCAAATTCCTTTTTGTCCTCGTTTTGTACACCCTGGCAATGACGCTCTATGTATGTGCTGCTGTTTCGACTGTGCTCTGTTCCGAAACACTCAACGTCGAACAGAACTTCCTCCTCGGGACTCTATTCCAAAACGGAGGGATTGCGATCCTGCTCTCGGCGCTCTCAGCTCTCTTCCAGATGACGTTTGCGGGTTTCTTCGTCCATCTGAACTCGATCCCTCCTGTCCTCCGATGGCTGCAGTGGATTTGCCCCCTCAAGTATTCATTGGAAGCTCTTGCCGTTAACGAAGTCGGCGCCGGGCTGATGATCCAGGACACACTGCAGGGTGTCCCGGTGAATGTCTCGGCCAGCCTCATCATGAATTTGGTGCGTTCTGTTCAGCCATGCTTCCGATGTGCAGTTTTCATTCAGCACATAGCTGTTCGGGTTCGGCGCCAACAATTACTATCGAGATGTCCTGGTTATGTTTGCGTTCATCGCAGGTTTTGGGTTGGGCGTGATTGGTGTTGTGTGGTACAGGGTCCGGGAACTTCGATGATTTGCCGTATGTTGCGTGAAATCTTATATTCTTGTAATTCTACGGTTTCTTGTTGTTTGCTGATTGTCGCACTGTTCTTGAAATCAAATCTTCCTGCAGAATCTGCACGTCGATTTATTTACAGGCCAGCTCAGTACATCCAAGTATAACAAATTAGTAGATCGCGGTCAGATCGTAAGATGGTTCGTAAGTCGTAAAGTTCATCAGGTTCATAAACTACCGTCGTAGTCCTTTCTTCACCAGGACCCTCAAGACGACAGCGCACACGCCAATCCCAACCAGGAGTACGTAAGACGGGAGGCCGATGATGGTCGTCGGTCCCACATCTTTCCGAGGATCATCAACGACGCTGAAAAGCGAGAGAATCCGTCGAGGGTCCAGACGTTGGATCAGGGTCGTCGCCTTGGGCTCATCCCGCTGCTCGATCTTTCTCGTGCTCAGTTTCAGTGCATCTTCCTCTTTACGCTTTCTGGTCTCTTCGTTTGCCTCCATCTGGGCAACACGCCTCTCCACCTCCTCCAGCCGCATGCGGAAGACATCGACCAGTCCGCGCAGTTTGGCAGCCTCCTCGAGTTGAGTGCGGACAGCCAGACCCCGGGTCCTGCCACGGTCGGCGGCTGCGTCACACTCGGCTTTGACTCGGGCGATGCGCAGTTCGGTGTTGGCCGGTTCTTCCGCATTTACTGGCTCCCCGTTTGTCGGCTCTGTATCGGTCGGCTCAATCGCTACGAGAGGACTACCGTCAAAGACGTCGCGAACAACAGGTGGACCGTTGACGACCCTCTTGACTGTCATTCCAGCCGCGCCATCCTCATCTTCCCATGCGTGGACGCCTCCCCGCTTCGTCGGCATCTGATCTGGGCGGGGCGGAAGGGGTCTTCCTGTGCTTTGCGCGGAGATGGGTTGCGCGTCCGTTTCGGGCTCGTCTCCCCATCGGCGACCCTTGGCTTTGCGTTTCCGCCAGGTTCCGGGCGTGCCCTGAGGTGTATTCGTAGCCGAATCAGGATGGCGGGCGAGTAATTCTTCCATCGAGAGTTCCTCCTCGCTAACAGTCGGAGGAACGCCCATCACTGGTGCAGCTCGCACTGTCGCCCCGAGATTGAGGTCAATGTCGATGCCGTCAGGACGCACAGGGAGAGGGCGGTTAGATAGAACGCTAGCTCGGCTGTCGCTTTGGCTTGAACCTGCGCTGGACGACGCGGCGCTGTGCGTTCTTGGCCGCGGCCGGAAAGTAGACCCTCCGCGCTCTGGCGATATTCCGCTCCCATCACTCTCGCTGCCGCTGCGTTCGAAGGAGCGAACCATGCCTCGGACGCGTCCGCTTCGGCTGGCCACGAATGGAGACGTTGGCGATCCCAACGGTTGCGGCTCCGACATGAATGGTACCGCACTGGCTCGGATATGCGGTGACTGCTTTTTCCCTGCGCGGTGTTGAGGTGTTCCCTCGTCTTCGCTCGAAGGAGGCTCTTCCACCTCGTACGTGGCTGGTGAGAGCCGGGTGGGTGAGGCGAGCGGCGCGCTGCGCGTAGGCGACAGTCGTGTGGGTGAGGTATTCCGCCTCCCGAACTCAAATTCGCTGCCCGACTCGGACGAAGAAATCGGCGATGTAGACTCAAATTGAGCTTGCAGAACTTCCTGCCGGAGCGCTCGAGCTGCCGGTTGGAGCGACGGGGGCGCCCTAAGAATATTGTGAGATTGTGGCACGAGGGGTTCTGGCGTTCACACTAAGACGCACCCCAATGCCTCTAGTTCCTCTTCCCTCATCTTCATGAACGCGCGACCTCCGATTCTGCTTCGGGCAGCCCATTCACCAGCCTCCTTCGACACAGACTGCCCCAGATGAGCAGCAAGCTCTTCGGGCGTCCATCTTTTGGGCGAAACAACGAGCTCATTGGCTTTGGCCGCAGCATTGATAGCCGCAATGCTGTTATTGGTCACGTTGGGCGGAACCGGCAGCGCGCGAGGGCCTTGCTGCGCAGGAAGCACATGCTGGTCTTCACTGGTGCTCAAGCTGCGGCTATAGCGGTGGCCGCGGTAGTCATCCTTCTTCCTCTTGTCGTCGCTGCTGTCGGCTGAAGCTTCTCGTTTCGGAGAGGGTGAGATAGGGATGTAGTGGTGCTTTGTGGCTGGGGAGGAGGAGACTGAGTTGGACCGGGAGAGCACGGCCGTGGAAGTAGTCTTGATGGGATAGGGATGAGCATTGGGACGAAGATCTTCTTTGGTCGGCGAGTGGGAACGAGGAAACTTGTAAGCAGAGGACGAAGGGGATGGCGGAGGGAAGCCCTGCACGGCGGCCATGGTTGAGCAAGCTGGCCCCGCAAGAAGAAATGCAGATGTGACTTCTTATCCAAATAAGTAGGCAGTACAGAGATTGGGTGAGGAAGGTCGATTGCCGTTAACGAAAGGATCAAGGTGCGGTCAAGAGCCAACAGTTACAAGACATGACATCAACGCGTTCCAAATCATTTCAAATTTCGATATGGTACAATCTGAATCCTCCGGTACTGCAGTGAATTCATAGAGTCCCTCAAATGCTCAGCGCTCAAAAGCTTGTAACAGTCTGAGTCCGTCAACATCACCAGGCTTCTGGTGATCACTTGTTGTGGCAACGTTGTGACCATGTTACACGTGTTTACTCTGTTCTGTTTTGACTCTTCACCCTGACAGACCAAAACTACGATGGAAGTCGACAAATCTCCCAACCACAAGTCGTACGCCAGCCAAGTTTCAGCATACGACAACCACTGACACCGTTTCAGCTCTCGGAACCATTCCACGGACACCCTTCGCACTCGCAAATCACACAGATCCAGCTCACGGGACCGTCGAGAGCGTCGCAGGGACGATGACCGGCGGCGACGCAGCCGCAGTCGGGAAAGAGGCAGCGAGCGGGGGCACCGAGATCGGGATCGTGATCGCTCTCGGGACAGACACAGAGACCACCGGGACCGGGACCGGGACCGAGATCGGGAGAGACGTCGGGACTCAGGCAGGGACTCGGGCAGGGACTCTGGGAGGGACTCGGGCCGCGAGAAACACCGAGAGAGAGACCGCGACCGCGATAGGGACCGTGATCGTGACTACGAGCGCCGTCGCAAGAGGGACGACGAAGATGATGGGAGAGAACCCAAGAGAAAGCGTTCAGGCGACTTGGATCCACCGCCGCCTCCTGGTGCTCTGCCCCCACTGCGAAGCCCACGGCGCAAAGATCGCTCACCTAGCCCCGCAATGTTCGCTCCGTTCCCTTGCTCCACACTGTCTTTGTCCTAATAACAGTTGCAGCAAGCGTCCTTCTCCGACATACGAGGCGCCTCCCCAAGAGGATTACAATCCCGATGAACCCAAGGAAGACGACTCGGAAGCCCGCTCCGTATTTGTGTCCCAACTTGCGGCTCGTCTCACTGCTCGAGATCTAGGCTACTTTTTCGAGGAGAAGCTTGGAGATGGTGCGGTTATGGACTCGAGGATTGTCACTGACAGGATGTCTCGTCGCTCCAAAGGGTATCTGCCTATCGTAACCTGTCGAGCCGCACTAAGTCCTCATTAGAATTGCATACGTCGAGTTCCGCAGCGTCGAACTGGTTGACAAGGCTATTGACTTATCAGGCACTATCGTCATGGGTCGACCTATCCACATCCAACACACCGAGGCAGAGAGAAATCGACTGCATGCTGGCGATGGGTGTGTCATTTGCCATTTTCTTCCTCAACGAGTTCTCATCGTCCTTTAGTAACCTCAACTTGCCCCCGGGTGTCTCTGCTCCTCATGGCGGCGCTATGCAGTATGTTCTCATTCTTCTGTAGTCAGAGATACTGATCTCCCGGCAGGCTTTATGTTGGTTCTCTGCACTTCAATCTGACGGAAGCGGATATCAAGCAGGTCTTTGAACCCTTCGGCGATCTCGAATTCGTCGATCTGCATAAGGATCCTGTGACAGGGCGAAGCAAAGGCTATGCATTCGTCCAGTACAAACGGTCCGACGATGCTAAAATGGCACTAGAACAAATGGATGGGTTTGAGCTTGCAGGACGGGAACTTCGCGTCAACACCGTGCATGAGAAAGGCACCATTCGATACGCAGCGACTGAAAGTCTCGATGACACGGGCGGTGAGTCTGGTGTCCGCTGTCTGATTGTTCTGTTTACTGAGCCCTCACAGGCGGTAACTTGAATGCCGCATCCCGTCAGGCACTGATGCAAAAACTTGCCAGAATTGAACCGGTGAACATGGCAGAACCCGCGTACGTTTGCGAGTGACTGCAGCAGTCTACCAACTGACCCGTCATGTAGTTCACGTCTCAACATTCCTCAAACTATGCAATCACGCTCTGTGCTCCTGAAAAACATGTTTAACCCTGAAGAGTGAGTGAGTTGTGTTTCGGGGAGCAATCGCTCATCGGTCGGTCACAGAGAAACTGAAGCCGATTGGGACCGTGACCTGGCGGAAGATGTCAAGAACGAATGTCAAGAGAAATACGGCAAAGTCGAGGCCATCAAGGTCGAAAAAGAGACCCAGGTATGATGTCTGCTCTTGGATGATCGTGTGAAATCTCACGTCACGCAGGGGGAGATATATCTTAAATTTGAGTCCGTGGAGTCTGCTAAGAACGCGGTGCAAGGTCTGAACGGGCGCTGGTTTGGAGGCAATCAAGTGTCTGCCGCCTTCATCTCGGATGCGATCATGGCTGCACACCAGTAACAAATCGTTGGGTTCTCCTCGCATGCCCCAAATTCTTGCTCTTTTTTCCTCTGAATGCAATATGATGCACAGGTTTATCTGTCATAGGCACTAAAGGCGGGTCTTATATAACATTGCTCAATAACCATTTTTTGCGTAGATCCCAAAAAATACACGTGCCCTTGAAGGTGTTTGATCGTTCTGTAAGTATGAGCGCGTCGCTGATACGGTCTAATACATGTAACGGAAGAGAGGTGATGCAGGTCCCTCTGCCAAGGTCGAAGTGTCCACGTCCTCTGCTGTCAATTGAACCCCCTGCTCCCGGTTTCGTCTGGCGTTCTCCCAGCGCATCCAGAAGCGCGTCGCCAGCACTAAGACGATACAGAGTGCGCTGAACGACGCTGTAATCGTGTGTCAGACTTTCCCGTGGCGATTCGCGCCGACGCACGCACCCGAAGTTGCCAGAGCGGGAATGTAACGTGGCTCATCCTGAGCACGGAAGACGTTGGTGCTGATCAAACCTATATCGCATTGGAGTCCGACAGGTCTGAGATCCCGAGCGCCCACTCACCAGCGGAATTGGCCACTGCAACCATCACCGCGGCAACGACTGCGCGCTGACTTTCTAGATGTGTGTTGTTTCTGTGCAAAACTTTCGGCACACGCCGGGCCCGGAATTGCAAGTGGACTTACGTATACCAAACTGACATGAGCACAGTGGGTGAAAAGGCCTAGTCGTGTCAGCCAGCGCGTATCGATTCAGAGTTGTGCGACGCACCCCGCAAGTCAAGCAGAAGCACGCAAAGTATGCGATGCGCACATGCTGGACGGCATCTACTGTGCCAAGAATGATGAATCCAATCAGACCACTTGCCAATGGCAAGCAACTGTGCAGAAGGATCAGCCTCGATGCGACTCGCAGTCGAAGACGACAGACGTGTCTGAAAAAGAAGTCAAGTTGGTCTCGAACATGTGATTGATTGGGCAGTAGACTCACGGATCGATCGTTCTCGAAAGTAGTCGGAGGAGTATGAGAGCAGAAGCAATGCGACGGTCCCGGCGATATTGGGTGCCACCGTATACAGGTTAGTCTTCACCGTGCTGAAGTGGAGGCTGGCCACAATCTGCATAGCTTTGAGCCATTCTGGAACTGTTTCGGTGAAACACCGGCTCACCTGCGGCAGAAAATTGTTCACAGAAGCCAGAGGCACCCCTGTGAAGCAATACGATCAAGCAAGGGCGGCGTCCATTTACGACGCCGAACTTACCCAGAGACAAGGCTTGGGAACGAATTCAGTTTCCTTGGGAGCGGATGCACAGACGGGGGACTCAACCGATCACAAGCCAGGTCCAGTACAGCGGAGTCTTGAAAGGTTTGAAGGCGCTCTTGATGTCGAGGGCTTCATCGACGACAACGGACGAATCCCGCAGAATCCTGCTCCGCGCGATGCTCTTTTGCCGAGGAGTTAATAGCCACCATGTAGTTGGGCTTCGAGGCAGCCAGAAAGCAGCGAAAATAGCAAACAAGATGGACGCAGAACCTTCGATCCAGAACAGATACTGGTATGAATGGTAGGTCGCACTCTGGATCTGGAATACACCTCATCGGGGATCAGCGGCGCCCAAAAAGCACACGAAAATCCCCAAACTCACCGTAGGCTATCATACCAGAAAATGCCCCCGAAATGGACGATGCGGCGTAGAACAGTCCAAGTCTTGAAGCGAGTTCTCCCCGTGTGTAGAACGTGGAGAGATAGTAGATCTTTCGGACCATGTTTTGAGACGACACAGGCTGATAAGATTTGAGCACACGTACGACGGATGGGAGCACCGAACTCTCGAACATGCCGAGAAACCAGCGGATGGCGAAGATTTCTATGGTCGGTGAGCACTGCTAACAAGTGTGGTGCCGAGGATAGTACCTGAGAAATTCTTGGCTGCTGCTGTCAGCAACGACCTGAAGGGATTCAGGTCAGTCGAAAATATGGCTTCCAATTACCTACATCGAACCCTGTCGTATGCCATCAGTTGCAACTCGGACGACGGAGAATTAACACGAACAAATCCAACCATGAGAATCGGCAGCACTCTGGCTGCACTAAACCGTTTCACAAGCAGACTCATCGGAGTGCCGGATCTGTCATTGATTGAATAAGGAGCATAACACGGGCCGACGCCGTGAATCAATCGGGCGCACTTACAGACAGAATGACACATAGAAGATCATGACCAGGATGTAGTACTAGGAGAAACGTTTGGGGGAGGGCCAAGCGAGCAATGAATTACCGACCTGGTCTCCTTTGAGGTGGATGTCCTGCGTAGGGACTGGTTAGAGCAATCTCAAGCATAGTGATGAGCTGACTCGCACCTTGTCCCAGCCAGCAGTTTTCGCATTTGCGACGTTACCTGGGAATTCGATACGTCAGTCGGTCATATCAGACGGCAGGGAGCTGGGTGCCTTTATCCAGAGCATTGCACAAATACCTATAGAACGTGGTCAGAGAACAACAAAGTCTAACACGCATATACGCACAGGAAGGCCAACGGCGGGATGAGGAGGAAGTCGAATTTGCGCCGCAGACGCCGCTCTTCCTCCGCAGTGTATTCGATTTCCTCAGAATCCGACTCCTTGAAAGACGACTTGCGCTCCAAATCAAGCTCGAGCTCTGTTGCAGCTTCCATGGTTGGGCAGGTCGATCTTGGGAAAGAGATACAGAGACCGCGAGACTTTGGAAGTTAAGTAGTGCATAGCGTGATAAGGCGACGCTTCTTTGGTGCCCAATGGACCGAGAGAACCTGACAGTGTCTCGGCAGATACACCAGCGGGTCATCTTGTGTTCGTATCCCCACCTTATCGGCGCGATCCTCTTTAGCAGGAAGCGTCCAGAATCGCGCCCCGTGATCAGCAAAGGGCGTCGTCTCACCCTCGGGGAGCGTTGATGTTCTTGGAAGCTTCGCCGATGAGATAACATTGCGCTGGCGTGATCTCATCGATGGAGTCGATAAGATATGCAATCAAATTGCTGCCGTTACCTTATACATGGCCATACTGACTCGGGCTGGGAAGATCAAGACTCCAGCATCTGACGAAAGCCAACATGTCCATCGAAAAGCTCAACTCGCCTGAACTCTCCCAGTTCTCTCACATCCTGTCCCATGCGACGAAGGTCCCGGGATTGATCTTCCTTAGCGGCCAGACTCCCACAGACAAGACCGGCAAAGTCGTCGAGGGTGGGATCAAGGAGCACACGGTACGCGCGATGGCTCGGTTCGGGTGAGGGACTCAATGAATGAATGACTGTCAGGCGCAATGCATCGCCAACCTCGGAGCGGTCCTCAAAGCCGCCGGCTCGTCCTGGGAGAAGGTCGTCAAGGTGCGTCCTGCGTGTGCTTCCCCAGTCAAAATCATGCATACAACGCGCCTCAATCAGGTCAATGTCTTCCTCGATGACATGAACAACTTTGCCTCGATGAATGAGGTCTACGAAAAGGTGCGATCGTTGTGTTTGATGCCCAACTTCCATCCGATGAGGCCTCGCTGCAGCTCCTGCCCAACCCTAAGCCCTCCAGAACGTGTATTCAGGCTGCCAAGCTTCCCAACGGAGTCGACGTGGAGATTGAGGCTATTGCTGCTACTTGAGAGGGAGAGAAACCGAGAAACAAGAAGAGTGACAAATCAGTGCAGAATAAGATGAACGCAAGCTTCAGTGGTTTATGCATGAGGCACCTTGTATGAAACGCAGACGTTCGACCGTTCAACGTTCAATGTTTAACATTCAACGTTCAACGTTGACGCGCACAAAACTGACATCAAAGCGATCGACATGATTGTCACGCGTGACTGTGATATACCTTCCTGTGCGGCATCGTTCGAGCCCGAGAGCATGCCGTCTGACGACTATGAGGCTGAGGCGACCGAGCTGTTAGAGACATACGGTGCGCATCCTCGCATCCGGTGGTCTCGGCTGATCTCTTTCTCCAGACTTTCTTATGAAATTCATTATCATCGGTACACCCAGACCCATTCATTCACTGTTACGCGTAGCAGACCGTTTCGTAGGCGAGGCCGGGACGGGAAAGTCGTGCTTGCTACACCATTTTACACACAATTCATGTGCGTGGTGGTGGCGTGCGGCAGCTCAAGTCACTCAAAGCGGTCCGCAGTTCGGGAACACTCACAACACACTATCGGCGTCGAGTTCTCGAGCAGAACGATAAAGCTCGGAGAGAAGAGGATCAAGTTACAGGTGGAACCATTCTTCGGGATCTTGTTTGTCTGGACTCACCGTCCGCCAGTTATGGGATACGGCGGGTCAGGAGCGGTTCAGGTGGGCATTTCCCGTTTCGTCAGGACTCGAAGTTCATCGCGGACAGGTCCGTGACGCGAAGCTACTATCGCGGGGCAGCAGGCGCGCTCCTTGTCTATGATATCACCAAGTCCGTCCCGCTTATTTATACGCTCCGCACTCTGACGTGCTATACAGCCGGGAATCGTTCACGAATCTTTCCCGGTGGCTGGCTGATGCCCGAGCTTTAGCCAGCCCTCATCTGGTGATCGTGCTTGTGGGCAGCAAGTCGGACAAAGATGACGAACGGGAGGTGGAGTGGGCCGAAGCCAGTCGATGGGCAGCTGAGAATGGTGTGTGGTCATTGCCATGTGGATGGTTTTGTTCGATGACATCGTCTTAGATGTTCACTTCTTGGAAGCTTCGTCTCTATCTGGCGACAATGTGGAGGCTCCCTTCCTCTTAGCAGCCCGGTCGATTCTTCTGTCCATCGAATCCGGTGCTCTTGATCCAGAGAAAGCTGGCAGTGGAGTGAGCTATGGAGATCGTGCTCTGCGTCGGGTCAACAGCTCAAGTCGATTGAGTTTTGGGAGTCTTAGTGCTGGGCGTCGAAAGGGAACGGTCAAACTGAAGTCGAAGAGCTGGATACCGGGCACCAGATGCTGCTAATGTGTGCAAGCACCATCTTATCTGTGAGTGGCATCCTCTCCTGGTCTAGCTTGTCTTTGATCGCCTCGTGTTATGACCAGGCACCCTCGAGACATACCCATATATCTATTATACCTCGTGAGTGTTTCCCACTCCACAGTGCAACCGTCTGACAATGATGCGCTGCGCAGTACCAGTTTCTGCTTCATACTAGCATTTCCGACTAATTACGGATAATTTGTATCACCCATGAAATCCTACTTCAATCCTGCAGCTGAGTAGCTATGTTCTGAGCGAGTGTTCAGCTGACACTTTGCGCAGCAACCTTGGGTAGACAACTCTAGAAGCATGATGCTTGGCATCTGATTCTTCGAAGGTCACGCATCTTTGTGTGATTTTCCGATAGCAGGATCACTCAGAATTACGCGGACTCCAATCCGTGGTTCTCTTGCCTCTCTGCCCGAGGCAGTGATAAGTAGCCTACTCGGATGACCGGAGAAATGGTCTGATGGGTAGCCAGCTGATCTCTCGGTGCTTGTCTTCTTCGGACCCTTACCGGCCCCTCTTATTTGAAGCCCTGGCGACGAACTTTTCCTGCTGTGTTCGTGTCCTCCTTTCTCCGTACCCACTGTGGTGCGTATAGTGTGATGGGAAGTGCGTCGTCCCGAGGCCACCGTACGTGATCATCACGCATTCAATTGGGTCGGGTCAACTTCGGATTCTCATGGTGCTAATACATAGACACATTGGACGTTATTTCGAGCGCCATCCCCGCCAGTTTCCGGTCGACGAGCTTTTCGAGTTCGCAATCTTCAACGACTTCTCCTTCCTCGACCAGTTCCCCTCCATCCTCGTCCAGCGCCCCCATCGTCAGTAAGGCCACTGATAGCGATTCTTCCATCTCTGAAAGTTGCCTAGGCCTTCTTGTCCGCATCAGCTCCAGCCCCCTCTGAAGCAAATTCATCATTCTCAAACGCCACCTCCGTACCACAAGCCTCATCAATCTCAAACGCTGCCTCTGTAATACGAGCTTCATCGTTCTCTAACGCTACCTCCGTCTCACGCGCTTCACAATCACCGATCGTGGCGACATCAAGCCGGCCTTTAGTCAAAACACCTAGCGTCCCGTCTGCACCAGCTGTCAAAACGAGTGCCGCAGCTTTGTGCGTGACCGGACCATCGCTCCTTGTCCTCTCTCATCGTGTCCAGGTCCGAGTCGTCGTCGGCGATCCTAGGAGTCATGCCTGGCTCGTCATCGTCGCAAGCCAGTTCATCCAGCCCTCCGCGAGCTTCTGTCACCCAGCCATCGTCGAGTCCGACGTCGCATGCACCGGCAACTACGAGCTCCAAGTCAGATGCGCCAAGCCCCAGCGTCGGTGTCAAACCGTCGACCACACCCGCGGCTTCATCATCCAAATCGATCGCCAGTCCGATCAACGCACCCCCGCAAACGAAGGCTACAGCCCAGACAACGACGAGCACCGTGCACATCACACCCTCAACCACGAGCACAAGCACGAGCACGACCACCGTGCCACCGACATCGACTCTTTCCTCGCAGAGCCTGGTTCCTGTGGTTGTGACTTCCGGTGTGACTTCATTCTTCGCGCCACCCCTGGTCACTGTGCTGTGGACATCCACGGAACCGAATGGCTCGTTTGTGACTGTGACAAACGTGGCGGCGAACCCCACTGCAGGGTTCAGCCAGATCGGGGCAAGCACGGGCAAAAGGTAGTCTAACCCGTGCACCAAAGCAGCTGGATCCGGTTGCTGAAGGTCTTATCAGTGGCTTCTTCCATCACTCCGGTGCAGTCGCTGGCGTATTCCTTGTCGTGGGTATGCGCTATCTCCATGTTCTCGTCCGACGACCGCTGACACCAGAGCCAGGCGCGCTAGTTTCGTCGTTCCTGGCGTACTTGACCTTCCTATATCTGCGTGCGAGGCGTCGCAAGCGTGACAATCATCGACGGTGGCTCATGAACGTCAACCGGCCCCGCGGTCCGGCGGCAGAACCTCAGACCCTGCAGACGGCTCAAGTCGGCGACGAATGGAGCAGGATCCCTGCACCGCATTACGCACCGCACCGCGCATCATTCAGCCAGGGCCTGGGGATCTACCATGCCACTCCTCGTCGGAATGCTCCCCCCGCATTCGAAGAACCCGGGGAACCCCATTCCCGGCAGTCCAGTCCCTCGATCTACCCGGCCTCACTGCCTGAGGAAGGCTCGCCTGTGATGGAAAACAGTCCGGTCTCGGGAAGCTCGCTCTTGCCGGTCCCGCCCAGGCCACCTCGTTCGCAGCTTCGGAGTGTTCGAATCCCCGTGACACCTCCGCAGTCGGTTTCGTCCCACAGCCCGACAAGCGTGGAAGATTCCGGAAACCCATTCGTCGATGGCAACCGCTCGCCAGTTCAGCAAGGCTACGTTCCTCTCGACGATCTCATGCGTCGGCCTACTTTGTTAGATGTGTGTCGTGCTTGCTTCTTTCTCTCGTTTGATACAATTTCATTGACTTGATATCTCAGGTAAGATCGGAAGCCGGCAGCGACATTGTCAGACGAAGCAGCCAACGAGCATAATGACGATTCCTCATGTACTATACACACCCACTCACTTGCTCACTGGAGAGCCGCCAACCGCACTGTATCAGTAACAAATCCATAAGACTGTAACTGGTGTGAAAATCAAATGACAAACGACCCAGGAAACGACTCACAGCGCCGGCGTTGTAGACGACATTCTCATAGCCGCCCTCGGGTGAGCTGGTGGCCGTTGCGTCGCTGACTAGGATACAGTCGTATCCGCGGAAATACGCATCGACCAGGGTCCCCGCGACGCACTGGTCGGCGTTGACCCCGGCAAAGAGCAGGGTCTTGATCCCGTTCTGCTCGAGGAACAGGTCCAGCGCACTTTGATAGCCCCACAATCCGCTCATCCTGGGAAATGGCGGATAAGAGATGAGACTCGACAGCCCAAAACGAGCGAGATGCGCACCTATTCTTGTGAATCCAGACATCTGTCCCGGCTGCTTCGCCTTTGAGGTACTCAGCGTGGAGCGGGCCGTACAATTCCGAGTTCCTGGCCCCACGCATGAGGAGCGGCCCGCCGAACTCGCCGGGGATCTCAGAGCCGAACCCACCCCGCCCGTTCTTCTGGAATCCGCGCACGAGCGAGGGCGGGATCGTCTTGAGTTCGTGCTCGGTGAGACCCCAGTTTCTGCACATCTTATCAGTGGCTTGTTATCTTATCTTATCGCGGCTTGGCCACTTGCACCCAGAGGATCTTGATCCCGAGCTTGCGGAGGACGGGGATGCTATTCATGAGCGGCTGGACGCATGCCAGGCCTGTAGGATGCGCCCTCAGATCTGGGTGCAAAAAGAAGCTGGGCTGGGGTTAGCACGGGCGGCGGACATTGATTGGCATGCAGGGCCCTCGGTACCCACTTCTGCATGTCGATGATGACCTGCGGTGTGTTGAGACTGCCCTGCCGTATGTTCTGAAGAAGGAGAGCAAGCTACTTACCATGGCAGTGGCGTCGCGCTTGACGCGGACCGATCGGTCTCCGTCGACGGGGATGTCCAGCAGCTCGGCTGTGAGCGCAGGAGGCTCTGCCTCGGGGACTCGCGACGTCCGGCTCACGTCGATGAGGCCGGATGGCCATTCGTTCCACCAGCCCTGCGGATTGGTCCCCGCATTTCCATACTGCGTGGGCTTGGCGACTCTTTCGCGCGGCGCCATTGGAGGTGAAATGGACGCAGGAGCCAAGATCTGGGAAAGGGATGATCACAGGCGCACGCCCATCTGATATGAATGTTACATACTTATGTGAGGAGATACAATGCAGTGTCATCAATGTCTCTAAGCGTCCATCTGGTAAATATTGTCCAATGTGCATAAAACAGTCCATGCTATGTTTCTCCAGAGGCCTGGCTGACGTCATCACCCGCGGCGAGATTCCGCACGCCTAGAACGGGCCTCGAATAGTCCTCCGAATCGTTCATGTTGTCGCTATTCCGGTTCCGGAGCGCAGGGTTCAGCCGGTCGTCTGCCTCCCCGCTCTCGAAAGAGTAAACCGAGGAGGCAGTGCTGCGACGACGGAGCTCCATCCCACCCGTCGAATGCCTGTCCAGCTCTCGTTTGGGGTTCCGCGGAGGAGGGGTGGGCGGCTGCGCCGGCGACGATCGGCTCGTGTTCAGTCCACTGAGAAGCGGTTCTGTGCTGCCCGCACTGTGCGACGCAGAGTGGCTGACGTAATTGGCTCGATATGGCTCGAACGCACTCGGTGGGGGACTGCTTGTCCGAGCAGGCACGTATCCGTCTCTCGGTAGAGCGGAAGCAAGTCCACCTGCGGCCCCGAACTCGGAATACGGATTGTAATCGTGCATCACATCGTCGGGCCCCATAGAATCCCGATATCCCGAGTTTCGCCCCCCGCTCGGATGGAAACTGGGAGCGGAGCCTGTCCGCATTTCCATGTCAGGTGTCACAAAGCCTCGCGACTGTTGGAGTTCATTTGCGTCTTCGTCCAGTGGCGCACGGTGGAAGCCAGCTGCAGCAAGCGTTGCAGACACAGCGGAGTCGTGCTCGATCCGCTGATTCCGTCGTCTCCGACGGAGACCGAAGATCACGGCTAGAACGATCGCAGCGGCGGCTAGGCCCACGAGTACAAAAACCCCCGCGACCGCACCGGTTTTTTTGAAGAAACTGGATAAAATTAGACCCCCTGGCATGCGTAGCGAGACGGAAAAATGAAACTGACGGAGATGAACCGGAACTGCTCCCGTTAGAACCGAGCGTCGGATTCAATTTTACCTCTGTTGTCGTGACGGGCACCCCATTACTCGTGAAAGTCACTGTGGAGGTAATAGCCGATGGAATGCTGGTCGTAGTACGACCTTGGCTATCAGTAGTGGTCACAACCACGACAGTCGATAGAGTTTGTCTTGGAAGGACTGTCAGTGATGCGCTCATCTTGCATGCAGTAAAATGAAATCACATTATGTCACTCCCCTGCGCTGTGATCGTCCGTGTATTGGGAGGTAGAGTTGTGACAGAGGGTGGCGGAGTACTGGATGTGCTCGAGTTGATGGGTGATGATGATGTGGTCGTGGAGGAGATAGTCGTGCTCGATGACGGCGTTACACTCGATATCGGGGTGGTGCTCGACGACGCGGGTGTCGAAGAAGACGATGGTGAAATGGAAGACGAGCTTGGGAGTATGGAAGAGGCCTGCGAGCTTGAGACAACGGAAGACGACGGTGATGCCGAGGACGAAGAGAGGGGGGCGGAGGACGCAGAGGACACAGAGGACGCAGACGCCGATCCAGATGCCGAGGGAGACGAAGACATCGCAGCCGGAGACAAGGAGCTGGATGCCGACGGTAAGATGGAGGAGCTGGTGAGACCGACCAGACTAAAACTCGTGGAACTGGATACTATTGAGCTGATCGAAATGTCAAAAACATTGGACAGGGACGATCATTGCGCACTCACGATGTGAGCAACGGTACTGAGGAGGGGCTCGACGCGGCGACGGACGTGGACGCGATCGTAGAGGAGGAGGAGGAAGAAGAAAGGAAATCAGACGACATGACAATCAACAAGTGAGAAAGGAGGAGGATTGGAGTAGGCTGGAGCTAGTCTCAGCATTGTTGACATGGCAAGCAGACAGGATGGAATTGGTTCCGGATTTGAAGCGAATGAACATACTTTAAAGCAACAGCCTCTAAGCGACGCCCAAGCATAGCAGCAGAAGAACGTGCTGCGACTTGCAAGGCCGGTGAGGACAAACTATGTCTGTTGACGCTTGTTGAACACATCTGCACACATCTTGCCTTTAACCTTGCTACGGGTTATCCAACGGCCGTTACCGGCCATGCTTCTCCCTCCCGACAAGCACTCGGGATCACAAGATGCGCTCATTCAGCCTGAAGCAGGGTCTTCCACCGCTCCGCCGCCGCCGCCCTTCCAAGACACACCACCTTTGATTGATTTCTCGGAATCGACCCAGCCCTTCGGTCCGCGGCACCTGCTTCCACCATGTCCTGGCACTAATCGCATGCACAGTCATCTTCCCGGGCGGCGAAGAACCTCCGCCTGCATTCACTCCTTACGAAGCAGAATGTTTCGACACGGGCTCAGGTGACATCGTCTCTCACGACGCGCATCTAAACAGCGACGGTGGTGCGTGTCGGTCGGCCCTTTTTCCGTACCGCATCTGTTCATACTGTGCTCAGAGGCACTCTACCGCTTCCTGCTCTCTCAAGCCGTTACACCACCTACATTCCGTCTGCACTGCAGAGGGTCTCATACAGAGACGAGATACCGACATGTATCTGAACGGGATTCAGATGGAAGAACACGAACGAGACGAGAGAGTTATACTGAAACAATTGTCGACTTCGACTTCTTGATAGACGCCAGCAGGCTCTCGGGACCCACACATTGGACGGTTGATGACACAGAGCCAGTGTACCGAGGAGGAGTAGTGCGTGAGATAGATGGTGTCGACAGAAAGCACAAGGCTACTCGAGCGGAAGTGAAACAGTTCAAGAAGTGGAGAGAAGAGCGTTCGGCTCAAGGACTGCCGCCTTGGGTCACTAGTGGTTATATCGTGGACTCCGGCGATATGCCTGTGCTCAAATCCTCTCGCACACTAAGGCAATGGGCAGACGAGTACTGGTAAGTCTCGACGCTAAAACCATTGAAGTGACGCTCATCGTTCCCTATAGCGCCAGTCCAAAGCTACTCAAGGAATTCACATACGAGAAAGGTACAGCTTCTCTACGATGGCTGGCTATCCCCAAAAGTCTGATGACTTGGTAGTGGTCTATGGTTGGAACATTCGTCAGCTCGAGCACGCTGTCCGGGCCACCATTCTCGCTACACCGTATCACGGAGATCTGATCGTGGAGTTCTGCACTGGGGCCTCGAAGGTTTACGTTCGACCGTGAGTTACCGCAATTGGTTTTTTAGGACCGACTGACAACTTCCCAGGGACAACCGCTTGTCGCGAATGCTCTCAAATAAGTGGATCAAAGTCCTCCTGTGGATCACGTTCATCTATCCTTTTATCTGGCTCTTCAAACGATTTCACAAGCAAGGCGGTGGCTCGTGGTCTGTTTGCGGCGGCGCCTATGCTCTGAAGGACGAAAGCCTCCCTCCTTACATCCCGTCGCCGGATGGTGCAGTGGGAGCTTTGCCTCAGCCCAGCGGTGGCAGGCTGAGGGAAGGAGAATGGTTCCGCAAATGGCAACCGACGATTGTGAGAGCTGTTGCTACGCACTATGAGTCCTTTGAGCCGCTGTACAACACGTTCGAAGAGGCAGTCCCGGAGGCTTATGCGCTGGATGGGTTCGGTGTTGTTGGATGATACTTGCTGATTGATACTTGCTGTATATATAGATATATTTATGAGGATAAGTTGGTGGTACAGTAAATGTGGGGTATAGCGAAGTCTGTTACGACGCACTACGCAGGATTGAGTCAGTGTCCGTGTCCGATGTTTCTACCGTCGAGCTCGCCGGCGAGGCTGTACTATTTGCAAGCAGTCCAAATTGGCCCAAGTTGACGGGCGGAGCGGCCTCCTCGTTACCCGTCAACTCAGGACCCTCAAGCAGTGCAAGCGCTGTCTCGAGGTACCACAGGCTTTTCTTCACGTAATGCACGACGACTGTGCCTCCCAGACGTTTGTCTTGGTATCGGGTCTTGCGGCCCTCCCGCCGGTCCCAAGCATACTCTGGTGTCTTGGGATTTCCTATCTAGGGTGAGACGTGGGCAGAGCATCAAACACACAGACAAACCTTCTCGTAATGTCGACATCTCGCTGCCCTCGACGAGAGCCTCGACACTTTGAGAGATCGTCAGATCCGGGATCGGCGGCTCATACCGCACCCCGAACTTCGACACACTCGAATACGACCAATCAGACGGGGATGGAGTGCCACCGGTCATCAGACTGTTGTTCAAGGCGTCTTGCAGGGCCTGGTGAGGGAACGGAACCAGATTGTCCTTGGCTCGTTGCGCCTCGGATGGGAAAAGGAACCCATGCGTATAGCTGTTCCGTATGTCAATTCCTGTTCTGCGTCAAGACGGGGGCTCATACACAGTGCTTGCTTTGGGGTGGTTGTATATCCAGCAACGCTCACTGACCCATCTCACTTGCGATGCAAGCGGGTGCAGCTTCATCCACTTGGCCGTTTGTTTGTCCTCGGCTCCCCTGGTGAGCGTTTTGACTGCAGGATCCTTGGCAGCCCAATCCACCAAAGCCCAGCTCAAGGCATACAGCTCTCCCGCCATGAAGCGATGCAGCCGGTTTGTCACCAGATATCCCCAATAGATGAGTGGGTCACCTGTATACGGTTCAATCTCGCCCGCCTCTGGGGGCGAATGGAGTTCAACCCGGAGACGAGCTTCCAATTCGGCAAGCATAGCGAACGAATCATCGTCGGCTTTGATGACAAAGTCAGGTCGCACCCATGGTTGGGCAATCGTATCTTCAAGTTGATGTTTGTGGGCCAGGATAGGATCATGAGGTGCCAGCGCAGGCGGTGGCGAGCTTCGACTGGAATACGAGTAGACGGGAGCTTTGGATCCGGTTTCATTGTACACCGGAGGCACCCAGGCATTCAGTGAAGCCCAGGAAAAGAACGTATGTGTCTTCCCGTCATTCATGTTTTCCGGGATCGGGAGAATGACTATGTCGTTGTACACTGCCAGATGAAGGAAAATCAGACACGTCAAGAGCCGAAATGCGCTTCACGCACTTTCCATCTCCAGACGAATACGTCGTTCGAAGTCCTTCCGCGGTTGACCCATGACAAACCGCACGATCGTTCGCGAGGTTCCCAAGCCACCGTCACCGTCGCCTGCACCGTTTCTGCTTCGTACGTGTTTGGCCCAAGTCGTCCTGACAAGCGAGCGCCTTTCGTAGCCCGAATCGATGCTGAAAACGCCAAGTAGAATACCAGCCGGAGGTAGAGAGTCGAGGTTGGTTGGAGGGAATGCGGGAGAAGCAAAGCAATAAGCCCTCCAGGGCAGGGGATCCTTATCCGGATTAAGGATATACATCAGTAGGAGAGTGACGAAAATGGTGAACACAGAGAGGAGTATGAGAGTCAAAATCTGGAAACTGGTTACAATGCTTGCTGTGACAAACCATACGGATGAGACTCACGATAGTGATGGGCTGTCGAGGGAAAAACGGATGGGTAAAGAGCCACCGACACCATTTCCTCAGCGACGAGTATAGGCGCCCTGAGCGTCTTCGGCGACGAGGTGATTGTCCCCACCATGAACGGCTGTCATCCGTCCACCACGAGCGTCGGGTCCTGTTGCGTAGAAGGGGAGCACTGGTTTCGCTTTCCTCCTCGGACGTCGACGAGGAGTTCACCGAGTGGCGGAACTGAGGCAGAGGCGAAGTCGATCGAGAGGGAACAGGTGAAGGGGCTGCAGATGATGGATGGGATGACCGCCCGGACTGAACAGAAGAAGGAACGAGAAAATTTTGGCGCGGAGAGGACCCGTGTTGTCCTACCGTTCCCTTCGAAAGGAGCTGAGAGGTCACTGTGTCCTCAGAATCGGACCCATATTCTTCCAACATGGCGTCGAGAGGTTCGAGGATGGTTGTTCGAGCGTGATGGTAATAACAGGGACAAGCACTCCTATCTTTTACATGCTTTGATTTCGTAAATGGACAAACTTTCACATTTTACGCCATCCGGGCCGCTTCCGAATGGCATCCCAAAATGCAGCTAGTTTGCTGATTTTCCCTGGTTGACCTCGAGAGTCTGTACCATCATACTCCTTTGGAAATTCCTCCTTGAATACGGTCTCCAACTTCGCGATGACACTGGCGGCATCTTCCTCCTGGTTTCCACCCGCAAGTCGGACAACAGCTTGGAGCCATGCAGCCACGGAAATGTCTGCCAGTGACAATTGGTCCCCCAATGAAAACGGACCGATTATCGTCTGATTCAGCATCTGAAGCGCAGACTTGGTGCTGCGCCAGGCTGAGGAACCCCGCCCGTATAGATCTTCGCGTCTAGCCTTCGCCTCGGTGTCAAGGTCTGCCAATTCCGAATTTGCAACATCCAGAACATCCACCAGAAATTCCACCTCGCTCAGCTTAGCCTGCCAAAACTTGCGCACCTTCTCCGATGCCTGTACTTGGCCCGATGCTGCGCTGTCAAGACATGCCCGCAGTGCATCACGTTGACCAATCAGCCCATCCTTCCGAGCTTTCGCCAGTAGACTCAATGACGCAGTGTCATGCGCGTTCAGTGATGCGAGAGTATCCACAGAGACGTCGCTCGCGTGGACAATGCTTTGAATCTTGTCTGTCAGCGTCTTGTATTCAACTGTCGCAGGTGTAAGCAAAGGGGCTGGCGCGCTCGAGGTGGTCCGCGTTTTCGACAGAGGCGACCGCGATTTGTCGAGGAGTGCGATGATGGCCTCTGGTCGGATGACCGACTTGTATCTCCGCTCCGCATCATCCGCAGAAAGAGAGTCTTCGAAAGGCACGACTAAGACTGGGACGGTACCCTCCGGGTTGATTCGCAGAACGAGACACTGAAGTTCTCCCCCTTATCTGTCGGTATTCTCAGCCTCACGTAAAAAAACTTGTCCCGTGTCGACGATTCACCTAGATCAACCACCTTGCGGTCCAGTTCATCATCAGCATAGCCCTTCTCCGCGCTGCACAGATTTTGGTGATCAGTCAAAGCATTTCACGAGAAGCTTACAGGACCAAAGATACAGCATTTGACCACACGGAGCCGGGTGAGTAGTATAAGACAGCTTTGGGAATGGACATCGTGGTTCTGGATGAACAAATGATGACGTATTTGCTGGTGTGTCGCTTGCCCAACTGGGCACGCGAGTCGCTCATCCTGCCGCGGAATCTGATATGAATTTTGAGTAGTCCCCAAATTCCAAGCACAATGCGCAAGTATATCATTTCATCTGAGTTCTGCCAGAAGACGCGTAATTATCAACTTAACAAGCCATATATACGCGTCCTGTCACGCATCGCGTGATGGTGACAACATGAATGAGCTGGAAGGCGCTAGAAGGTTGGACTGCCTCTCGATATCGTGAGCCTTTTGTTGTCTCCCGACCTTTGAACTCCCTCAACCACATACGCTACGTTCATTTCACGGCATCCCATGGCGACCACTCTGAGGTCTTACTCTCTCATCCCTAACCGCCTCGCATCATTTCTGATCCCTTCTAGACATGAATTCTACGAGACCGACGAGCGTTTGACGCTGTCCATCTTCGATCGAGGAGCCGATCCCGCTGCGGTCAGCGTGCAATTCGAGCCTCGGAAGGTGATTGTCGCAGTCGGCATCGTCCGCTCGTGTGTCTCATACAACTCAGATTACATACACGAACGGCGACAAGTCACTAGTCCTGGAGCCACTCAAGGGCCAGATACAAGCAGACGCATGTGAATTTACAGTGGGCAAGGTCAAAGCTGAAATCCGTTTGGCCAAGGCGGCAATCGGGCGCTGGGGGGCTTTGACCGGGGACAGCCCTGATCGTGCGTCCACATCCCCCTCCACTCCATCTCGTATTTCTCATCGCTGTTTTAGTTCTCAGCTCATTCCCCACTGATTCTCGACCCATCACCACGACTTCCGTGAAGCCACGCAAGAACTGGGACGGCATTACTACTGACATCCTTTCTGCAGAGAAGGAAAAGTCAACTGAGGAGGATGCCAATGTTGGGGGAGATGCCGCCCTCAACGGCTTCTTCCAGAAGATCTTCGCCGATTCCGATGAGGACACTAGACGTGCGATGATGAAAAGCTATTCGGAGAGCGGCGGTACCACTCTCAGCACCAACTGGGATGAGGTGAAGAAAGGTCCTGTGGAAGTGAAACCGCCTGCTGGTAGCGAATGGAAAAAATGGAATTAGTTGACCGCTAATGAATGCCTGCTTACTCTTCTCGCTATCGATCTACTTGCTCACCTGTGTAACACCCATCAATTGACTGCTAATCCTGGTTTCGGCATGTCGCGTCTTACGATCATCGTCGCAGCCACTGTAACCAATGGCATTGGAAAGCAAGGCGGCCTGCCCTGGAAATTGCCCAAGGAAATGGCATATTTCGCGCGTGCCACAACCCATGTTCCATCGTCCAGTCCGACTTCGAATCCCAACGCAGTCATCATGGGCCGAAACACCTGGGAAAGCATACCTCCCAAGTTCCGACCCCTCAAGAATCGCACGAATGTTGTCGTCACTCGGCAGAGTCATTATGATGCGTAAGAACGAACAGTGTGAACTTGTGCCGCCTCCTTAACTTTTATCTAGAAAAAATGCTCAAGTTGTAGGCAGTCTGGAGGAAGCCATTCAGAAGGTTCAAGAGGCCACGACCCGCGCATTTCTAATTGGCGGAGCGTCTCTGTACGAAGAGGCATTGGGACTGCCGCGGTCTTCGCACATCGGCTTCGTAGACCGGGTCCTGCTTACCCGTGTTCTACGTCCAGATTTCCCCGACTGCGACGTATATATGCCCGATTTCTTGGCCGCAGAAGGCGATGGATGGACTCGTGAAACACATCAGGCATTGGAAGAATGGCTGGGCTTTGCAGTCTCCGAAGGTGTCCAGGAGGAAGACGGAGTCGACTACGAATTCCAAATGTGGACACGAGCTCAAGCCAAATGACACGAGACAACGACTTGAAATTATGATAGATACACAGACGGTAAGCGAAGAGTTCGACTCTTGGGATTAGCCTTGGCGCTTGTGGTCGATGAGCATAGGGTGAGCGACGAAAGGCAAGAAGGCAACGGACCTGCTTGTGCTTGGGGTTTTTCGCACAAATGACATATAAACGACCCTTCCTCCGAACCATGCTACATCCATCGCACATAGGTTTGATGGAAGCACGGACTTTCATTCCTCGAACCAACTCCACGCTTCGAGTCACCAGTGGCATGGCACGAGCATAGGGAAGTGGTGAGAGCAAGCGAAAACGCGTGATGAGTGGACGGGCGGTGGATACCAATGCCCGGAACATTTCGAGATTGAGCTCCTGCAGTTGAATCAGATCAAGACCGCAGTTTCAACGACACATTAGCGCACTGTTAGTTGACGGACGAGGGAGGGATGTGGATCACAAAATTACTGACTGGCACTGCCACTGCGAGTAGCACCGCTGCATCCACGCATTTCCCCGTTTATGATCTAATTTGGCTGTCTAGAGGCTGGCTCTGCACTACGTTGACCCATGGATCGCCGCACTATCTCGCTTCACGTCGGTGCGCGCTGGTCCTTTGCCCTCTTCGCCTGTACGCTTGTCGCCTTCGTCGTGGAAAGTGAATTGACTCAGGTGCGTCATCCCAATCTTACTTGTGATCTTTCCCACTGAGTCTCCCGCAGTATCTCCAAACGAATTTAGGATATAGACAACCTTTCTTCATATTGTACGCGGATCTCGACATTCTCATCTCAAAGCGGCCACTCATGGACTGGTGACACAGTTACCTCGTGCATTCGACATTTGCCATCATCTTTCCGCTGCACCTGCTGTACCTCAGCTTGACCACGAAACACTCCGCCGCTGAGTACATCAATGGCCTCTCCGTGGCCATTACGAATCATCTTCGTCCTTCGCGAGTCTCCACGACAGATCGGTTTCCGACGGCAACTTTCCTGCGTCTGATATTCGGGCTGACGGTCGGAATCACGATGCCTGGGTTGCTGTGGTTTCAAGCCATCTCTCTCGCAAGCGTCAGCGATGTCACTGGTGCGTCGCTGCTCCTGCGTCAAGTGCGCTATCACCGGTTCACCTTCTCCAAGCGATCTGGAATGCCAACGCGTTTTTCGCGTATCTGATGACCTTCAACCTCAAATGGGAGCCGCGAAGGCTTCTGGCCGTCATTCTTGCTACTCTCGGCGTGCTTGTCGTTGTTTACGGAGGAAGTAGAGCTTCCAATGCGGACTCGATCTCTCGATCTTCGTTCAAACCAAGCGCCCCGTTGGTCGGCGATCTCCTGACGCTCATCGCGTCGATTGGTTACGCGTTGTACCAAGTTCTGTACAAGAGATATGCAGCACTGCCGACAGACCCCGAATTGCTGGCCGAATCGGCATATGAGCATCTTCCTTCGGAAGATCCAATCGGCGACAATCCCCACCCTCAGATTCTGATGTTGTTTCCCCACCTTTCGGGCTGCATCCGAATCTGCTCACTTCCGCAATCGGGTTGTGCACCCTCGTGTTACTGGCAGGTTGCTTTCCCATTTTGCACCATCTTGAGGTTGAACGCTTTGTTCTTCCTCCGAACCTTGCGGTGACGCTGACCATCGGAGGCATCGCGCTGAGCGGTGTGGTGTTCAATGCGGGCTTCATGGTCTGTTCCCGTGTCTATTCTCTTGCTCTGACTCACACAATACTTGCAGGTGCTCCTCGGTACTTGGGGCCCCATCATCACATCTGTCGGAAACTTGTTGACAATCGTGCTTGTTTTCATTTCTGACATTCTTTTTGGAGCGGGAATGGAGGCCGTCACTCTCGGCGGTGTTGTTGGATGTAGTGTGATAGTGGCCGCGTTTGGCGTGTTAGTGTTTGACATGATAGATCGCCCATGAATAGAGCTTGTCAAATCTCCGAGACGGATGCAGCGGATACCCTTAACGCTAAACAATATACAAAGTCTGTGCCAAAAAAGTAAATAGAAAGGAATGGGAATGAGCAAGGACTGCTCCGTGTGCTGGGACACTGGTGTGAGAGTACCAGTAGATTTCTCCCACCTCCGACGACTGTGAAATCATGCGGAACTTCGCATCTTGGCCACAGATCGATGCCCGACAATGTTGATTATACTCGTATAACATAATCTCTGCTTTGTCGTGGTTGGTATCAAGCGGCAGTGGCCATGAGACTACTTTCATCAGCGGAAAGGCATTGCCTCATCACGAAATGTCCGCACCTCTTTCGTTTTACTTTCGTCATTTCCTTGCGCAAGGCAGCGCCGTCCAATGGTTTGAGGAGTTCAAAAGCACACAACAAGTCTTCAGAGACGCTGTTCGAATATCAGTTACCGTCTCTGCTGACAATGAACGATGATGAATACCTCATGCACGCTCCGTAATTATCAAATTCTGGGAGAGGTCGTGAGCACTAAATGTAAGCAAATGGGGAAAGCACGGACCCCCGCAATAATTGGGTGCGCTGAACACGGTGACCAGCGTTCGATCATTCCAGAATTCATACCCGTCTTCAACGACCATATGGGCTCGACAGATGAGATCAATGTCGTAGCGGACCAAGAAGTCATTGATGATGCCCTTCCCAAAGCAGTAACTGACCCCACGCTCGTTGTCCTCCCAATCCAGCGCAGTGTCCGAAGGATCCGACCATAACAAATCGTTTAACAATCCGTAGTCAGGAACATCCGTGGGTCGCTGTATGCGTTTGATGTCGTCCATCGAGTTGAGCGAAGGGGACAGTCCACCGTGCACACAGAAGATTTTAGAGGCCACAATGGCTGCAATCGGAAGGCAATTGAATACGTCGATGAACGTCTTCCATGTTTTGAGGTTGCATCTTCGTTTGCACTCGTCGTAGAATCCGTACACTGTCTCGCGTCACACAGAAAGTCAGGGGATATGTGCTGAACTTACCTCGAGTCACATTCGCACATTCGTGATTACCTCGCAACAGAAAGAAATTCTCCGGGTACTTGATCTTGAAACAAAGCAGGAGAAGAATAGTCTCCAAGCTTTGCTTCCCGCGATCGACGTAGTCACCAAGGAAAAGATAGTTAGCGGCTGGAGGAAAGCCGCACATCTCGAACAGTCGAATGAGGTCAGAATATTGCCCATGCACGTCACCAACGATTTTGACAGGAGGCGATAACTCCACGAGCGTGGGTTGGTTGAGGAAGATTTCCCGGGCAGCAAGACAGATGGCGGTTATCTCTGCGTTCTTCAAACACATTGACTTGCTAACTTTGCCAGTGTATCCCACTTCGAGCAACCGAGAGATCATGTCGTCCACGTCAAACTGCTTCATCCTGTCCTTAGCCGCGCCGTTTCCAGAAGCCGCGTCCGGCACAGCACTATTCGGAACGGATCCGGGGCTAAAGGCAGTGGAGTTGGAGAGGATGGTTTGAGTGATGGGGATGTCTAGGGGTGCCGGTGCTGCCTTCGGTGATTGCTGTGGAGAGGTGGACACGGGTGCTGACGACTCTTTCAGCGGTGTGGATTTGGAAAGTTGAGGTGAGCCCGGGGGGCGAGGTTGCGATGATCCAGGCGAAAGTGGCGCGCCGTCCGGGTCAGAGACGCTGATCGCAGGAGCGCCGTCTGATGAGGTGCCGTTCGCTGCTGACGCTCCTGTCGCTCGTGAGAAGCTGGCTTGAGGTGTGTTCTCCGCTGGGTCGTCTGGCGTGGTGTCTGAGGCGTGGTCTTCCACCGCTGTTGTCTGGGCGTCTTTGGAGCCTTTCTTAGGCTTCTTCGACGGTTGTTGGCCCATGCTCGGAGGCTGAGGCGACGAGGGTCGACCTTTAGAAAGGCGCGAGGCAAATACGGAGAGTAATGTTGGCGCCAGGATGAACGTCTAATCGAGCTTGAACCACTTGACCGTCACTCAGCAAGTCACTCGTCCCGTGAAATCTCTGTGTTTGTTCCCGTTTATGTCACGTACATGGTCCTCGCCTACTGAGATCTAAGGTCTGGGCAGGGCGCTGAAAGATGTTCTGAACAGTTGGCTTAGCGTAGGGACGACAATAACAATCATTGAATGCATAGTCATAAGAGCTTGGAATTGCATGCGTGGATAAAATGACTGAGCACTACATATACTAGAACTTGCCGAACGACTTAGCAGCCGCCTTGTTCTTCGAAACCCGGAGAACATTGAATCGGACAGTCTTAGACAGTGGTCTACATTGGCCTGGTAGAAATTCAATGGACGCCTCAATGAGATCCAACAAAAGTACTCACCAACTGTTACAGTGTCGCCAACCTCAACACGGAACGCAGGAGAGACGTGTGCAGCCAAGTTCTTGTGGCGCTTCTCGTATCGGTCTGCAGAACGGTGTCAGCACCGCATGTCAGTTGGAATTCGCGGTCGCCGCACTGTATTTTGGGATGTAGTGCAAGTAGTCCCTCCGGATGATGATCGTGCGGGTCATCTTCGTCGACATGACCTTGCCAGTCAGAATACGGCCACGGATAGAGACTTCGCCAGTGAAGGGGCACTTTTTGTCTGTGGCTCGCTCGCATCATACCCACCGTTAGAAATGGAGGTGCGCACCAATGTATGTTCCATTGATAGCTTCCGAAGGGGTCTTGAAGCCCAGACCAACATCCTTGTACCAGCGCTTGTCCTTAGTAGCAACCTTCTTACCGCCTGACCAGTGATCGCTCAGACAGCGCGTTATATACGAAGCGAGTCCACATACCTCGAACTTTGGCGTTTTGGAAAATGGACTGTTTCTGGAAGGCTTTCTCGATCTGCGTTGGATTCAGCACGAAGCTATCGAGACAGTGTCGAGATAATGACCTGTTCGGCCATGGTAGCAGGTCTTGAGGATGGCGATAAAAGCTGTCAAAGGACTTTTCGAACGAGGATGTTGACTCTTGTTAGGCAGGACGGGCATCACGTTTCTGCTGTATAGTTTTGTTGCTATCTTCAATAATTCTTATTCAAGCTCACTTCCTGAACAAAGGCGATCGATCCCAGCAGTTCAGTCAATTTCAGAGGAATTACATCTCATTGCTCCGGTGATTTCTGGCCATGGCTGAGAGAATATATTTTATCTGGAATCATTTGCTACCTTAGTCATACTTTCCCACAGATTTATCTCGGCAGTTTGACCAGATCATTTGCGTCAATCAGCGACCACTCGGCTGTGACCCCATCTTCCCACGCGGGACGCGTTGAATGTATATGTTTGTCCTTGCACGTCGCGTTGCATCGGGCTGCACCTATCTGCGAATGGGCCGTCAGCAGACTCTAGGTTTGCTCATTAAGTATCGCTCTGAATAGTACTGAATTTGACAATGCAGGCAAATTCTTCGATATGCCCAAATCCACGAAAGCCGCACCTCCTCAACAGTCAAGTCTTGCCGAAATGTGGGGGCGAAAGAAGCAAGTGACGGACGCGCCTCAGGACGCGCTCAAGACTAAAAGTGTTCCCATGGAAGTGGATTCCGCACCGAGGCCTCATATTGAGCCCGGTAGCCGATTTCTGAAAGAGGAAACGCCTTCAGATGATGTTCAACCCGAAAGCTCGGGTTCAAAACGGAAAGAGAACGCGACGGGTGCATAAGAGCGCGTTATTTAGTGGCAATTTCAGACTAATATCTCATAGATGGTGGCTCACGCGTGAAACGACGGAGGATAATAGATTCGCACTCTGAAGACGACGGTGTTGCCGGTGAGTATCCTCCTGCTCATCCAGCGGGAAACCCCCCTCAGCATCGCATGTTCCTAGCCAGGGAACCATCACCCTCCTCTTCAAACAAGTTATCTCCACCCAAATCACTGAAGTCCCGGGGCAAAGCCAAGGCCATAGTGAAATCGGAGGAAGACGAGGCGGAACCCGCGGTTCCAAGCGCAGACGAAGGAGAAGACGAAGTCGAGATTGATGACGAAATGGATTCCGACTTGGACACACCTGATGCTGGTGAGGCTTCTAAGATGTGCGAGCAATCATAAGTTTCCTTCGAAAAGACTGCTGACTGAATAGCAGAGCAGAGGCTGCACTTGCGCGAAGAGGGGATGTGGATGTGAAAGGTGGCTGGAAAGTTGGGACACCGTACGTTTGACGACCATTACAATGGTATTGTACTGACTGTCAGACAGAGTTCCATACGCCGCGCTAACGAAGACCTTTGCGCTGATTGAAGCAACCACGAAGCGTTTAGAGAAAACAGCCCTGCTGACCTCTTTTCTATATCTGGTGATTCAACGGAGTGCAGAAGGAGACTCCAAGTCATTACTTCAAGCTGTGTATCTGTGTATCAATCGAGTGCGTCCTGCTCGTCTCTGTGCACTCGAGACCAATCATTTCCCCAGCTGAGCCCAGACTACGTCGGCGTTGAGTTGGGTATCGGAGAGAGTCTTCTCATCAAGGCTATCGGGGAGTCCACTGGTCGGAGTTTGAGTGTAATCAAAGCAGATTTGAAGAAAGAAGGAGATCTCGGATTAGTCGCTATGGTTCGTTCTCCGTTGCCTGATGCTTGTTTCACACAAGGTTTCCAAGAACTCGAAAAACAGTCAGAAGACTCTTTTCAAACCCAAACCCCTTACCCTCCCCTTCGTGTTTCAAAATCTTCGGGACATTGCCTTGACCTCTGGACACTCAGTAAGACCCTTGTCAGCCAAAGGTTCTTGTACGGCGGGCTGAGTGCGTCCTAGTCTCAAGCCAAGAAAGTTTCCATCATCACGAAGCTTCTCGCCGCCTGTCAAGATTTTGAAGCAAAGTACATCGTGCGAAGTCTGGAAGGAAAGTTACGCATCGGAAATGCGGAGAGGTCTGTGATAATTGCGATCGCACATGCTGCTGTGCTTGCTGAGAGAGACCGAGGTAACTGGTACTCTCTATCTCTTGGTACATCTGCTGACGGTCCTTAGCCGATAAGAAATGGAGCAACGAGAAGCTTAGCAAGAGATTGCAGGCCGGTGCTGATACCCTGAAATCCATCTACAGGTTTTGGCGATCATCTCGTTCAGCAACCTTGAATGCTGATCACTTCGAATTTCAGCGAACTACCATCGTACGATGAAGTGATTCCCGCCTTGCTCAAATTCGGAATCGAAAATCTTCACGAGCACTGTAAACTCTCCCCGGGGATCCCCCTCAAACCTATGCTTGCAAAGCCAACCAAGGCTATTGGGGAGGTTCTCGATAGATTCGAGAGCAAACGGTTTACTTGTGAGTACAAGTACGACGGGGAGCGAGCTCAGGTCCATCGACTGGCCGATGGCACATTGGGTGTCTTTAGTCGGAACTCTGAAGACATGAGCAAGAAGTATCCTGACTTGGTGGAGCAGCTTCCCAAGGTGAGCGTTCCTGTTAACTTGATGCCACAAGATTGACTGTATATCAGTGCCTCAAAGACAGCACCGAATCCTTTGTTCTTGACGCAGAAGCCGTTGCTTTCGATCGAGCGACAGGCAAACTGATGCCGTTCCAAGAGCTCAGCCGTCGAAAGCGAAAGGACGTCAAGGTAGAAGATATACAAATCCGCGTTTGCCTATTTGCATTCGATCTACTTTATTTAAATGGCGAGGTCAGTGCATGCAACATTTTTGCCGCGTCCAGCCAACGACAGTTTCCAGCCGCTGATTCAAAAGCCGCTGGCGGAGAGGCGCCGACTTCTACGCGCACATTTCGAACCGGTCTTCGGAGAATTTGACTTCGCCAAATCATCAGACGGAGAAACAACGGATGAGATCCAGACTTTCTTGGAACAGAGTGTCAAGGATGGGTGTGAGGGTCTTATGGTTAAAATGATGGAAACCGACGCGAGCTACTACGAGCCCAGTCGACGAAGTGTCAACTGGCTGAAGGTTTGCCGCTTGATCACAAGATGCTCTAGACTCACTGGTAAACAGCTAAAGAAGGACTATCTTGCCGGGGTTGGTGATTCCCTGGATCTAGTAGTCGTCGGCGGCTATTACGGCAAAGGCAAGCGCACCAACGTATATGGCGCGTTTTTGCTGGCCTGCTACGACCCGGATTCAGAAGAGTTCCAGACGATATGCAAGATAGGGACAGGCTTCAGCGAAGAGGCGCTTCAGTCTCACTATCATGTCCTCCAACCTCTGGAGCTGACAAAGGTCCGCGGGGATATCAAAGCTGGTGGGGCCAAACCCGATGTTTGGTTCGAACCGCAAGTTGTGTGGGAGGTGTTGACTGCTGATTTGAGTCTGAGCCCAATCTATACAGCGGCACAAGGATTGGTATGTTCTTTGGCTGATGCTGTGCCACCATTTGACTAATGATGTGCGTAAGGTCGAGGAACGGGGGATCTCTTTACGATTCCCGCGCTTCGTCAGGATTCGGGACGACAAGTCAGCGGATGATAGCACTACACCTGAACAGGTCGCCGAAATGTACGAGAGTCAGGCACTGGCACAAAGTAAAGGAAAAAAGAAGCGCGCTGGGGACGGTGACGATGATTTTTGGTAGTGCAGAGCATTGGATACTATTAGTGTGGGCTGATAATCATTTTTTCGCATCCTGAACTGCTTTAACGGCCTCTGTGACCTTGCCGACGGCCTTGTCGGCAACTTGGTCTACGGAAACACCAAGCTTCTTCTCTCGTCCCCCGTAGTACCAGTAATTGACGAAGCGCGTTTCTTGTAATGCTTGCGCTGCAGCATTGGTACCATGGCACGCGAGTAGAAGATAATTACGCGGCTGCACGCGCCATGCTGCATGGAGGAGTCAGTTCCGAGTGAAGAGTGGCGGTGGAAACCACGAACCAAAACGCATGAAAACCATCCTGGATCGGAGGATAAGACGGAAAAGCGAAGCAAGCCAGGACAAGGACGCACGAGTAACTCATGAGTGCTGTTGTCATTGTCCCAGAGATGAACTCTTCGTCCTTCGATAGATCTGCTATTGCGGCGAGCGGAAGGCCCCAGTTAGCGACCTAGCCAAGACTTGAGCAATTGAATAACCGGGGAAAAGAAAGCGACGAACAGGACCCCAGAAATGTGTACCTGTGGAGTAATGAAATCGGCGACTTTTGGTTCAAGACATACACACTGAAGAAGTACTCTCGCGCAGCGGGAGAGCGGACCCATGTAAAGAAGGTGGACGCCATCCTTTGTCCGTCGAGTCAAGCGTTCTGAATAGAGATTTCGATGCTGCCGGGCCGTGACGGGTCACATAGAGTTGATGACACTCGTAATCTTTGTCAAGCACGCGTTCCTTTGTGAAGCGTCTCTTCTAGCACCTGCTCACGAGTTTCGCGCGACTGGGCGCGTTTATACCCTCTTTCTATTGCGTGCGAGCTGGGGCGATTGAAAGCTGATCCGTCGAAGCATATCCTTATCGCGGTCCCGAATCTGGTGACTGCCTCATGTTCACAAGGTCGTTGTGTGCACCACTTGACCCATCCTGCTCAACGCGATCATGTCCTATCCGTACTATCAATATGGACAGCAACAACAGCCTATGTATCAAACATACATGAACAGGCAGTCTGCACCCAGCGGCTACATGCCGCTCTATGGCCCTTCCACGACAGCATACCCAACGTTAACGCCTGCGAATCCATATGCTGCCATTCAGCCTCAAGTCCCGTTCATCCCTCCAAACGCAGTGCCCGAGACGCAATTCTCAGGAGCGTCCTCCCACCCTGCACCACATCTGGCAACTCCCTTGCGGAGTCAGCGGGCAGCGCATACGCCGCTGCCTTTGAAATCCGCGTTGAAGAAATCTGGGGGATCGGCACCACCAACCGAACCCACCCCAGCCCTTGGTCAAACCCCTCTCCCTCCTTCTGGCACGCGGCGGCGCAAGGCTCGCAAGTCAGATGCTGACAACCGCGGCGATGAGCCGATGATGCGTGAGGTAACCGCCAGGACTGATGCATGTTAGTCGCGCATCTTCCTCATCCGATCTGTCTTATGGACACCCATTCTCAGATCACATGTTTGTGACGTTCAAAGGCGAGGGCGAGCTGCTCTTGGAGAACACGCTTGAGAACGCCGTGAAAGAAATCTCCGAAGTCTTCAAAATCTGGCCGCACGGTCTAGAACATGAATCGATGCGAGGGTCGACGTGGAGGATCAAGTTCAGGAATTCGCCTTGGAATATGAACGGGGCCGATGTCCACTAGTGGGTACTATTCTGTCTGGATGTCCTTCATCTCATCGGATGGCAATCCAAGTGCGTGGAGACTGATCAACAGAATGTTTTCGCTTTTTGCCATCCGAGTGGGTACCATGATGGGTTGTCGGGAATGCGCCTAACGAATGTCCAGGGCTTCGTCTTCAAAACTTTAAGCAAAGGATCTGCTTCAGTGGGTCACGTGTATACATTCTCCTGGGCTTCGCCACTTACGGACCTCAGCATCCGCGCCTGATCTTTCAGATCACTTCCACAGAGAGCTCTCCTTCTTTCTTCATCGCATTTTTATCACGCAAGGGGCGGCGAATGTCTGTGCGCTTACGATTGAACCATATGTGCTCACTGACCAGCAGATACTAGATCGTTGGTCGCACCTCCAGAGCTTGTAGCGCTCGAATTTGGTCCGAGACTGGAGCGGCTCTTGCCCGGCCAAATACAACTTTCTGAGGACCCGAGGCTCGATCTGATGGTCGTTGACACTGTCCGCGATAAAAATGGCGTTATCAGTGTGTTTCTTTGTCTTCTTGTTCGTTGAGACGCTCTCAATTTGATTTCAGTCAAGCCATCAGATTTCCTGATGCAGGTCCTGAAAGTCCTCGTCGACCTGCGGTATTCATTAAACGCGACTATACCGCTGGTCAAGGGCAACACTTGGAAAGTGGGCTCCAGACGAGAGCTCTTTGTGTTCAAGTGGTATGATTCCACGTAGGGATAATTTTCGCACTTGGGATTCGGGATTGGGCTCCAACTTGTACATATATCATCGCATCTCACATCTTGAAGACCTTGGAACCATCGGCAACACCTGCCAGGCTCTTCGCAACAACTAAACCCTCAGCGTTCTTCCGAGCGAGCAGTTCATCCCACCACCCAAACAAAAAGTCTCGCGCAATGAGCTTGAACCAAGGTGTGAACGAGTTGGCTGCAAGATTATTCGTTACAGCCCGGGAATTGAATGATCGATGCACATGCACATACATTCGTCCTTGAACATTGCTTGTAGCTCAGCCTTGTCGACATATTTGTAGTCTCGAATCTCGTTCAGATTAGGAGTGACAGTTACGTCGGCAGTGAAGAAGAGAATGTAATCGACTTGGGCGCGTCAGACGCGTTTACCGCAGGAAAGAAAATGAACTCACCTTCGTGTTCGCCCCACATTCCATTGGATGGAGCAAGATAGTGTATGCGGGTGAGATATTGGAATTCGTCGACAGGTGTTTGGCTCGTCGGGATGCCGAGCTCGTGTTCCAGCTTCCTCGAGGCCGCAGCACGCACTCCCAGCTGTTCCTTCTCCACCTTTTCGATCTCAAAGTCATCAAGCGGATGCGAGCAGCAGGTGTTCGTCCACATGTCCGGGAACGTGATCTTCTCCGTCGCGCGCTGCTGCAAGAGCAGCTTGCCATCGGAGGGCGGAACACGAACGCGGAAAACGCTCGGTGCAACAAGCCCTTATTGATGTTCTCCATCAGATGACCTGTGCCTCCGTGAGCCAGCCGCGTCGGACACGGTGACGATAGTACGCACACGTCTTCTTGTCCATCGCGCCAATGGCGTTATCATCCTCATCGACCAGGATACATCGTTCGTCCATCAGGCGGGATTGCTCGGGGTCATAGTTGGACAGATCGATGCTGGCAAGAGCCGCCTTTGCGGCGAGAACGGCGGGAGACGACATGTGCGTTCGGAAGGGCGGATTGCGATGGAGAGGGAAGGTGGGGAGACGACGATATGCACGCCGGCTAAGGAGAAGACGAAGAGAAACGGAAGACAGCTCGATATCGGGCTATACTGTGACAGTATAGCGATGGTACGAGTGGGAAGTATGGGTCCAGGAACATTTTATTGATTACGTTATCAGCAAGTACTTTAAGGAGAACCGACCATCTTCTCCTCAAATCGTGATCCACAGCTGTCCGTATGGCTCTTTCTGCTTGAGATGCAGCAAATCCTTCGTCGCCAGCACTGTGTAGCTTGTGTTGAACAGTAGAAACAGGGGTTGGCATCATCGGCTTACCCAGACAGTGGTAAAAGGCCGCTGCCGCTACATGGCGGGTGCTAGTGTCCATAGGCACGACCCCGTCGAAGCTCAGATCTTTCGCAGTTCCGGGGAGACCTTGCTGCTGCATCCGGACATATCTGTGCAACGGTCAGGCTTTGCTCGACTTGTCTGGTACCCAACCTACTCAAGAAAATTGAACGAATTTCTCTCCAAGGTGATCAAGTTCATCTCCGAGCGCTGCGACTCGTCGATGGAATTCTCTCCCTGGTGGCCCACTGGAAAATCATGAGCAATCTTCTCTCAACACATCGCGCAGTCCCACCATCGAACTCATCATCGTCCGCGTTCTTCGCGGCGCTCGGCGAGAACTCGAGTCCGTCGATCACGCTTCCCGTTTGGCTGGGAATAAGCGAGCTTTCCCTACGGCTTTGAGAGCTGCCTCTCATCCGGATGTCCGCTCGATCGATGCTGACACGATCGCTTCCTATAGGTCCAAATCCGCCGGCGCTAGACGAGACACCACCCGCGTTGTCCCAAGGAACAGAGAGCTCCGTTGTGATCCAGAAGCGGGCGGCTCGAATCTGTCTCCCGTAAGCGACGGCGGTCGAGTGCCATTACGTCCTTGGCCGGGTTCCTGTCGTCATCTCAGCTTATCATAGTTTCAGAATGGCGCAAGTCACCTCAGAGGACCGTCTAGAAGGACCGTGTTCTTTCAATCATCAATGGTTTGTCTGTACATGACGCAGATGCGTCGCGTCACTCACCACCCAAATCCAGTTCCAATCCCATCTCATTGATGTTGAAATCACCATACTCCAGAGCCCGGTCCCTCAATTCATCCTCTGGCCGATCGCTGTCCGCGTCTTCCTGTATAGCTTCACCTCTGATCTTGCGTCGCTTTCTTGGTGGCTCATCTGTTATCTTGTTTCAGGCTATTCTCATGTAGTCCGACAATACCAACCGTTCGGATGGAGGAATACGACACCCGTCCTAGCTTCAACTTGTACCTTGAAGTTCTCCTGCCAGAATTCCACGAGCGGTTCTGCTTGCACTAGAAGATATTCATGAGGCGTGATAAATCATATGTGCGTCGCTCTCACATCCGCGAGGAACTCCCCACATCAGCTCCTCCAAAATCTTTGCACCATCCTTCTCTGCTTTCTTTTGCTCCAATTCACGTCGAAGGATCGTTTGTCCTTTCAAGTATTCGGCACGAGCAAGCTAATAACCCACGTCAGAATCGATCGTTTGACCGTTGAAAAAATGTGCTTACCTTCAGTTCCTCGTCGGTCAATTCTGTGCGAGCATCTAACAGAAGTCTAGTTTTCTTCACTTTCTTTGTTGCCCTATTGCCTGGCTCCCTGTTCTGTTCGGTGATATCTTGCAGTGGGAGTTGCGACTCTTCTCTGTCCTGCGATAGCAGCTGCTGCGAAAATGTTGGTGCGGGACTCTTGGAAAGTCCCCTGTTTGGCGTCTGCCTCAAATTGGAAGGGAGCAGATTCTCTGTGGAGCCATTGAGCGTCCATGCTCGTTTTCATCCGCTAATCACCTTTATTGCGCTCAGTGTCGCCTTGCTGATCAGAGAAGGTCGGTCAACATTGCCATCAAAGTCTAGGATCTCTCACCTTCCTCTTTCTAGGAGTTGCGGGTGGCATCGACTGGTTTCTCGGAGTGGGATCAAATGGTATATCAAAAGGGTCTTGAACGCCAAAGTCTATGTCCATCGGCACGTCAAGCTCGTTATTGCGAAACGGATCGTCAATCATCATGCCACTATCTCGCAGTCGACTCTCGTTCGTTCGATTTGATAAAAAAGGACGCACTTCAGTTGATCGGGAAGAGTGCCCCAGCCTTCTCCCAATTCTTTCGCCAGTTCATCACTGATATCTAGTCCCAGGTCCAGAATATCCGCTCCACCTGAAAACGCGTCGTTCATGTCGAAGCCTCCACCGAATTGTGACGAAGAAGGTTCTCCTCCGTTCGCATGGAAGGAAAGATCGAAGGAGTTGGAAAGGATGAGATCAGGCTCCTTCAAAGTGTACATGTCAGCCCTGGCGTCCTCAGCTGGCAACGGCTGTGCCTTGAGTTTTGATTTCGGTTTAGCTTTGCCAGACTTTGCTTTAGGATCGAATTCGTCGCCGGAATCTTCATCGCCATCTGCTTCGTTCCCGATGTTCAGGAATTCGTCCCAGTCCTATTGACGTCAAAGGTCTCATCCGAAGCGGTGAGAGCTTGCCTTACCGCAACGAGAGCATCGAAGTCCATGAGGAACGCAGCTCGTGGATCCTTGGAGAGAGTCAACGCTGAATGTCTGTGCGCTGGTCAGGGTGCGAACAGGCAGAGAAAGTGAACGAACTTGGCGGTCGGCTGCGCCATCTGCATTGATGTTCCGGATGTGGCTGCAGACTGGATCTCCTGCACTACTTTCTTGAGTGACGTGACGCAGTGGGTTACGTCGGTGTAGAAGATCTCTTGTTTCACTACGATAATTAGTCTCGTTCATCAGCGATATCGGTGTGAGTGAATGCATGCCTCACCTTTATAAACACTGGATATATGCGGAATCGGTGCCTGTCTTTCAGACAGGTAAGGATGGACACTGCTCACCGTGCTACTCCGACCATTAAATTACTGGACAGTCTTTATACAAGTATGAGCCCATAACCCGAAAGAGAACACGTCTGAGCATACCTGAGAGCCAAAGGCTCAGAAGGCTCCGCGATCAAGTCGCACAACTGAGCGATGTCTGCTGTCAGCACCGAACGCTTTGGAAGCCTCTTGAACGTCGACTTGGCCCCCAATGTCGCGGCCAGCCTGATGATTGCGCGTCAAATATCGAAATCACTATTTAGACGAGATTTACCAGAGAAGACCAAAACCGCTGTCGCGCTTGGCCAGCAGCTCGGGTGAGAAGAACATGATGCTGCAGATATCGGCAGAGAACGTGTAAGACGCGCCAGTGACACGCACGACTTTTGGGTCTTTGGAAGAGGGAGTTAGCTGATTACGAACGATATGGATGAGGGAAAAGAGCAAGAGACATCAGCTGAACGTCTTATTCGCGGTTTGTGCAAATGTGTCATGACAGCCATTTATGGCAAGTAGTTTTCCTGATTCGGATGTGGTCCTTCCATCGCGTATATATAGGACAGATGAGTATTTAGATACATGAGATCACGCTTTGATTATTCTTTTACCTCCGATTGTACCTGCGAGACGAGCGAACAGCTCATCGCGGGCGCCTACCCATCTAAACTTTTCTTCTCTATCGACGGCACTGCCATCGGTCCACGTGATCGCGAGCGCATTCATCAAGCCGTTCTTTTTCTTGACGCCTTTCAAAGCCGAGACTGGTATTTCGATCTTAGAGTTGGAAGAGAATATAGGAGTGAAGAAAAGAGTATCGGGAGTCAACGTGATCAAGCCCGGTGCATTGGAGTGCTGCGCCGGGAATGCTGCGGAAACGTGAGTAATCGGAACACGGACAGACGCAAGCACACACTGTGCGCATCAGCGATTGCATGAGGTCTAGCACCAGGCTGGAGGTAGAATTTGAGCAATTTGCTTCGAAAGTAAAGATGTTTGCAATACCTGATCGCTCGACGGACTCAACGCACGTTTCCCCTCTTGGATCCATGCTTTTCCGACAGCAGCACGATGGGCGAGCTTCTTTAAATTGGAGTCCAGCTTTCTTTGAGACGAAGGCTGGTACGCATCGAAGTTTTCCTCCTGGTCAACTTCGTTGTTTGGTTCCTTCTTATCTCTTGGACGGATCTTGGTCGGTCGGACGTCAAGACCGGCAGCTACACGCTGGGAGATGAGGTCCATTGCGTACTCTGCATCAGTGGGAACATCCATGAAAGGAGGAGGCAACCTGTTGAAACGTGAATTATGTAGCTTGACGTGGAGACATTTCCTTACCGGGACCGATCCGCTGGAGACAGAGCAGCTATGATTGGCACTAGATGCCAGAACATAAATCCACCGACAAAGTAGATTGTTTTAGCGATGTACTTGGCAGGCACCACGAGGGTGAATAGAGCCAGGAAAAGTATGATCTTATCGACGGGATAAGGCTCAAATCGACGAGCTGAAAGGAGTGGACGACATACCGATCCATACATCTTTGATGAGGCAGGACGGCGCCAGATGAAGATACTGAAATGGAATAAGCGACAGCTCAATATCATTCTAGACGAAAGGGAGTGCCTACTTCTTGATGCGCTCATGTAGATCGGCAAGTTCGGAGAGCACTTGGAGGCCGACCCGCTTCAGGTCATTCTCAACATTTTCCTTCGGGTCATCGGAATCCAAGACGGTGGGAGCCGCCTCTCCAGACTCGTCCAGGGTTTGCAACGACTCTTGCGATGCGACATTCTGAGCGCGCGTAGCCAGCTTCTTCGCCTTCGATTTCTTAGATTTATTGAACACCTTGAACAGTCGCCACAGCTCTTTGAGACCTAAAGACGATGATGCAGAGAATCTTGTAGAGAATTCTTGTCCAAATTCATCGGCACGATCAATCTCTTCTCGATGTGCTTTTAGTTCAGCAAGAGTTGGATACGAGAAGATTTTCCGGCGAAGAAGGGAGTAGAACATTCGGAAAAACAACGCCGGGAGAAGGAGGTTGTAGTACCACAAAAGCCAAAATATCTACACTGCCGGTGAGCCATGTGAAGTTGGGTAGTGGATGAAACGAACGGAGCAGAAAAGAGAGCTTTCGTATCGATTTTCCCAGGTGGCAAGTCGTGCTAGATTAGACAAGAACGGGCCATATACAGGAAGGGTGGCCAGATAAAGCCGCTGTGTAGTCAATCTCAGTCTTCCGAGGGTGAAAGTGGGTGTTGATTTCGAAGGCGGCAGGACAGGACAAAGGAAGTTCTATTATATGAATCAGTCCCCATATACAGTCCGTGCCAGCCAGTCCAATCGCTGACCTGAGCGATCCGCTCTGAAAAAGTAGAGGGCACAATGACTTCCGGTGTTTGGGGGTCATCAGGATCAGAGCTGTCATTGCCGTCGACGAAATTTGGTTCTGCTGAAGGCTGACTGCCCTGTTGTAGGAGACTGATAGCAGATGTGCCCATGCTCCACAACGAGTCCGGAGAATTAGGTGGTTCGTTTTCCTCTTGTAGCTCGACCTCATTAACATACTGGTGGGCCAGGACGTTTAGCACATATACGGAAGTACGCGGAATATCGCACCGCAGAGAACAGGCTTAGGAAGCGATCGATCTCTTCACTGTCGTACAGGTCTCTGAGCTGCCGTTCGCTCATGTTGTTCTCGTCCACAGTCTTGGTCGACGTGACGCTAACTTCATCGTCCTCTCGAACATCTTCATCGGCAGACACAGAGGGACGGGGAGAGGACTCCATGTTGAGGAGCAGAACAGAAGGGCAGCGTGGACATCGTTAGTGCTGTTGTCTACGTCACTCAAGCCTCAAGGTCTAGCCATCATGATGAGGATCCGCGAACGCGTGTGCATACCATTTCGATCATGTGATGGCTGACAAACAAGCCACAACGCGTTATCCCTTCGATTCAACCATCAACGGCAAGGACATGACTGACCCCGGTCTACTGGAGTGGTGCAATGCCACTCGCTTTTCTATGGCCAACGATCCTGGTCGGCCGGCGTTTGAAGGCCAAATACAGAAGCAAGGTCTCCATTTCCTCAACGACTATCTAGACAACATCCTCGCGAGTCCACGTCAAGAGTGAGCTCGCCCGTTTCTCTATGCTGGTGACTTGGCTGAAGGGTTTTAAGAAGCCCTCTTATTGACCTGGTGAAAACTCCTGCTCGTAAGCGAGTTCCGATGAAGAAGCCTGTGTCCAGTACAACTCTGAAGTCCGTAATAACGGTGTCTCTTGAGGTGTGCCATCAGAATTTCCCCCCGGAACGTTATTCATGAGTACAGGACAAGGATGAGCTTGGATCGAAGGAGAACATAGCTCCTGTTAATAACTTCCATCGAGCTCTACTTCAGACGGCCGAGAAACCCTTTGCATCACAATCTTCCACATCTCATGGATCTCTTGTCGCTTCGCCGCCGCATTCGAAAGCGATGGATCATATTGACGTCGTGGTGGATCGGGACGTGCTTCTCCAACTTGCCAGCGAGGACCAGGTCTCCGGGTCGTCAAATGCGCTCGTGCCTGCCGTGGCAGAACGAAACGATCTCTCTATGATTGCAGAGGACGACGAAGCCGAGCGCAGCCGTTCCTCATTCCATACCGCTCCCATGGAAGGTGTTATAGCAGCTGAGGCTGTTTTGTTGGATGCTTCTGTTGGTGACTGCGCTTCGGCAGACGCGTCCGATCCTCTTTCGCGCTCTCCAAACCACACGAACGACAAGTCCATCGAACTCGAGCCTGTCTCTGAGTCATCTCCCAACGCCCCTCGCGCGACTGCTGATACGAAGGACGATGAACCAATGGTCGTCGTCGAAGATGCCGCTGAACCCACAGTAATGAGTTTGCCAACTCCGAACCAATCTTCTACTACTCTGCCATCTGTCGTGGAGGCTGAGGACTCCGATGACCATGTTGATGGTGGCCTCGCCTCTCTTCCCTCGTTACCGGCGCCGATGATATTCCGCAAGTCCATGCGAGCGCCGACCGAGGCGGCGAACTCGAATGGGCTGGTATCGACTGCGACACCAGGAGCAGCTCTAGGGAAACGCAAATCATCGTGGCTTGTCCGTGCGCGTGAAGTGAAGGCTCTCGAGATGACCACCAAGAAGCCGCTGGATAAGCCAGTGACGGGCTCTTCTTCCTCAATCCCTCCTCTGGTCGAACCCGAAGCTTCTGGCTCTGGTGGGAACAAACGCAAGAGTGCTGACGTGTTTGGACCGAACATACCTGCTGCGGGCGAAGAGGAGCGACAGCGAAAGATAGCTAAGAAGGCTAGCACAGATCTTGAGCCCGCTCACTCTCCTCTGGCTGAGGCACCTACGCCTCAGTCGACAGTACCAGCACGGACGAGTCCTCTGGAAGAGGAAGTGGGGTTACTGGCTCAGCTCAAGAAGACTGTCGGCGATATAGGACGGTTAGGCAAGAGTTTCGGGCCTACCAAATCTCTGGGTGGAGCAGCGGCCACCGCGTTGGCTGAAGCTCGTGCCGCTGCTGAGGCCCGACTTGCTGAACGACTTGACAAGGAAGAGGCGAACCTGAATCCGGAGGCGTCTCCAGCACCTCCAGAATCCCATTCGGATCGTCGCCTGAGTGTATCTGAGCTCATGACTGCCTCCGAAACACGAGCCATTGACGTTGTATCTCATGGCAGGAAAACCACGACGCCCCCGAACTCACCGCCAGTCGCACAAGCTGCACCGCCTGTCTTCAACAAACCTGTTTTCATCCCTCCTGCTCCTGTGAAACCCCCTTCGCCTTACCGCGTGACATCGAACCCTGCGTTCGGAAAGCCGGCCTCCATGGCACTCGGTCTTGCTCCTCGGTTGATATCGCCGAAACAAGTGGCGCCGTCATTGTCTCACCAATCTACTTTAGAGAGCTTGCAGTCAGATGCCCTGTTTGACAGCGAGAGCGAGACTGCTGCCTGGATGCCGGCCACGCAAGACACGGAGTACACCACCGGATTCGGCTCTCAGTCGCAATGCTCGCCACCTCGGGGTCCGCCAGATGAGGACGACAGTTGGCCTCTGGACTCTGCTGGTGGCGTTCCTTGGTTCAATGTCCACGGAAAGGAGGACAGCATGACTTGGAGCACGCTTCCAACTTCGAGCCAACGCGGTGACACCGGTCCAGTCACACACAGCCGGCTCGACGAAACAGGCCACACCAACATTCTCCAAGATGAACCCGAAGCTGAGGAGATGCCAGAGTCAACCGAGAACGCTGGTGGTGATGCCGAATTCGGAGATGACGCCATGGAGGTCGATTTCAAGCAGTCCACGGTGCATCTCGTGAACGTGAGTCCATTCATCTCATTCTCATTCCCACCCTCAACCAATCTACGTCCAGCCCGCTGCCAGTCGCAGCCAGAGCCAATTATCTATGCTCTCGTCCTCCTCTCAAGGTGGTTTCTTCAGCACTGCTTCCAAACTGGCGAACAGCATGCTGGGCACCAGCAAGAAAGGCAAGCCCGAAGTCAAGAGCTTACAGCTGGCCGCTGCTGCCGCAAAGAAGGTGCGTTGTCCCATGCACCCTAGAAGTCATGTGCTCAACTGTTCACAGCAACACGAGGAGCAGGAAAAGAAGGCTCTCCGATTGAAGGAAATGGAGAACCGGCGACATGCCGCACTCCAGCGGAAGGTAGAAGAAGAAAGGGCCAAGGCTCAAGATGAAGAGCGGAAACTCAAGGAGGAAAGCGATCGTCGTAAAAAGGAACGCGACGACGTTTCGGACAAGAGAGTTGGCGCAAAGGGCACCGCGATCCCTGGACCCAAGAAGGTATGGTATATGTTGATGCAATCATGTACATCGTCGCTGAAGCCTGGCAGGAGGAGGAAGCCCCGAAGAAGGCCGCCAAACCTGAAAAGAAGCTGGAAATCAAGAAACCTTCGGCCAAGACTGCCGCGCTAGCGGCGTCATCCAGCTCTAAACCAACGCTGAAGCCTTTGTCCAAGACCCCGTCGAGCGCGAACCTAAAGGCTGAGGCGAGCTCTTCCAAACTGGCGGTGAAGGTTGCGCCCAAGGCAGCGGACGATGACATCACCCATCCATCACAATTGCTGCAGTCGCAGATGGCTGCTCGAGCCAAAGCGCAACTACAAGCTGCAAATGTCATACCGACCCCTATTCCCAGCGAGAGCATTGAACTACCGGATATCAACAGCGAATACTCGGATTCGGACGACGAAGATCGGCCCCGGAGCTTTGATCCCCCATCATGGGCGCAGTCACCTGATCTGCGCCAGGCCTTGGAGCTCCAGAGCACCATCAACCCCGATGACATCTTTGGCGCAATCCGACCGTTGAAAATGGACGAACTTTTCCGCAACCGGACAGGTCGTTTCAGAGCCAGGACCAGCTCAGCTAACTGGACGGGTTCTGACAGACTGACTATAGAGGAACAGCGGGAATATGTTAGAAGGATGGGCTTCAGATCCGACACCGACCCTTGATGGATTCCTCATCTTTGTATGCATTTCTCATGTACACTGTATTTCTACGCATTCAAATGAAATTCCCGCAATTCGAAGTCGCATTGTCCGGACGAGTCACGTGGAGCAAGATCGGCGAGTGTGGGCTTATGTTTGGCCCACCTCACTTTGACCTTGAACAACCCTCTAACACTGCGTGCCACCCGGGGCACTGTATCATACCAGCAATACCATGACATCCTCCTCCTCCTCGTCTCCAGAAATCACAGCTGCCATGAGCACCGACGAACACCTATTCTCCTACAAACATGCGACTCATGAAGAGGTTCTGGAGGATCTCTCCAGGTAGACTCAATCGTCGATAAAACCGGACATCTCGTTGATCCCTTCCGCAACAGTCGCTTCATTCTCAATCTTCCTGACGAAGAGCTTGCCTCACTGGAACGAATCTGTTTCCAAGTGGAACAGGCGTGAGTGCCGGTGCATCTTCCCTGTCCCTTCGTTTTCACTCATCTCGAGCAGACATTGGTTCTACGAAGACTTCATCCGGGAAGAGAATCCCAAGTTCCCTTCGCTACCTCTCAAGAAGTTCTCCGCAATGCTCTTCCACGCTTGTCCACTTCTACACCAGTGGAGCCACGATCACGAGCAAGCCTTCAACACGTTCATGCAGTACAAGACGCGAGTACCGGTGTGCGGGGCGATCATGCTGAATGATGCTTGGGACAAGGTGCGCCAGCATGTCCCACTCGAGAGATCTTCGTCCTCAACGTAGCTACAGTGCGTCTTGGTGAAGGGGTGGAAGTCTTCATCAGGATGGGGTTTTCCCAAGGGAAAGATCAACGAAGACGAACCTCCGCATAGCTGTGCCATTCGAGAAGTACGCTTTCGATCCGTCTCGTTTGCCCTCTTGACAAGGCTATCAGGTATTAGAGGAAACCGGCTTCAATTTGGCCGGTCGAGTGAACAAGGAGGACGTGATCGAACTCTCCATCCGAGAACAGAAAATTTGTTTGTACATAGTACCCGGCATCCCCGAAGACTTTCCTTTCAAGACGAAAACCCGCAAAGAAATTAGCGTACGTGCTTGGATTCCAGCCACCGCTCTCCTGTACCAAGTTTGGGCCTTTGCAGAAAATCGAATGGTTTCGATTAGTAGATCTACCAACGTGGAAACGCAACAAGACCGTACCCGGCAAATTCTATCTCATTTCTCCTTTTATTGGGTGAGTGCGACAAGCTTACTTGCTTTGCGTTTCAGCTGATTTTTCAAGCCCACTGAAAGCGTTCATCAATCAACACAAGCAGCAAACTACGCCACGGAAGACACCCAAATCCAAGAAGGCGTTGCCCAATGGCGCTCATGTCCAACGGTCACCTGTGTATCATGACGCTACCCAGGAGTCAAGCTCGCAGTCATCGCTCGAAAATAGCGACCCCCACACTCCTTCCCCTCTGTATTCTACGGCGGCTCCAACGAAAGTGGTTACTGCCCATAGTTCCCTCGACGGCGAGGCCCTCGATCCCCACTTCGCGCGACTGCTCTCGTCTCTGGCTCTTTCTGCCCAAACTGGTCCCACATTGAAGCCGCTAGAGGCAGTGTTGGAGAGTTCTACACCAGTCCCGTCTGCGCCTGGGGCCATATCCGAGACGGATTGGTCTTGCTCGACGCCTGCTGTCGTTTCGGAGGATCTTCCAGACGATTCTGAGGGCGAAGAGGCTTCTTCTCAAGCTCTACCGCCGCAGACCTTATCATCCCAGTCTTTGCAACCTCAATCTTTACAGCCTAGGACCACTTTCCAATCCCCGTCGCCGCTCGTTTTGAGTCCCCGTCTTAACGGCGCCGCCAATGCGACTGAGGTGCCCCTGTCGGCCACCTCGTCGACGCATTCTGGGAGCTCATTTGGATCGCGTCGGATTGCTACGGCCGACATCTCTCCATATCTTGCTCGATCGGGCGAGATGCCCAGTAACGCGAAGCGCTTGAGGCAGTTGGCGCTTCTCGAGAGCGTGGCCGACGAGTCTGCCAAGGTTCTTTCATCGCCGACTCGGCATGAGGCACCGTACCAATTTCCTCCACCGTTGCCGCCGGCGTCGGTGCCCCCGGCACCACTATATGCTCCGAGCCCGAACCCCACTTTGCTGTATTCGTCTGCGGCGCATGACCCATTCCAGGTTCGACCATGGACGAGCCAAGCGTTCCATGGCCACGGGCTCGGACCTGGCGCCCCCATGCGTCAGGCAAGTATGAGCATGACCCAAAACCAGATGCTTTCCCTCATGAACGGCCCGCCGCAAGCCTCGCCGATCCCGATGCGCTCACCGATATCTCCACCTGCTCTGATGCGTGGCGGTGCAGTCTGGCGGCCGGTGTACCCTCATGCGCCATACGGTGTACCCGGCGTCGGGCCGACTTTGAGCAACGGACCATCGCCTGTTTTCTCACAGTCGTCGCCTAATCCGGCTCTTCTGTCGATCCTGAACAGTGGGCGCTCTTAAACGGATATCACCCGTCCGTCGCTGGTCTTGATTTCCCCGTCGCTCTCTTCACCCTCTCTCGACACTGAATGTCTTATCGAACAGCTAATATTTTGTATCTTGCTTTCCTGCTGTATAATGGATGTATTTTAGACACGTCTCGTATGGACAAGATTGCCAGTCAAGATTGCGAAACAGTGGCAACACCGGTAAGATCGGAAAGAGATGTCTGATTTGCGAGTGAGATCCGCTCCCGGGCCCAGGCCTTTTTTTCGCCCAAAGAGGCATCAAAGCGGTCGTGAGCCGAAGAAGCCTTGCAGCCTGTCACGCCTGCACTGTTACTCTGCTTCTGGTTCTTCGAAGCCCATCCCGTCCGACCTGCTCTTCGCCTCTCCCGTCACCCTCATGCGCTGCTAAGAAATGCCTCCATGTATGCACAGTCCGCCCACCACCCGCAGGCCGTCTCCCATGCCCAGGCATTCCCGAACGGCTCGCGCAGGCAGCAGCAACAATCACCTTTCCCAACACCTCGGCCCCCACGGGCGCCCACAGTCCTCGTTGGTGTCCCCGCAGTCACCATCCAGAACAATCAGCTCGTCGTTGGGTCGTCGCAGTCTTGTGCGTTCACCGAGGCTATCTCCGTGTCATATCTCACCCGCCTCGTTCCCTCAGGTTCGACTCGTTCTTACACCGAAATCAAGAGCCTGGGCGATGGCTCGTTCGGCACAGTCTGGCTTTGCGATTGGCATGGGACCCTACCCCCCAATACCCCGCTCTCTGCAATGCAATGTGG